CGGCTCCGGTTGCGTGCCAAATCATCGCGGTTAACTTTCTCTGGAATGCAGGCACGGAAAGAAACCAAGTTGAACGACAGGTGCCACGAAATTATAGAAGCTTATCGGGGATCTCGCGAATACCGCCGCCGTGTTTTTCTTTTCTTCTGCAATAAAGAATCCCGGTGAAACGTGATTTCGTTCTTCGCAAAATCTCCGTTTTTTTTTTATTTCACCCGGTAATTATCTTAGCGCGCTAGACCGACGAAATTATTAAAGTAATTGGTCGTTTGATTTACTTGTTACTTTAGCGGGCGTATTCGGTTCGTGGAACACGTGTTACCGTCTAGATCACACAAGATACGAAAGGATACTTCGCGTGAAAATACCGAAATCATCGATGTAAGATGAAAAAAAAAATCAGCGACTCGTGATTTTATACGACGCAATCCTGGCCCCGCCTCCCATTCATAAGAATTCGCAAATATCACCGAATGGCCTTGGTCCGAACAACAAGCAAACACAGAAGTTCATCCAATAATTTACGATCGGTATTTTCCTTATGATATTTACACGACAAGGTTTCTGCGACGGCAAACACGTGAGAAATTAACCGTCACGAACAAAACGGTGTGGATATCATTAATACCGATACATCCCTGCGATTCCGTTCGAGCGAGACCGAGTAAAAGGCGAGTCGTGTTGACATTTATTCGCGAAACTGGTCCGCTCCATAAGCCCGTAAAAGACTTTCCCTCGATACAGTTCACGTGCACGTATACGGATAAACATCAACTAACGCGAAACGACCAAGAGGTGCATTAATTATCAACGCTTAGCGAACAAACTAAATAGATTTTCACAGTGCACCGATGGACGACTGAACCTCGCGGAAATCCCATACACAAGAGGCTTTGTTTCCGACTCTTATCTTATTATTCCAGTTTATTAGACAAAATATCGCAATGTTACAATCTCATATAGACACAATTCGAATAGTCATAACTCTCCATACAGTTACGGAAATATGAATAAACATCGAACAACCGCAGAAATTCCCAGACAATGTATCCGCTGTTTCAAGCTCCAGGTCCAAGTAAAACTGCGGCTCTAACAAAGTTGCGTGGTAACTCGTATTTTGAATTAACAAACAAAAGCTTTCGAAATAAAAGTTGCAATGGAACGTAATGCGTGAATAGCAAATCTCCCCAAGGCTTCAGTAATGGAGGCTGAAGCATTAAGGCTTATAATTTCCGCGATTTTCACGTGGACATCCAGGGCACTCCGCTGTATCCTTCGTCGGACAGCGGCCGCAAATCACGATATGCCATGGTAATAAGCAGCTATGTCACCTCTATTAATCGCCGAAGCTACACTAAGCGCGAGGCGTGCACCGCCTGGAATGCTGGAAGTCACACGGTGGATTACACGTATTACGCCTAGCTCGTAGACGACAGGGCGTTGGATAGAAACGGATGGGTCTGCGAGGCCTTCTCCTTTCGCGTGCGTGGTATCCACGGTTGAATCATGTTTTCGCGGTCACGTTATCGAATTGCGGGAGTTTATACGCCCGTGCTAATTCGAAGAGGAACGCGGGAGTATCGATCGGAAGGGTCCCGGCTACTCCTTGCGATCCTGAATCCTTGCGGAACAATTCCTCGAGCGGATCGGTGCATTGCAGCGATCCTCTGGGCCGACGGAAATGTGGTTAACATAACTTCTTAGATCGCGTTTACGTTTACCATATGTTGGGGTATCGGAATGTTGAGTCTAATGCGATGCGTACGGTTGATGGAAGATGAACAGACGCGATCACGCATTCGTTTAGCACTTGGATGTGATATGTACATACACGGTGCAGGGTAAACCAACTAGTAATTGACTATATACCAGTGAACGACTATTAGACAACAAAATTAAAATATTTCAGAAAGGTAACAATCATTTACAGGGCTTTTACGCGTTTTACACTTCATGAATAATTTTTTACAAATTACGATAATGAGTAATAATTTTTAGAAAAATTTCACAAAAAATTAAGTGGAATTGGAATTTCAAGTTTACCCTATTAAATCATTATGTTAACTGGAAGATGTACAAATGTACACTTCGTCCAGAAGTATCCGGACACTTATATTATGATTACACAAATCTGTGAAATATTTTTTATACAAAATGTATTTATTGATATTTATAATTTTATCTTATCAAAATTGAAAATATTAAATACTTATAGAAGACTGTAATTGACATTTATTGAGAAATAATATCGATAAAAGTACTATGATCAAAATTGAATGAAAAGGTATACCTATGTATACATATACAAAAGGAATAAATTTTAGCTACTTTTCCCAAATTTCAATCATGTAAAATAAATAAAAAGATGTCAGTAAGATGGTGTAAGCATTTGGTTAGAATCAGTTGACGTTCAACAGTGCAAGAGATAGCGAACTCGAGTTCTAAAGAAAAATTAGCGATGGGAGACCTTGTTACAATTGTAAAATTGTTCAAAGGAGGCTATTCAGTTCAATAAGTAACTGCTATAAAAATAGTAACATTCTAATATCGATGATGTACTGTGTCCGGACATTTATGTGGTAGTGTATGTCCATTGGGTAGATGACAGTGTGCGGAAGGATTTTACGCAATCATTATGACTATTGGCTAGCTTAACCAATACATTCCATTGATGCAATTCTGCATTCCAACGATAGACAAATACGAGGTCAAATAGACTCTATAATGACACCGTAGTAGGTCAGGGTTTCTGGACCTGCAGTGATCATCGACCGAGGTCGGGTAGCTAATATCTCCCTGTCGGTACCTTGCTCGATCAAGAGTTCTAGTAACCTAACCAACAGACTAGTAACGAAACATTACCGGTACCCTGAATACTGAACATCCAAGAGAATCCATTGGCAAAGCATTCCTTCAGCGTACAGCTCTGGAATCTATATGAATGTAGACCGCAAACCGCCGAATCTTCGTCACGATTCGACGAATGCCGTTCGCCAATCGTTCGGCACATGCAAAATGTGTTTCCAATAGCAGCAGCCTCAATAATTTATACGCATCGTATCGCGGTTCCCGCTATTTTTCCGTGGGCCGTTGGTGTATATACCGCTAAGAGAATTAACCGAGGCTGTGTTCGGATCGTTGCAAGAAATCCAGGAAAGGCCAATGACGCCATACGTTTTAACGGAGTTCCCTGGCCAACCAGGCGGTACTTTTCTTTATAATCGTAAGAATTATTAGCCAGGGTCTGGCGTTCACAAGCTTGCGCTGTTCGCGTATCCCACAACACGGTAAATCGGCCTCGCGTCTAAATACAACTTGTTCCAGAGTACACCGGGCAACACGCGCAACGGTACTCCTTTGCTGCTGACCGCGAGTGACCGTGTGGAAAAGATAAACACCGGCAATCCGTGAATGCCGCGCGCAGCGATTGTTGCTTGCATAACATTCCACGACCGATCCTCCGATCGTGTTCCTTTTCCGCGCGCGCGCGTGATGCTGATGTAATCCGCGGAACACCTGCCGCTGGAACGTGCGTGTATCTTCGAAAGTGGGATTTGTCGTACAAAACGGTTAAGTAATAGTGTAGAAGGATGGATAAGAAACCACCACCATCAGCTGTCCATATGTAAAACCGTACCGACGAAACTGGATTGGATTAGATTACAGTTACGAAACCATCGAGAAGGGGGAAGGCAGGGCAGAGCGTTGATATAGGCGCCGATTTCGTCGCGGTTACGCAACGACACTGAGCAAATCCTTGGAGTCGATTTTACGGGTTAGCACCCCGTCTTTGACGTGGGCAACCCGTGTTCCCGTTCATGGATTGCCAGCCACGGGCGATATACACGCTTAGAAAGTTTCGTGGCCGAGCACTTTTCCCCGCCGCTGGCTGAAAACGTCGTGAACAAGAGACACACGTATCGTCCAGGAATGCGAATCGCGACGATGGATTACATATACCTATGGCATTGTAGTTTTCTCTTGGGTCGATAAAATTATTTTTAACGGATCTTTGTTATCGTCGAACGGTATTATTTGTACACTTTGAATACTTCAACATAGGACCGTGTCGACGGTGGTCACGTTGTATCGGTAATCCTGCAAGATTTCGCAAAAGTACCGTCGTCGTATCGCACGAACGACTCCTTTGTTTCGATTAGCTGTTAAACGAGGATCGTCGCTTCCGCCTCGAAACCGTCGATTATCGCTGCTGGCGAACCGTGTCAACGGAACGAAACTCTTGTTGCTCGGAACCCATCGATCCGATGATGGTACCGCCGCCGCCACCGGTCGTTGGAATCGTTTGGAACGTTGCGAAATTATGGACGAGCTCACCGATAGTTTTTTTTTTTTTCATTTTCGAGTGATTTCAACAAATTGATAACAAAAACTCTCTCCGACTGCTTTCGAAAGCCGGGTGTTAATTACAAGCCGACGCACGGGGCGGTGCAATCATCGTACATGAGCCGAGAACGATGGAAATCATGGAGTTCGCGATGATCGTTTATTATTCATATTTCAGCGTGTAATATATGTTCTTTTTAACACGTCACGCACCACTCGGTTTCTTAATCTATGCTCTACTTCACTAGATAATTAACTTATCTATCAGCCCATTACGGTTTAGAAGACGATGCCGCGGTACGACGTTGATCACGAGGTTTTCTATTGGAAGCTTGTTAAAGCGATATTAATAGCTCTTTAATAGCTGTCCGGGAACTTAATAAAACAACGATTAAAATTAATTACGAACGATAGTTCTGCTTGACAAACACTCCGAGCATTCCAAAACAACTTGCACTTGAGACTAGACTAAATTCTGTCTCGGTTAGACACTTTCTAATAAAAATACCACCGATGAACAAAACGTGGGCACAGGTGTCACAACAATCGTCACAGGTAAACTAACCCTTTTTCGGCCCTTTAACATACCGCTCGTAAACCAGTGACCCCAGAAGGTTGACGGTAACAGGCACACACGACAGGTAGTTTTTACTCACCGGAATTTGACCGTAGTACCTGAGGGCGACGAGGTCAAGTAGTCACCTAGCTCCGTTATTCGGCCGGCGGTGGTGTGTGGGTCCCGCTGGCAAGAAAATTCGGTGCACTCGAAAGCGGCACAAAGCCGAGAAAACGGCGGGTTTTACGAGCACTCGAAAGTCGCCAGCGAACGGCAGGCGGCGACGCGTGTTTCTACGGCACAACTGGCTTTCGAGAATTCCCGCTTGGAATGCCCACGAGGACGAACGGTATAAGATGCTTCGACGCTGGCTGCCTCGACAAATGGAAAAGGCACGGTCGAAGCATCTTCGCCGCGCCTACAATTACGTGCTCGTCTTCGTCGCTCCTCGCTGCTCTTCGACCGTTTTGATGAGCGCTCAGCACGTAAATTTATTAAGAAAATTCCGTGCAGCTTAATTATACGGTTATTTTGTAGCTGATTATTATCTACCGATCGCTGGCCGTTTTTGTTTATTCAATGTTACCCACGGATTCCTGGGCATAAGTGTATCGTAATTCCTGTAAATTATATGAATTGCATCGAGTTCATGTTCGATGTGTCGTTTTGCCTGTAATTATGCCTAGATAAATTGCTTACGATTAACAAGAAATTAACCGACTAACAGTTTATTCTGAATTCCTCCTTTAGAATTCGGAATAATGTTCCGAGTACATTAATTTATAATTCTATCGGTGGATTCCCTTAAATTATGTAGTATTTAATTATATATGATACACCTTTTGAATCTGAAAATTTTAATGGTGAACTGTCTGTCTACTTGTCTCATATATACAAATTCTCCTCGTGAAGATGTAACGTAATATACATTTATGCGCAAATTAATAACGCTGTTACTGGTGAATGTAAATGGAAGACTCCGCTCGAACAGAATTATTATAAAGTCGATGCAATTTAGCGGTGCCAGTATATTCCGGAGTCAGCGAGAACCGAGAGGAATGATAAACTCGATGGTATTTCTTAGCTGGAAGGTATTTCCGCGCTAATGTAAAATATAGCGGGGGAAACATTTGTTCGAGTTACCGCGAGGAATATGAACATTCGTAATAAATGTTCTAAATCTGCCCGGGGTAAGGTTTTACCAGTCCGCGGAAAAAATTAATTTTAATTTGCTTAAGGGTAACGCGGGCACGGCTCGCCCCCGAATGGTTTTTCTTATTGCATGCTCTCCATTCACGCGAAGATATATTGCGCTCGGTTCTCGTACCACGAACGAATAAGGCAGAAGCAACGCGATAGGATTTCTGAAAACTCATCCTTGTAATCAATTTTATCCTGGAAGATATGGACGGTGAAGGGGGAGGGGGATGGTCAGTCGCTTAATGAGAATCGTCGGAGGACTCGAAATTACGTAAATCGGAAAAGCTTAGCCAACGGGCATAATGTCCGCCGACGATAAGAAAGACTTATCCACCTTAATCCCCTGATCTCTTATATACCGAAACAATTCTTCGTTTAAATCGTTTATTTTTATAACTTGACGCCGTTCCCTGAGAACTTCGAGAAACCTGTTAATAATGACTTCGACGCGATTGCGACACTGCGTTCAGGAAAAAACAATCGATTATTTATTTATTTACATTTTTTCTTCTCTCGATTGTAAAAATTCCAGCGTGACGCGGCAGCGACGGCATCAACAGTCGCGAAATACATTATTTGAAGAAACGCTAACGACTACGACGCGGGAGAACGTGTTTTTCATTTCATTCGGTCAATCTATCGTCGCCGCTTCCGTCAAGCACTCGACGAAATTGTGGTCTGCAATGACCTACATACTACGCGATCGATTAATTTTCCTTTAGCCTCGTTCTGTTTGCAAGTTTTCAGATCGTCGTACATCGTCCGCTAAATATCGAAGCGGACACGTATGGCGTAATGATCGAACAAACACGATAAGAGGAGGGGGAGAGCTGGGACAACGGTGTGAAATTGTGCAGTAAAGTGTTCCCCATTGATTTCGCTTACATTATAATTACGAACAAAATTTTGATTTAATTAATTGCATGTTAATAAAGTACTTGAAATGACGATAGAACAGGTTTCCACTATGTATTACTAGCAATGAATTTGATAGGTGTCACATGTATATCGTGGTACGAAATCATTATCAAATGCATTCGCTTACGCAATATCACACGATGAAGCACATTATTTTAATTATGAATCTTGAACGAAGTGGACAGTATAGTCTCGTCGACTGAATTTCAGTCACGAGTAACCCCTTTCAGTACTGTGTCATTGTGTGACAATTCTGTACGCAGGCAGAAAATATTCATTTCGAACGGGGACCGCATATTAATTTGTCGAATAAGTCCGCGCGTGGAATTCATACCAATGGTACTCACTGGTTGGGGAGGCTAAGTTAACAATGTCGATTAAAAGCGATATTAATTTAAAATACAGTATGCAAATAAGAGTAGCATAATTTCAAAGTCAGAATGCTTCAAAATTTTAACTGTTAATGAAAACAATTAATTCCACAACAATTGATTCATTTCGAATTGTACCACATAATCTTGAACGACCGGCTTCATTCCACAGTACACCGTGAATATTACACGGAAACACTGTTTCTACATAATAATAAGTTACACAACATACTCTGTTTCGCTACAATTCTCTTAATTCCATTGTGTCTCCGTTACAATATGTGAAGCAACACGGAGAGTGTTTCAAATTTTCCCAGTCAATTTTCTAACAATGGTACGCCTGATGTTACTAGGCTGGGTAAATCCCCCCATCGTTCCCGGAGTAGTGGGGCGGCGCCCATGCTACGCATGTGCTTCTCGTTCATTTCCTTTTGGGACACGAAGGTGGGAGGTATTCTTGCGTAGCTCGCTCCTCCGATAGTCGTTTCGTTACATTCCATTTTCGCGTAAATGTTCCGTTCAATTACCATAAAGTATACTTGCAAATTGGAGAAGATTCTCTGGGCGTCGGATTGGCTTCGTAATTCGGTACATTATTACTACGGGTTACGGGAAAATGGCTGATTCATCGGAGTCCACTGGCGAGTACGTTAGCCACGTGGCGAGGCGTCTCACCGAGGAAGAGATCGGGAAGATGAAGACTCAAAATTCCCGTTTGGTAACGGAATTCCGAGCAAACCAATTGGAACAAGATGCCAAAAAGCATTGGGATCTATTTTATAAACGAAACGACACCAGATTCTTCAAAGATAGACACTGGACCACTAGAGAATTTAGCGAGCTGTTGGGCTTGGGCGCGCAGGAGGATCCAAAGGTTCTTCTTGAGGTCGGCTGCGGTGTTGGGAATTTCGTATATCCGTTGGTCGAAGATGGATTGAAATTTAAAAGAATATTCGCTTGTGATCTGTCTCCTAGAGCAGTGGAATTAACAAAGGTATATTTGTTACATTTATTTCACTTATCGCACTACATTCATGTATACACGTGGTTGCAATAATTGTACTTTTTACAGAGTCATGTATTGTATGATCCAGAAAACATGAGGATTTTTCAGACTGATGTTACAACGGAGGATTGTTTCGCCGATGTAGACTGTCCTGTGAATGCGGCGACCTTAATATTCGTTTTATCATCCATTCATCCGGATAAGTTCCGAAGGTAGGTAATCGCGCATTGCCGCCATTTTTTTATAGCGGCCGGAAGCTTATGGAAGTTTTTGTGTTTCAGAGTTGCTGAGAATTTGTACAATGTTCTTGATAATAAAGGAGTTGTACTTGTAAGAGATTATGGTCGATATGATATGGCCCAGTTGAGGTTTAAGCCTGGTCATAAAATTAGTGAAAATTTTTACATGAGGCAGGATGGAACCAGGTAGAGTTTTGTTCTTTCTTCTGCTGAAGCTGCCTGATATTTGTTGTTTTAGTTAAATCTTAACAAGATTTATTTGTTATTTCAGAAGTTACTATTTTACCACAGAAGAAGTAACTAAGCTATTTGAATCTGCTGGTTTCCGTACTTTAACATGTGATTATGTGCAAAGACGTACCGTAAACTTGAAGGAGAATATAGATGTGGCCAGAATTTTTGTTCAGGGGAAATTTGAAAAACCTTAATAATTTTAATGCGATGGTATGTTTCTGTTAAATATTGATTACATTTTGTTAAAAATAAATGATGACTTCATAGTTCAACTGATTTAGATTGAAGAATGTTACTAATGTCTTTCGCTCCTATCTGATAATTTTATATTGTTGCAACAATTTGATTGTGCACATAAATAGGTTTTTACATTATCTGTTTTTATGTTTCAGGGCATATAATGTGTTCAGTCTAAAGCACAATGGAAGTTGAATTCATGTGAGTAGTACAGTTTTATATTATATTAAAAATGAAATAATGTGTACATGCTTTTTTATGATGACTGCATAGTTCAACTGATTCAGACTGAAGATTATTTATAATGTCTTTCGCTCCTATCTGATAGTGTTATGATATAATATTAATTACACCATTGGTGACAACATCCTTCTATACCTTGATTCTTCGTGTTACAGACAGTACTGTGGATTCAATTGAAGTTGAATTTAAAGTGTAACCGATCAATATAGAAAAGTAAGTTCCCAGGCTTCTTGTATTAGATTAGAAAATGTAATTAAATATGAAATAATTTTTGTGATGAATTCATAGTTCAACTGATTTAGTATGGAGATTAACAACAAAATAGTCTTTCACCCCTATCTGATTGCGTTCTCAATAATTGACTCTAATTTATTCCACTACATGCAAAAGAAACATTTTTCTTTTTTTTTTTTTAGTACATGTTGAAGCAGTACCAGTACCTTCGAGACATACAAACTTTTATTAAATTATATTAGTGAGTATAGTTCAAATTTTTTTCATCGATATTTTCGTTAGATTTAAATTTCAATGATGTATACACATCTTTGTGTGTTTGATATTTAATGATATATACATATTATATCGTCACTACCTCTGAGAAAAACATTCAGGTTGTTCGAATTTTTATTTTTTAATTAAGCAGAATATAAACTATTATCTCTTTGCAGTTGAAGAAACAACTTTGAAGCAAACATGTTCTAACTAGCGATTTTCACAGGACTAGAAATAAAGGTACGGCAATCTTATACAAAAGACAAATTAGCAAAATATTATGTACTCTACCAATGATGACGATTGTTTTTATCTGATTACTGTGATTCAGAAGACATTAGCTCTATCTGAAATTCAATTTATTTTTACATTTTTTCCTACTAACTATTACACAACTTTAACAGAAATCTTTTTTCAGAGATTATTGGTGAGAGTTCCCTGAAGATTATCAGATGTGAAGTGTATTTCATCATACCTAATTTACTGTGTTGTATAAACTAATAAATAAATGAATTGAAGTTAGTACCTTTGTATGTTTAATACCCCGAGTATGAATATTGCAAAGCACTACATATGAAGTATCAATAATACTGTAGCGACAATAATTAAAAACAAAATTCGATTGCCGTTTTTTACAATTAACGTTACCGTTGACCATTAATATGACTACCAAATATACTGAATTGTCATGTTTTAGATTTAATAAACCTTTACTTATTCTTTGTATTATTTTGGAATTCAGTTTAATTATTTTCGTTCCTACTATTAAATTATTTTTAATTTAGCTGATTTTGTATTATTTAATTAGAAAAAAACAACATGCACATAGCTAATAAAACTTGAATTCTCTACAGTAGGAAGCCATTTTAATGTAGCCAAATACATCGATACAAATCTATAAACAAAATTCAAAAATGTATATTACGTTTACTTACAAATTATATAAGCTATTAAATGCAGAATATAAGTCATAAATGAATGAGAACGATGTATCATCGAAGAATAGATGGAACTACAATGGATCCAACCACTGTAGTTCCATTAACGGCAAGCTTCGCTACATTAAAATTCATAAGAAAAAAACTTAAAGGGTGTCGCTATTATGTGTCAAGGAAGGATTTGAAAGCGAAGTCGCTAAGACGAACAAATTGCATCGGGATTATTAATTAGGCAAAAAGATGCCGCGTTCCAGTTTCTTTTTGGCGACGCAACCGAATCAGGGAGTGATGGAACCGTATTTTTATAACACGCAGAACACGAATCGACTAATTATTCATATATACAAATAATTGCGTACCCTTTAGTTATCGTTTATTTTAAAAATAGCCATTAAAGAACAGGTTAGTTAACGCGATAATGGCCAACCGTTAACTTTTTGTCGGATTGATCGAAAAGTTTTGTATTCCGGATATTCGGCCTAATTGGACTACTTAAAATGTTTTCGTTACTTCAAGAACCATCGATAGATTAATAAAACCAGGTACTTTTAGTATCGATTTTTAGACGATAGTTCTGAAACCTTTCTTAGACAATCTTCTTTGTCTACAACAACGGGGTTAGTGAAGAACTGGTCTGTTCCTTTGGCGTCATCGTTGAATCATTGTTTATACACGGACAAAGGGAATTTCGAATGCAGTCCGAATTTCGACGACATTAGAAATCATTTAGGCCTCAATATTTTTGTATAGTTACCCCTGTTTGTATATGCAAATGTAGCCATCCGCAGACAGGGCCCGAAGTCCGTAGGAAAAATGAGATCTGTTTACAAAGTGGATTCCCAGTAGTCTTGGTTCTTTGTGGTCGGAAGTAAACGAAATAAACAAATCAATGTGTCGAACAAAGGATCGCCCACTAAAAATCCATGTGAATCGAAAAAAAACACCGAGGAAATCGGTATGCGGCCGAACAGTCGGACAAGCCGGCTAGCACTGTGGACACGCATGCGCAGTGGGGAGAACATTAGGAAGTAGTCGGGTTTTCCCAACGCGATTGAAATTCAAAACAGCAAGGGCGCGCCCTTCAAACGTAAGAAGCGTTTGATATTTGCGTTCGCAATAAGAAAGCCTGGAAACATTAAAACTATCGTTGCATGAAATTAATTATTGCATTCCATAAATGGTGTAAGGCTCAAGGAACATCTCTTAGAATAATAAATAACAACTGCGTTACGTTATAACCTTCTCGTGTTAAAAAAACTTAAGTTCTGTTTACCTTTCTTAAATGCGCATATTAATGAGAGAAGCAAAAATCGATCTACCATCTGAAACAAAAAATTAACTAAATCGGGACCATTATTCATCATAATTTAATTCGCGATATAATTGTATCGCTTAATAGATTCCTTCGGATCTCGATTCAGATTTTATTGCGAGAAGTAAAAAATAGTGTCTCGTAGAGAAGAATTCAACTTTTACTTTTCAAATGCAGATTATCAAAAGTCTTGTTCTATTCGATAGGCATTCCGTAAAGTGCATGCTCGTTGTACAAAATACATGTCGGAATTAGCAATTCCGATCAAAATGTCCAGGACTTCGGATTCCTTTCCTGTTTTGGTCGATATATTGTATGAATGTTCTGCCCGTGGCCGTCCTTCCATATTTCTTTAAAATGTTGCAATCAATGATCTAATTTAAAAAAAAAAATTGGTAACTCATCAGGTCGAGAAGATTCTTCAGTGTGTGTATGATCAGTGATTAAGCGCCATAAATATTCTGTACATCTTGCTATTTTCCTGGTACACGTATATGTACATCGTGAAACGCTGATTTTTCTTATTAGCTGTGTATTCCAGAAACGGTCCCGTTGAAAAATATTTTTCCTGGTAACCGTGGATGAGTACGATTTACTTTTGTCTTGCGCAATACGCTTGGCCGATATTTTTGGACCCGTCATCTGTGTAAGTGAACGTCATTCAGAATCGAATAAACAATGCTAGCGCCGATGTAACGTATACGAGATGTCCTTTGACTATTATCACTAAAGTTCATGGAACTCGTTACAATTGTATCACGGCGTGTATACCGGCCACTATTACGTCGTATGTGGTAAAACACTTTCGTCCGTATTTGGCCGATTGCCAAGGTCCCTTGCTTCACCCGCGTGCCATGCATCGGAGGTTGTACATGGGTCTGCTTCAGAATACGTGAACGAGATTCCTTAGCAGACCTCGACGTCGTCCACAGCTACATCGACGACACACCTACACTGGTTACGTATACGGCTCCGTAAACAATAAGACGTGTAACAACCCCGTGCAACATCCACCGGCTCACGAAGACAGACGCGCGGCCGGGGCACACACGCACGACGCGTTTGTCCTCGTATGTTGATCAATCGGAGAATGACGCGCATAGGACGATCTGTCGCACAGGTATATAAAGGTATCCACCAAAAAGCAGAAGCATCATTCAGTTCCAACTGATCACAGAAGTTCATCTCGAAAGCTCCATCAAACTCAACCAAACATGAAGTGCTTCGCCGTAAGTACATCGAATACACTATACTACAATAGTTATACAGTCATTGTTTACGTAATGTTGCATCTTGCTCATGGAATCGTTTTACTCGTGCATACTGGCGGAACGAACCATTTTAACGCGTACTTACACTATTCTCTGATGGGATAACAACAGTCACTTGTCTATAATTTTGTCCCCCATCAGTAAGATTGTACGTATTATGCGAAATTTCTGTGACTTTTACCGATGCTAACTGTTAGCACGGTTTGTTCTAGTAAAAAGTAATCGGTGGAACACATTTAGTAGTGATACCAACAGAAGGTATTAATTACTTGTCAATTTCTTGCACGATACCTTTTCAACTTGGGTATTTTTACATTTCTTGGCAGTTGATTGCAATCGGGACTTTTTTTGTTGCAAATTGCATCCAGCTGCGAAATCATTAATCTATGAAACTATTGCTCATCGTTTCCAGGCTATCGTTCTTTTGGCTATGTTCGCCGTTGCTTTCGCTGAGGAGAAACCCGCCGAAGCCGAAAAACTCGAGCCTGTGGCGCCGTTCCCTGGTCCGGATGCGCCTAGAGACAAGAGAGGCCTGCTGTTGAGCTACTCTGCACCACTTACATACGCTGCCCATTCTGCGCCGCTCACGTACAGTTCTAGTTACTCCAGCCTGCCATACGCCTACCGCAGCTTCCCATACTACTACAACAACTACTATGTCGGTTAAGCGGTTGAAAACCGAGATACCGAGGGACCTTTGTGATTAAGACTCAGGAAACGATCATGGCAATTGCAAGGACTTCTTATCGAGCAGCGTGTACCACTTTAGTTTAAGTAAATGAAACAGAATCAGCCTGGTAATCACAGATTCGATGGCCCAGCAAAATTTTCCGAAATGAACTACCACCAATATCGTAACAACATATGAATGTAATGTTTGACGAACACACACGTTTCGATATACAATATGTAAATTTAATGCTCCCTTATGTGTCACAATGTTAAATATAGAAAGTAATTCATTTTAATTTTGTTTCGTAAAATTTTCTATTCTACCTTTCCCATCTATGAATCTTAGGAGCTGAATGTTTGAAACATATATCTTAGTAAATGATCGAATAACTGAATCGTTTAAGCGACTAAATTAATTTTCAATGATCAGACGCAGAAGCGACGCGTTAGATGCGATCGATAACCGATACCTTCGAATTCCATCGGCATCTAGTACAGATGCAAATTCTGTCTATGTACCATAGGCGTGGACTTATTAGCCATGCATCTGCAGTTTCATCTTTAATACCGGTACGCATCGTAAAGTGTTGGTGCATTGTGGCATCGCACACTTCCTGTCGCGGATGCAAGGAAACTGCAAACAGAAACGTTATGACGCCATCAGGTGAAATGTGCTGCTGTAATTCTAACGCCAGCATTTAGGGCCACAGTATGAAATCATTTGGAAAGAAATTATACGCGACAATGGCGTCAATCTATTGTCCGTGTCTATTGGCTTCGAGCGCTGTTCATGGAAAAAGATGGCGATGCATCGAGCTTCCTCGGGCGGTCGTATTCAAATGATGATAGAAATGGAGCACGTAGAATATCAAGGACGAATCGTGACGTTCCACGAGCCTGAAAAAATGAACGTTTTTAAAGCGGTACCAACGGAGTTATTTAATCGGGCCTGTTTCGGCGCATCTCAATGCGTTCGCGTAACAAGGACGAGGTTCGGATTGTTTTATGGAATACAGGCGCGCACGATTTACGCGTAATCGTGAATTACACAACACGAATATATCACTGTAAATGAACACTTGTTCTGTATTCTCCGGGACTTGATGACTTTATATACTTTCACTGAGGCTTCGACGGATACGGACGTGATGGGAATGATAGGAGCTTCTCATAGCCGCGGAATGCCTTTCGGGAGCCCAACGGAAGTTAGGCTGACGTACAACCACCTATCTCATATTTTCTTAGCAAAGAAGAAATTTTTACGTTAATTACAATGGGAGAGATTTACTAATCCCTCGAGGCTACCGCCTCGATGACCTAAATTTACATAAAACAGTATTTATATCTAATAAGGAGAAACTAACAACTTGAAGGTTGCTCTTTAAGCATTATGTGTGGAATATTTTCTATAGTTAATTCAATCGACAGAAGTCACCCTTGTAATTCGAACGTATTGCAAAATTCATTTTAGATTCCATGGACAATGGCATCTTTTCTGCGAGTCACGAATGCAAATCAATGAAATTCGGGAACAGCCGCGAGAAGACGATACTCTACATCGATATGTGTAACATCACCAATCCGTAACAGCATTGCCTAAGTGTGATCGATGAAAGCCGGCAAGAAAGTCTATTGTAATTCGTGGATGGTCGCGACCCGACTGTATTTATACATGTGCAGGTATGGCCGTGGTCTTAGTCGGACCGTCCATCCTTGAACGAATTAGTTGTTTTCTGCTCGGGTGCTCCGGTTAAATGTCGAGGGATTTCGCGGTGTAGTATAGTTCTAGCATTGGAAGCGTATCGTACGGTGTAGTGACAAGTGTAAATCGGATTAACGACCATGAAGTTGCTTTCGGTGAGTATCGATATGGAAACTTTGCGAATTAAACTGTGTCGAATATATTATTCACCCGGGTGACACGACCTAGCTAGGGTTTATTTTATGATTTCCTCGCACGAAAACTGAGGTATCGTTCGCTTATTTCCTGTTTAGGTAACTTGTCTCCTGGTTATGGGCTTATTAACTGTCAAAGCGGGGGCTGAAGTCGAGGAAGCCGGAGAGAAGCCGGAGATTACAAAGTTAGAGCTGGTGGATCTCGGCGAGGGAGAAAGCGACATCGATGCTAAAGACACGGAAGTTCAAAGAAAGAGGGATTCAGGTTATTCCTATAAAAGACCCGGCGGTGGCGGAGGCTTTACGCCAGCCACGAGAGCTCGTTTCCAAGTTGGACAATCCGGTCACAGAGGACGTATCGTGAACAGACATCCTGCCCAAATAAACAGACCTATCACGAAGTACGGACCGCCCGGTTATCAGAATCCACCGCCATCGAGGCCGGCTTTACAGAGTCAACAGCATCGAGATAAATTACAATACCACGGTCATTTCGGCCAACAACATTCGAGCAACTTTGATGGCCGTCCGAGTGGTTTGCAGGAGCAGGGTGTCCCGAGTCCAATTAGACAGGTCGACTTCGTGGAACCGAATCCGATAGCCAGTCAGAATAACGAACCGTTCGCGTCACACGCGGCGAACTACTTGCCCCCCGAGAATCAGAAATTACCCGGTCCGACAGTGTCGCAATCGTTTTTCCAACAACAGAACCCCTTGGACAATGGCCAGGGACAATTAACGAATTTCCAAAGTCAGAATATCGTGCAGCCCCAGCCGCAGCTTTCTGACGCGGCCCTATTCCTGGCGCAAAACGCGCAAGCCATACAGCAACTGTACGGTGCTCCACCTAACGAACAGGATTTCGCACCGAACGATGCCCCGTTCCCAGGACACAATAACCAAGCGCCATCTACGACTGATCAGTTCGAGAATCTCGAGAGCAGTTCACCGACTCCCCAAGGTTTCCTAGGTCCCTTGCCGGCATACGCGTCCGGCACACTGAACGCCCAGGAAACCCTGGAACAGATTCAGTCGATCGAGAAGGACCGGCTGATCGTCCAACTTCAACGTGCGCTCGCCAGCCAGACAGAGACCCAGAACGCGGCGGAAGCAGCTGGAAGGTACGCTCAAAATCAGCCGAACTTCGTACAGAATCAAGATCTTCTGGCTTCCCTTGGACAGCGAATGAAGATTCACGGTTTAAATACGCAACCAAGTATCGTAACGATCCGGCCCGGGGACACAGCATTCAATCAATCACCTTTTTTGCCAGGCACGACGATCACCCCAGGGTTTCCGCTTAACTACGGAGTCACGACCACGATTCAGCCCCCAACGACCACCGCAACGACAACGACCACAACACTGCAGCCACCTCAGGCCACGAAAGGCGACGGAACCACACAGGTCGGTTCCACTCTGCCCGCCTCGCAACCACCGTCTCCTTTATCACCCGCCGCAGGAGTTCCAGTTTACGGTGGCTTCGTACCGACTTTGATCACTGGCACAAGTTTCCTGTCGAACATTCCTACCTACGGGCCCAGTTTCTTCGCTCCTGGCACCGTCACAGCGGTTCAAACATCCGGTTCCACTCCTACCCATTTCGGTATACCCATCCCGACGGGTCCTGGTCAGAAACCGACAACAGGCACCACATTGTCAATCATACCGACTTCAACCCCATCGACTCCGTCGACAGGACGACCAAGTGCTCCTTCATCACCACCGATTAATACAGTGCCCCTTCCTGTACACCCTGTCGCGACACCGTTGCATCCGGTGGTGACATCGCTACGACCAGTGACACCTTTGCAACCGGTGCTGCCAGCGACGCCCACGCACGTGTATCCGGTACAGACACCGTCTGCACCAGCGCATCCGACGTACGGTGTGCAGACCACACCAGTGATCAATCCGTCGTTCCTGTACAAGCCCGTTAAACCCGTCTACCCGTTCTATTATTACCCGAACGTGGCGTATCAGCTGCACAAGCCAGCGTCGCCGACTTACCCGTGGGGCTACGCGCCGACCTACGCCACGCAAGCGAAACCGGCACAAATATGGAAATGACGCGCTGTGATCCAGTTCCCCCACCCTTTCGGCGGAGGTGCGAGTGAATCCCGTTAACTCGCCCTCTCCTTATCGAGACTGACTGTTTATCCGCGCGGAAAAGGGAGGTCGAAGAGATCGAACGATGAAAGTAAACCTGGCGCCAGGCGGAGCGGATTTCGCGGTCACGATGCGACACACGTTCCCCCCCGAGGAGACGAGTAAATACTTGAGTCTTTGGATGTGTCGAGCTGGCCGCTTTGTTAAGGATGTCTGATTTGTTTAGCCGAATTACAGTTGGATGTAATGCTTCGATCGTTATGAATTACCGTTGTCTTGCCGATGACCATCGCATAACGCGTCGCGAGAAAGGTTACGGCGACAATGGTTTGGCTGTGCAGCTGTACACACCAACACATACAGTAAATCCTCGATGAGTGTTAATTGGCTCCTCGGCAATGAACATTGAATAGTTCATAAATTAATGGCCGTATGCGACTGCAACAAATGTCATTGGCTTCAGCAGTACACCTAGGGATCTCTCCTTATCAGTGTCGAGGAATCTTTGAACACTCATCGAAGATTTACTGAACACACAGAAACGCATTTTGTTTCGACCGTGAGAAAAATCATACAACTTCATTCCTTCTTTTTATATAAATTCTGTTAAATTTGCGAATCCTTAGTGTAATCGGTAAAAGGTGCTTCCAATTGTTTACTCATTAGATTAATCTTTCGTTTCGTAAATCATACGATGTGGGATAAACGGTGAACTTTACTTAACTCTTTCTATACTTCGTATTTATGTGTATCATTGTGATTGTTATTGAGTTATGTATGTACATACCGTCGGTGTTATTTATTATCATGAAATAAATGTTTTTTTTTTACTGTCCACGAGTACCTACACTTTTTATTTCAATTATTTTTCTGTGGCTCGTGACGGGCCACGGACGTGACAGTTCTGACGTCAAGGAAAGTTCATCCGAGAAAATCAACTGTCTCCACTTCCGGCCCGCGAGCTCACGCCACGGAACTCTCACCGAAGTCGTCGTAATGGGCGGCCGGATTGATCTGTTGGTAGTTCGATCCTGACCTCGAAAGCTGTTCGATAATTCTAATCACGACCCAACGGAGCCAGATTACCCAGACAATACCGAGAATACATAATACGCCCGTCCTCGGCAGGCATATATACCGTCTTCCCTCCGTCGATTTCGTAATCTTTGGCCACCGTGATATCGTGTTGCTGGAAATTTCGCGTAGTCAGGAATGGAAATTGATCACCAGACGGTTGCTCCACCGAACCCAAAACCCAAGACGCTGGAAGATCCAAGCACTGCTGCTCCGTCAGCACTTCCGTCGCGAATTAGTCGCGATTAGCGACTCAGTTTTCATCCCCCACCTCCATGCTCGTTTTCGTGTTTCCAGAGTTAGACACCAGTTTGCCAACCCGTTTCATCGATGACACTACACCACCGTGGCGCAATGCAACCACGAAAACCGAGCGTGCACCGAAGCCTCGTGCGACCGAGTTAAGAAAGTAAAGCGACGAACCAGCTTGCACGATGTATACCGCTAAACGTACTAGATCCCAACGAATACCGACTGAACTGGTATAATTGCCCCTGTAGACGACCCATTCCTAGATTTCTGTGACGAAGCATGCTCGAACGGAAAAAAAAGGGCGACTCGTTACAGAGAAACGGATTTGGATGTACGTACGTCGCGTCCCTCTGTACAGGAAACCAGGCTGTCAACTCACTTTCCGCGACTGACCCAGAATCCCATCCTTGTTTTCGTTTTAACGCTGCTCGTGCACTTTTACCGTACGCACTTATACCTGTTCGGGGTCTGGATTTCTTGTTGAAGGGACCGTTTAGATCGTTGGATAAGCTGAATATAAATTAGTCCGATCCCCCTCCCCACTGTCTTCAACCTGTCAGGTAAACAGAAACGAAACGTTGCGATTAGTCTCAATTGCTTTCGATGATTAAACGGTCGCTCGTTGCCTCTTTTCTAAATCCCGAACTGACAGACACGTTACATGCGTTACTAGATAAAAAAAAACCTGGCAGAAACGTTGTTATGTCTTTTTAATTAAATTCTTAATGTACCGAAACAATGACGTTTAGAGCTTCCTCGCTTCGTTCTCTTGTAGACATTAAGGATTACTTTACGATCGCGTTACCTAACAAGGCGAGCCGTGTAACGCGTCGACGGAGAACATAAATACCGTGATCACACTTGTTTCTCCTATGCAAATGGTACCGTTCATTCAGAAGCGTTTCAATTTCGAGCGGTATCCCACGGTCATTGTTCGAGGGCAACGGTTCATAAACGTGTTTCCCCACGGAAGTGTTTAACGAAAGAATGGAAGTTCCCGAAGCGTTTGTAATTACCACTTTTACTTTTCAAGTAACCGCGCGAAGTACAACGTTTTGTTCTGTGCGATCGCGTGTAATTAAGTTATTACGAAGTTAGCGACGAATCTGCTTCTCCCAGCAAAATACCTGTACATTTTATAAAATGGTATTTTAATCGGTGGCCATTAAAGTTCCGCATTCTTCGCTAATAGTTACAAAAAATTCGAAGTTGCCTCCATTTTTCACAAGAGTATATGTATTAATAAAGAAACGAGAACAGTCTTTAGGGGGGATTGGATCGAGTGTAGAGGATTGATCATTCGCTATCTTTTTGGCAAAGACATCGGACTTTCGATGGTCCGTGAATACCGTCTGAAACCGTTGACACGAACAATGACTTCGTACGGCCCACGAGTGAAAGTAAAACGAAATCAATCGGTATTTTCAGGCGTTACAGATCGTTGACACGACAGATGGCGGGCGTCGTCCAAGTATCTAGTTCCCCAATGATTGCTTCCAGGCGTCGCAAGGCTACATTAAACGGCACTATCTTGAATTTTCTAGTTCGCGATAGGATTATGCGGCGCGGAAATAAAAAGCTCGAGACCGCCTAAATATTCGTTACTTTTTGCTACTATGCTCTGTGCATTTCACTTTCCAAGATCAAGACTACTTTCAGCGGGATTGTAACGGTGAAGCGTGTCCAGCACAGGAACCACACCTTCACTGTTCCTTTCATATCGAGGCACATCACGGGATTAATTGAAGCACAAGCAGGAAGGATACCACTTTCATTGGCGATATATCCGTTCTGTGAATAGAATTTCGTGAATAGAGTCCACGTACAATCTTCACATTCATTGAAATTTGAAATAGAAAAGATTCGTAAGATCATTCAGGTCGGAGAAGAAGATGGATTTACTATCCTAAAGGTGTACTCTATGAATGATTTACGAACACCTCTTTGATATTATTATTTTTAATTTGCTGCTTCGATTTCTAAGCTCGTTAGCCATCGTAAGGAATTCATTGAATTTAGTACGCCGAAATGTAATAGAAAATCAACTGGGATAGAATATTATGTTACTTGAACTAGAACTATAAATGTATTAAACTCAATTATTAATTGCCATTTATATTGACGGTAAACGGGTATTTAGTATAACCAAATTACTAAGAATTATCATTAATGGCAGACCATGATTGAGTCACATCCTACGACGCAATGCAGTATTCATTCTACACGCTAGTTTCACTGTAATCGGTAAACGAAGTCTTCACATTGCTCCCAATACGCCCATCCAACCAGAATGTTTACATTGTTAAAAAATAAATAACAGCGTTGTCGACAACGAAATTACATATAATAGTATCGCATGGTTGCCAGAGAATCCTTCTCCAGGAAGCGAGCTAATTGTGAGTCGCCTTTCTCGAAGAAAATGGGCCTTTTACCAGACGATTAGACGAAATTTCATAGAAATGTTGCCGTATTTACGTCTGGTAAGCGGCGACCAATTACCTTCCAGGAAGAAGATTTAATTACCGGGGCCACTGTCGGTATGCAGCTAACTCGGTACTAATTAAGGAGGACCACAGAGTATTTCGTGATACTGTGCACTTTCTTTGGTGACTCAGTGCACAGAAATACTCAGTCATTCCATAAAAATTCAAACAAGCTACACGGAAATGAGCATACGTTTAGAAACGTTTACCGTGCAACACAACAGTTTGTGTGTCGTCCCACGTTTGCACGAGGTTCGATCCAATATAATTACATATGTACACAGTTCCTGCTTCCGAATGCAGTTTTAGAAAACGCGATCACGATAATTAAATGTATCCTATTCGGTTCGGATGAAGAACTTCGGCTTGATTTTACGATGCAGCCTGAATGAAGAGTTTCGCGAAGGAATATCCACGATATAATTAGCTCCGTATCTAGATCGATCGACGTGATCAGCAAAAAAAAAAATGGAAATCGCGGCCCCTTCCTTCCTATTGTGGGAGATCATCGACTTCCCCGAAAGGAAATGCCCCGTTCGCGATCGGTAAGAACAATGCCTGATAAATATCGATCTAGCAACTTTTACCGAGTAGGGCACTCTCGTTTGCAAACTTCTCATCTTTCGAGATACATAAAACCACGATCGTCCCGTGTGCGACGGCGCGAAGGTGGTGGTGTGCTATGTACCAGTGCGGGGAGACTCACCTTCACCTAGACCTTTCTTTCGCCGTGTAAGAGGGGATCTGTATATAAAAGGTCTCTTCTGGGTAGCAATGGCATCAGAAACCACAATTTCACTTACATACCCGGTTGTCACTTGATCACGAGAAATATCGAGCGGGATAGTCACGTTTGAAGCCACCATGCGGTCATTAGTAAGTGTCACATTTATTTAAAATTAGTATAATCAACATCAAGATATTTTCTATAACCAGTGCCTATAAAAACGCGTCGGTTTACCTTTCCATCGTTTCTAATGGAAAGATTTCATATCCTCGTCTAACGTGGAATAATTTTTTGCAGATCACATTGGGACTCGTAGTCCTCGTTATTTCGACCGTTTCCTGCAGGGAAACGAAAGGAGAGAAGCGACAATTCAGGCTACAACTAAAAGGAAAACGGGGTGTCAGTGATTATTCCGGTGGCTACTCGTCTGGTGGAGGATCCTCCTACAATTCACCACTCATTCAGGCAAGCGGAGGCTCTGGATACAGCGGAGGATCCGGTGGAGGATATTCGTTGGGTCATTCTGGAGGTATCCAGAGCTTGCAAGGATTGGGAGGTTCGCTGGGACACGGTTCACTGGGATACTCTCTAGGATCATCTGGATCTGGAGGACTTAGTTTGGGGGGCTCTGGTCTGGGTCATGGCTTGAGTCTTCAAGGGTTATCCTTAGGAGGACACCTTGGTCAAGCTTCGTACTCTCTCCCGAGCATGTCGAGCCTCGGTGGAGGAGGAGGGGGTGCAAGCATCGCGCTATTTAGCCCCTCTTCGAAGAACGGACCAGTTACATTTGGATCCAATGGCGGAGGTGCGTCTGTAGGCAGTTCTGGTTCCAGCTATTCGACACCAGCCTATGCAACAGGAGGTCAAGGATTATCATCTTACGGTGGTGGTGGTTCGTCAGGCGGCCTCAATCTTCAAGCAATGTTGGGATCCTCGCACGGTTCCTCGTACAGTATACCAGCATCGTCTTTGGCTTCGCTGGGAGGCTCATCGGGACATGGTCTTTCTATTCAATCGTTGTCTCCAGGCTCGTCCCATTCTGTTAGCGGAGGCTTGGTAATTGATGCAGGATCGCTTGGTAAAGGTTCCTCCGGTTCTTCTCTTGGCTCCAGTGGCAGCTCTAGCTACTCTCTCCCAATATCTTCTGGGTCCCACGGAATTTCTGGTTTGTCCAGTTCCGGTGGTTCAGCCAGTTATTCCTTACCGGTGTCGTCTGGGTCATCAGGAGGTCACATCAGTCTTTCTGGTGGTTCTGATGGTTCCAGTTATTCTCTTCCCTCTGCCTCTGGTTCGTCTTCGTACTCCTCTGGAGGAAGCTCCAGTTATTCCAGCCCCACTGTTACCTATGTTGCTCCTAATTCTGCTTACTCGGGTTCAAGTGGTTCCTACGGTGGCTCTAGCTCCAGTTATCCCAGCCAAACCGTCACCTACGCCACCGGTGGCTCCAGTGGAGGCTATTCCGGTCCGTCCGTGACCTACTCTGGCTCCGGATCCAGTTACTCCAGTCCTATTTCCAGCTATTCTAACTCCGGCTCCAGTTACTCCAGTCCTAGTTCCAGTTACTCGAGTCCTAGCTCGAGTTACTCTGGGTCATCCGGCGGTTATTCCCCCAGTTATTCAGGTTCTTCCGCGTCGTATAGCTCTCCCGCGGAGTCCCATGGGTCCTACTCGAATCTGAGCCCCAGATACGTCGGGTATTCCGCAGGGAAGAGCTACGAGGGCAACAAATACGACACGATCTCCTACTCCAGTCCTAGCGGAAAATATTAAATTTGTCGAAAGTTCAAAAATACACCTCCTCGCGATTCTAGCAGGGTAAGATGCCGTATCGATAACCGGCTCGCTTAGGACAGTCTTAGAAAAGTTAATCGCGACGATCGATTTAGCATCGGATGGTCCACGGCTCCAAGGACACCGTAATAATTTATATTAATGTTACTAGCATAATTATCGTATTATTTAAGACATCGTTTTATATATTTATAATCTTGTTACTCGCTTCCCAATACCGTTGTATACGCCCGGTGACATCGACATTGTGATGTGTACGTTGCAGAGCTTTATACCTTTTTTTTTTTTATAATAAAGTGATGTTTTTTTTGTAACCGGCTGTCAATCCCGTCTGACGTTCCACATAAACCGATCTGGAAATCCCTGGCATTATCGAAAACCGTAGCGGATAATTTATTCATAAGCTTTCACCCGGTCGTGTTCGCATCGTTAATTATCTAGGATCGACGGGATCGAAGAAGATACCGTAAATCAGAAACACGAACGTACAAGAACTCTTCTTCCTTTCAATTAAGCGAACACTCGGGGCATCGGAGTTCCATCGCGAGTTCGAGGGAAAAAATTAATTTGCCTCTCGTCGAGTATATCGAACGATTTTTCATATATCCAATTTGCATTTCAGAATTCGTAGTAGTCTCCGAACCGACTTGACGGTGTTATTAGCGTTTCTAGACCCGTCGAAACTGTCACGATCGGTGCAGAATTCATTTTTTATTTTTTTTGCTATCGATATAGCATCTTCGCTGTGAAAGTTATAGGCCGCGGGAAAAGTAAACGGGAACGGTAGCCGCGTGCAATAATAATGACGACGACAAAAACCGCTCCCGAAAGCATAAAAAGAGGATCACTTTTACTCCAAGGCCGGCGACAGCGAAATGGGCGGATTCCTTTCTAAAGTTTTATTCTTTTTGGGAAAGTATCCCACCGCCCGCCCGGCCGGTAATACGACTTGCAAGCCGGTGACTGTTCGTCCGCGAACCGGTTTAACATGATTCATAAGGCAACCGTTCTTTGTTTTTTTTTTATTTTGTTGCCCTTATTCCTACGACACTAATCGTAACCGGGTCTGCTACCGGTATATAATATCTCAATATTGTCAAGTCTCGAGGATGTTACATTACCTCCCGTTGCGTTTACACGGATATCTAGCTGCACGCTTTTTATTCGTCCTGATAAACGGCCCTTTTAATTTGCTAGCCCCCTTAGAGTCGTAATTTGTTTCATCTCCTTCTTTATTAATTGCGTTAGAGGCCACGACGCTGGGATTAAAAGTTCCAGGGGAGTGGGGATGGGTTAAATTAGTTCTGAAACTCTTGTAATTTTACTGTCTTCGCGGAAAAGGGAGCCGGGCACGGTTCCGGTCCGGTGTTGATCTAGAACTCTCCGAGCGAAGACGAGTATCGAAGTTTTCAAGCAAGTAAAGAGCTCCATCGGGGGCTACTGCGGACAAGGACGGGGCTCGAAGGCGTCGTTTGCTCGTCAAGCTTTTCCGGGGACGCAAATATTTAAAACTCGACACGAAGCGTTGTGGCCAAGAAGAGTGGAGGAACCGAAGTGCGGAATCATATTATCATCTAACGCTAAACCGTATATGGGTCAGGATTATTTTCAACCAGATAGGTTTGTAAGTCACGCTTGGCGTGGTCGGACGCGTCTGTGAAAAAGTTAAAAAATAGAGAATGTACGTACATGGTACAGATGGTGAATGTGGTTTCTGAAAGTGAAAGATTCGTGGAGAAACCATGCGGTAGCATGTTAATAGGAGAAAGAAACTACGTGCGAAATATGGTGCAAAACAGAGTCGTTCAATATTTCTCGTTCTAGATGAATAACGAATAAATAAGATTATTAAAAAACATCCCCTGCCTTTATAATTGTTTGTATCAAAGTTACGGTTGGTATTAAATACAGTTTAGATTCAATCAGCTTTTCCTACGTATTCCTCGGTATCTATAATAAAACCTATTAAGGAACGAAGGCAAGTATCATTAAGTTGATTCTGGTTTTCGATTAAGAGTTATTACATCTTCGACAAAAAAATACAAGATTACTCATTGAAAAGGAATCTTTATTGCCATACACCGAAAGAAGTCTCTTAAGAGAAATCCTCCCAAATCGTTAACGAACGTTCGAATGTTCGTTCCTGTATCGAGAAGGAAAGAGAACATCGAACGGCACCCACACGAGAAGAAAGCGGACGGATGCGTCGGTTGCAGTATTCAAAGTGCCGTTGTGGTCTGACCCACTTTTCAATCGCACGTGCGCAATGCACGAACGAGCACGCGTGTGTTCGCCAAAGGAACATCGTCGCGAACGACGAAGGAACCACCAGCGATCCGGGGGTATATTCTATCGCGTAGCTAGTTGATTCTTCAACGGTAGAGGGGGGGGGGAGGGTTCGGTAGCACCGCACGGAGAACCGGTGCGTCGTCTCCGTCATAGAAAAGCCACATTTCACTATTTCCCGACTGGTTCTGCGGGCGACATACTTGCGCTTCACTCTCACGCCCGTCCTGGTGGACGTGCCTCGAGCGAAAACAGGGAAAACTCTGCTCTTACTCTTCCTCCCGTACACCGAGACGTTCTCCCGAGTCGTTCGACAACCGCTCGTGATCCATCATTACGCGTTCTGCGCTTCGAAACAAGTAATCCCCACGAAGATTTAATTACTATCTGCGTTACCGTAACGCTTCGACTGCTAAAACGGTCATCAAAGTAATCAAGTAATGTTCATTGTTGCAAGGACTCGGTCGCGGAATGTTACAGATCCAAGATAACCGTACACTGTAATCTCGCGTGCTGATTTCCCAAGAACACGTAAACCACGATATATTAGAGCAATTTCAGATCTACGGATAAGACCGTTCCTCTCTGTTTCGAAGTGGCCACTTTCTCGGTGCGACGCGTGTCGGTACGACATCCGAGACTGTCTTCTCCGGCGCAAGCCAAGTGTCCACGGCTAGCCGTTCAAATGCCTTGTCCCCCGATTTCCAACCCGCATTATATTTATCACCGTGGACCCGCATCGATCGCGTGTGCAGTATCGAAGGCGTGGTCCCAGGACTCGGTAGAGATTCGCCGTGGATTCGTGGCGCGAGGTGAAAGTACACCGAATCGAATAGATGGACGCGCTAGTGGACCCCCGGAGACGGATCTTAAGAACGTCCGTCTGGAGAGGCGCGGCGGAACGGAATAGATCCTCTACGGCGGGTTTCGCGGAACGGTTCTCGCTTCCGTGACCACTTGTCACGGACAAATCGGTGCCGTTTTTTTTTTTTCCACGTTCAAACGGACGGGAGATCGTTCGATTGTCTTTTACAGGATCGCGTGTCGGACGGGATACTCTCAGATGTTGTACAGCCATTTTTCGTGGCCACGATAGGGTCGCAATGATAATTACTCGCTGTCTGTGGCGAGCTTAGACACCGATCGTCCGAAGAGCTTTCACGTTTCGGTGATCCATCGATCTGTCGGTGTCTTTGTTACCCCCCTCTCTCTTTCGTGACATACCAACTGGCACGTAACTATAGGTGGATCTGTAGATCCCACCCGCGGCACACACGCAGACCAGTTTGTCGTGGCTAAGTGCAGACGAGCGACCAGATCGAGAGGCGTTTTACTAGGCGGTTTCACTGAACCGGTGCACCGGCCGGTGTATCCAGATATCTACATATAAGAGCAGAGAAATGTTAAACTAGTTTCCGCGATTTTTCAGCCGGCCGGGTATAAAGGAGAAATTCAATGTCGGCTGATACATCATTAGACGTCGCGCCGGCGTGTCGGTTCGATCTGTGCTCGATCAACGGTGAACGGTGGGACAGGACCCAGCGAATGAGACAGCGCGGAGAAACGAACCGAGTAAATCAGAGACACGTAATTATCGACAGGAAAGAGAGTGAAGGCTGATTGATATGGCGATCCTGGTTCGTATATATGTATATTTCATACGACTGATAAGCTTTCGACTGATAAGTCACAGAGAGAATGAACAGTCTATTTATTCTATCAGTAATGTTCAGTTTGTTCTCTTTTTTTAAGTGAATGGTAGTGTGAGATGTTTATATTCGTCATGTATAGGCACTTGCTTATCTGAATTAGTTATTAAAATATACATCGACAGGGAAGATATTTATTTTTACTACACTCTTTATTTATAACAGGTGCTGCTTGTTTTATCATCGACGATCCTCGTTCAAGGATATGGGAAGAGCAATGACCCAAACGAAGAACCCTTCCTCCCTATATTTCCAGTTTATCCGTACAGCCCAAAACTGATTAAAAGAGAAACCGACAGGGAGGCAGTCACGCAATTGTCCCCGGAACTCTACGCGCCCAAAATCGACGCTAAAGATTCTTACAGTGCCAGCTACAGCACGAACTATCCCCGAGATCCTTACTACCCTAACTATAATCCGTATCCAAAGTCTTCTTCTGCAGCTGGATACTCGTACTACAGTTCTATGCCGTATACATATCCAACCTCGGCATACAATCGATACAATTCGTACTCAACACCCTATCCAGCGGCTCCACCTTCCTATTCAACGATGCCTTACTCCACGTCCTATCCTAATTACTACTACCAACCGCCTTACTATTATCCTAATTATTATACTCAGCCACTATACGCGCCGCCTCCGTTGCCACCACCTGGCGCAGACTATTCCAGCGATCCTTATTCCGATACAGACAACGAGAAGAATAAAGAGAAGAAACCTAGCGGGGACAAAAGGTACAGGTACAACGAAGCGGATCAGGACCCTACAGGCAACCAATACGTCGACGGAGGGAACTATATTTCCGGGAACACAAAGGATCTGGACGGCCAGCCCAGCACCTACAAAGCCAGCAGCCCACAGAATCAGTTGGAACAAGTGAGCGACTTTCACTTAAAGAATATTCAAGTCCCTTTACCAAAGACGACCTACCGGGTGATCAGCGTCGCAGGTCAGCCGGTAGGCCCTGACTATCCTCTACCGGCTCCGTATGTGAAGGCACAACAACTGGAGGAGCTGATGAGTCAGACATGGGCGAAGGTGTTGGCCCAGAATTTGCAACAGGCCGCTCAGTATCACACGAACGACGGGAACAAGAACAATGGTGGACAGTACGTGAACCAGAACGATCAGAACAAGGACTCCCAACGATACGTTTCCGTCCCGAACGTTATTGCCAAGGCTGGTCTGGCTTACATCGTGAATCCTAGCATTCTCGGGAAGCTGAACATTGCTCAGGCTGCTGGCCAGGTCAACCAGGCGCCGACCACTCACTTGAAGAACATCAAGTATCCTCCGCCTATACCTGGCGTTTACACCGCAGTCGACAAGCCTGGAAAGGATCAGGTGGATTCGAACGAGTACGAGAACTATGATACTTCACCACCTCAGAGATCCCAGGACTACGACAGCTCTTTGAGTCAGAACGATAAGCAGCCACAGAATTACGAGAACGAACAATCTTATCAGAATCAGAATTTTGTGACAGCACAGACGCCACGTGGGTACGGTTACCAATATAACGACTACAATCCGTCACAACAAACGGGCCAGCAACAGTCGAACCAATACAAAAACAATTTGGATGACGTGAACTATGGTAGCAAGACGAAAAAGGGATAGACGGCTAAGATTCGTCAGTTGTTATAGAGATGTTATTCCCTCGACTTTGATGGAAATCCAGTGATACGACTCGAAGACTGTTTGCTAATGGTTCATTCAAAAGAAGATCAACTTTCACATGGTGTGTCGGTTTTAATCACAGTCGAAGCAGTATGTCTCTAATTATATTTATAATTGTTTCCTGTAGTTTCTGTATCCTTTTCGTAACGAATGTATCTCGCGCCACGAGGATGAATGATGCGGACGGAAAATTGGCACGAGGAGCTTAATTGTCGCAGATAATTGTCTGCCTGGTCCAACAACGCGCGAGATGCAGGAGCTCTCTAGCATAAGCCGCACTAATATACTTTCGTATTCTACTGGTTCTTCGGTTCGAAAAAATTCGCCTGAACTTTCTCACCTACGACCCGCCACGGTGATATTCGTATTTATGAGGCTTCCGCATCCGTATGCAAATATTGTACTCGTTTTGCAGTCACTAGTTAATAAACAAACGTTGTTGTTTTTTCTCTGTGAGACTTCTGTTCCTTTCTCCTTTCCCTGGATCTACCTACGTAAAATCGAGATTCTTTTTGAGGAACGGAGGATGGTCTCGATGAAACGGGAATCGTACGGAAAGAAAACCAATGTATCTCGAATCCAGAAAGAAAAAACGAAATAGACCGCTTCGTTATGCACGTGGAAAGACGAAGGGGGGGAAGACCAACGATCGCGGAACGAAAGGAAGAGATCCGGATCATGGCTACGTCCGGTCTGGATCGTTTGGGCGCGGTGATGGAAAGGGGAAGTGCGATCCGTGGATCGGCGCACGGCGAGAGAGAGTGGCGTGTACACGGCGTTTTGCTTTATTTTTCCCGTTCCCGGTGAGTGTGCCGATGGTCGAAAATAAAATCAACCGTACCAAGCCTCTTACTTTCTCGCAGCTGGGCTGGATCTCGGTTCGCAATGTACACGGTGACCCGAAAGCTTCTTTACATTTCTGCTCGACGCATCACACTGCGGAGCTTCGTTTACGGGAATGTCGTTGAACTTTCTCTTACCTTTGAAGAAACACTTGGAAATTCCGTTTCGAGGGGGTTTGTTTATATATCGTGGTCGTTATCGGTTCCTTTCTGGATCGACTTTTTCGACCTTGATTATCGGGAAATTCGATTGCACATCCCGCTGGAATGCAACTTATCACCGTGTTTTAGAAAGGTTATTTATGGAGCGTCGTTTAACCCTTTGAGTACGGTGGCAACTGACGCATCGATTTGTAAATATAATTTAAGCTATGCGTTGTTCATATTTGGTCGTATAAAATAAACAGGTGCTTTTTAATGATTGTGGTCGAAAGTATGTTTAAAAAGAAGGAGGCACAGGGTTTGAGACGGACCTAGACACCACTGTCTCTACGAACATTAAAAACATACGTATTCGGAGGGTTAATGGATTCTGCACAGGTGATGGGATGAGGATGTGTCAAATTTTGGGCGGATTTCTAGTTCAGCAGCATTGGACCACTAGCCGAGAAAGTGATGGCAAGAAAGGCCGGTCTCAGCCAGACTGTGCTTTTGTTCCTGACAGATCTGACGAAATAGCGATCCCAAAACGACCGAACGTCCACTCAGGGTCGGCGGCTTCCTTTTTTCTCCTGGCGAATATTGCCATCGTTACACGACCGAGAAACTTTCTCTGCTTAATTGCAGGTAATTCGATTCGTGGTACGAGCACGACGGTCATCGTTTTATAGATCGGACCCGTCCACGCCCGGGATGCGGATAGAAAGTGTTTTTTTTTTTGTTTTCTTCTTTTCTTTCTTGGATCGTGCGCGGACGCTAGAAGAAAGGGTTCGCGGAAACGCGCGATTCAATGACGAATCGATCAACGAGACGGGGAAAGAGGGATCGACAATAAGATTGATGGGAATCAGGAGATCCCCTTTCCTTCCGTTTCGCGGCAAATCAAATTTTTCGAAACTCGTTCCTAAGCGAAAAGTAATCTAGTTTTTTTTCTCTCTCCCCCCACTCCGTTTGAAATTCCTTTCGTGCGTTGATGTACTTTGCCTCGCCTTCCTATTTCACTCTGCGAGAAGTCTCCAGTGAAGGTTTCCTGCCGGTGGGAATAACAAAATATTCTAATTCCCGAGGACGAAATGGAATTTCTTTAATCAAAGTCTGAACACATTATCTTCCAAATAGTAACTACTGTGTTTTACGAATATGAAGACAGAAAAATGAAATCCGACAGATATTATAAATCCTCAAGTTTTAATTCACACATGAGATTTCTTTTATTACAAGGCGGTCTTTCCTCCCCACGAAAGTTTCCATTTTATGTGGACCAAGTCGTTAATCGAATTCCAAGTTAAGAAATTTACCGGCTGCTCTCGCGATGTCTCCCATTTTTGTTCGTCCCGACGGCAATTAAGGCGATGATTGTTAAGCCTTTCACAATTATCAAGCGAGAGCTTTTGGAAAGCAGACTCACGGAAACAATTTATTTATGCGTCCCTTCGCGGATGAAACGGTTTGCATAACAGAGTGAACAGCTTGCATTATATATCGAGGCCCCCGATGGAAGCTGTCGGACACAGGCCGGCAACGAATTCACTTCATTAGCAAACTAATGAACCGATTAACTCGTGGAATAATTAGAACGACTCTGTACTGGAAAACTTGGAAACGATTTAAACGGGGATTATCGGCTAACGGGGTGCGGGGGTGGTCCGCGACAGCCATTTAACGCGCGCCTTCTTCCATTGAAAATGCATTTGGCATGGATCATTCCCGGCTGGAACCTGGAAATACCCCCACTTAATGATCCGTTTCCGAGCGACACGCCGGCACATCCGCGTTTCCATCGACTTTTCTTCGTTGGTTCTCACGGCCGAACCCAGTAGCGCGAGTGCTCGTTTTTTCTCGATACTAATCGTCCGGTTTCAACGGTCGGTGACCGGTCTGATCGTGAGAAATGCATATCACTCGCATAAAAGAGGACCTAGAAATTAGAAAACTGAACGTCTTTCGGGGAAGTAAGAGAGCAAGGAATTGATTTCCCGTGTAACTTGGCTAATTAATGTTCTATGTAAGATGGTTATGGTTCCGTTGCTTTGCATTCGACTCACCTTCTATGGTGATATTCATGGTTTATATGAGATGCAAACGAGCGGCGCATGACTCTTACGGAGGAAAGGGACGAGTCATGAAATCCCTTCACTTTTACCGGTACTGACCGTCTGTGTTCTGTAACACGTGGTCCACAGGACCCATTACACGGGCTATAATCCACAAGTGAAGTGTGCGCGCCGTCAGGGGATGCTACTGGTAGGGGTAAAGGCTATATAAGAGAAGGAGAATCTACTTTGGTTTTGTAGTAGAGCTAGCATCTTTGTGTCGCGATCACACTTTTTCATTTCGATAACATGGTACGTATGTATCCTGGAATAACACACGATTTGCAATTTTCACTTTTGGATTAATATTCATAAAAATATTCGGTAGATGAGTGAACCAAAGAATCGGACATTATGAACTTAATCTGAATTTATTTTAGTATCTTATTTAAATGATTCGGATCTAAATTTTCCAGCTAGAGTAATATTAATAATTATAATTACCATCAGATCTATGATGTTATTGATCTACCTGCGATTAATACTACAAATTATACAAGGGAAAATTATATAAGTGAAAGTACTGAAGCCTTTGATCTATATTTCACTATCTGTATTTTTTAACGATTAGAGTCTTCTTTTTGATATTCATACCATGATTTTCTGGTCACCCTATATTTCACGCATGTTGCACCCAAAATTGACCCGGGGTCCAAGAAGAGAAACTTTTACTTTTGCATGGATAATGCGGTACACTTGGCCACGGGAGGGGCCCGATGCGTGGCGCACTGTATAAAAGAGTGGTCCATGCCGGATGTTTGATACAGACCTTGTCGAGCAGTGAAAGTGTCTTCCGATTCAAGTTCACTTTTTTCCCAGTAATCGCAATGGTTAAGGAACAAACATACCAATCAAATTTAAATCGCAGCATAAATACATTCCACTGCATCATTTAAATAATCTAATTAATTATTTAAATCACAATCGTCGATGTATGAATGACGAGATTTATGTTTACTTTATAGAAACTGTACGTTTTACTGGGCCTGCTGTTCGTCGGTATAAACGGGGAGAAGAAGGTCAACTTGGCTGACATAGAGAGGGACAATTTGCGATCGGAAGGTATATCGAAATCGGGTGTCGCTCGGCCAGAAGGAACGAAGTACTTGACGAAGCCAGAGTATAATCAGCAACAATACCAGTTACCCAGCCAATACAACAGACCAATTAATACACCTAACGCATATGTCACTGCTCCACCGAGTCAAAATGTAAAGTAGATTTTCAGCTTAACGGAGTCTCAAGAAATGATTCAGAATCGTGTCAATTAACGTTTCCTTCGACAGGCTCCAGAAACCTACATTCAGTCCAACAAATACATTCTAAGGGAACCAATCTATCAACAACAGAATAATGTCCCACCGGAGCAGTCTCCGGAATCTCAATATTATAACGAGTACCAACAATCCCCGTCATCTTCTAAAGACATTTCGCCTAGTATCTACGAATCCCAACAGTTGATCTACCAACCGGAAGTGGTCGTTGGTAACCAGTTGCAAGCAACTCAGCAGAAGACTGTTACGGCTAAATACGCGAAAAACGTGAACAAAGGTATTGTGAATATTTATGACATTGTTGTTCGTCATATAAAGCGAAATTTCATGCATGGAATAAATTTCAATACTTAAAAGGTACTTCTAAAATTGTCGTACCTAGGGTAATAGTACGGTTAGACTAGTATTTCATCGCTTTTGTCGAAATAGTTTTCCCACCGATGGAACATTGTTATATTCCTTTATACGATTTCAGAGACAGTATACGTCGATATCCCCATGATGCACCTTCTGGCTTATTACCCAAACTTGAACGGGAATCCCGGTAAAAGCAGCGGGCTATTGGTGCCTCAATTGACTACAGCCGCGACGGAACAGATATCCATTCCTCTCTATACTTCGCCGCTAAACCAGAAACCGATTGTTCCGGTGAAGCCGACTTATCAGATTCAGTACGCTTCGAAATACAATGGGGCTGTTCAACCCACTTTCACCACTAAGGTTAGCGTAAAAAATAATAATCCTTGCTATGATAGTACTTCTATCAATATTCCAATTTCTAAATGGAATTAATGGACGGCTATCATGAACGATGCAAAGTCTGTCAATGAAACGTGACAACCTTAAGATTGACAGTCACTAAACAATTCACATATAATTAATTCACATATACCTCATTTAAAAATTCAATGACATTTCATAAGTCGATATTTCTCGAGATATCAATCGATACTCTACTATTTTCAGTAGATGAACATTGCATGGTATCATTTCAATATTACCAATTTATTCCAATATCTTTCTCCATCTATACGAATAAAATTCCGAGGAAGATACATGCACGGTATCTCTTCAAGATTACCATATTACTCCAATATATTTCTCCATCTATGCAAAGATAATTTCGAGGAAGATACTTTAAATATAAATTACATTGTTCTTTATTTAACAACAAGTGACCTCATCATTCGTGCAGTTGATATAATATCATTTTTACGTGGTCGTCTGTCCCACAAAAAACACGTTCCATGGAAAAAGACATATTGTATTCAAGACAAGTGTATCCAATATAGAACTAGCAATGATTTTTTTAGGCACTGAAGGGTACCGTTTACGCCACTCCCGTTACTCCGAAGAAGTACACCAGTGCCCCGTTAGTAAACGTGCCGACATACGTTCCATCGGACCAATCGCTCGCCCAGGGAAGGCAGTTCTTATACACGCAAGCGTACATCGCTCCACCCCATCCGCAATACGTCTCCCAGTTAGTCTACACACAGCCAGCGACTGTTTATATGCACGCTACGCCTGTCTACAACGACGTCTACGCTCGTGCACCTGCCTACTCGCAGGACAACTCTCTGCACACAAACGTAAACTACAACGGCCCACCTGAACAATTGGAGACTTCCGTGCCGATCGCCGATGAGCTGCCAAATCAGGTTTTGACACAACAAACCAGCCAGAGCGTGGCTCAGAATTACGTCAAGGTCAGTACAATGCGTGAAAATTTTTACGTTATTTGCACGTGGAATGGAGGATTTTAGAAAAACGAGTATCCGATTGGTAGACTAGTTTATGCAAATTTATAATTTTGGCGATTAATCTACGGACAGCAGTATGAATGAGACATTCGTTTTCGTTATTAAGGACTCCTTTTGTTGACTTTAACTTATGCACACTTGTATCTACAGACTATCGAAACCGTAAATATTGTGATAAATTTTCGGCTTTGCGACTTTCTCTTCTGTAAAAGATTTCGACATCGAATTTATTTACGAGTGTCCATCCGACGATCAACCAGTAGCGAGAAATACTTTAATCTACGAAATGAGGAGTGTAAAATACGAAGATCTGCTGTCCATTACTCAGCGAATAGAGATAAGAATTTTATTTCTAGAGTGAGATGATATTTCAATGTGTATCATTAGAAATTTGCCGGAACAGTTACTCAGAGGAACAAATCTGTAATGACTCTTTCTAGACTATCCTCATTCATCACATTTTATTCTATCTAAAATTTTATCAGAATTAATAAACAATTTGCGTTGTAACAGGATCCCGAGGAACCCAGTGACGATTTGGTACCGCCTCAATTACCGCCTCAGGATTTCAAATCTGGCGTCACGTCCTTGCTACCAGTTCCGTCGCAAGAGGACGAGCCCCTTCCAGTGCAGAATCACGTGGTCCCAACCGAGCCAAGATCTCTGTTGGATTCGTACATCCCTAGCAACGTAATCGTGGCTCAGGATTCCGCCAGGTGATCGACTGTTCCGTAAAAGTAGACCAACCATCAGAAGGCGCCTCTTTCACTTGTTTGACCGAGACGATTTGTTACAGATATCAAGAAAGGCCGATCAAATTGGAGAGCGGCTTCCTGCCGTCGAAAGAGAACTTCCTGTACAAGAAACGTAAGGCCGAGTGACTCGCGGAACGTGCTTCGTCACACGACTGACGAACGTCGAGCGAAGAAATGGTCAGAGGTTGTTCCAATCGGTCGCTGGAAATTTTTGGGGTGAAAAATTTCTCCAAGGACACTGTAGCCGACGATAGGAGGCGCGATCGCATCTAGTCTTTTCATCGAGGATCGTCGATCACACTGTTGTTTTCTTCTCCATTTGTAGATCTACGGGCGATGTTTTATACGAATTTTTTTTTTATAGAAAAAAATAAAGTATTATTAAAACAGTTGTTATGTATCTCGAACGAGAGTTTTGTAATTCATCCGATTGCTGTTTGAGATTACATTTGGTAATTATTGGAGGAGAAATCTTATCCTTGGCCCGAATCGAATTGTGAATTTCTTTCTATGTGTATCCGTCTAACTGAAATAGATATCGGAGCTCTGTAACAGAAATAACTCCTTTTTTTCGGATGATTGGATAACTTTTGCTTTCATCGATTTGAACAAACAAATTTTCTTGTGTTTGAGCTTATTTATGCAGGCCACTCGAGATCTCCTTAGGATATTAAGAGATCACTGGGGATTCTATGTTTCAATTCGGAAATTGAGCTTAATTGAGATCCTTCAAAACATTATTTAAATAAGCCGAAGATAAATGAGATTGAAGCGTTAGAAAGGTTCGAAATTAGCATTTCGTGGCTCGTAGCTATCAATCGCTTAATATATTTGTCAATTTCTATGACCGTGGCGCTAATGTACACCTGATAAAACCGCTACCGAGCCGGGCGGTCACGTTCACCGTAGGCGATCCGTTGACACAAGGCGCGTGTGGCACAGACACAAGCGGCCGGTTCGTTCGTGTGTGATGGCGTGCCGAAATGAGAAAGCGGATGCTGTAGGAAAGAGCCAATGGTGTATGCTTTTGAAATTATCCGCTAGAAATTCCGAGCCCGTTGAAAACACCAATTTCCCACCGTGAATTACACGTTCTCTCTCCAGCGAACCGTAACGGTGGCTAACTAGCCCCCATTGAGTCGTCGTTATTATTAAATCGTCCAGTAAAGAGGGTCCTGGTTGCAACATGCAATCAAATTATTCAATCCTACAATTACCCTTGAGCAAACAAAGATCGAAGGAAAAAACAAAGTGTTTGTTAGTATTTTCAATGAATTTACACACGTGATTTCTTATTAAATTTTAGTCAAGGTACGAATGTCATGAGTTTGTCTTTTTTCTTTTACGAATATCACAATTCGTGTTTTTAATTTTTAATCACAGGTAGTCTTGTGTTGCGCATTTTCTCAGCGATTTCATTTGTTGCTGAAATTCTGCTATTTAAAAGGATAAGCGTTTTTCGGTGGAGAGGGCGGGGGACGACGAGCGTTGTTGATCTTGTGGTATATGGAATCGGACCGTTGTTCCTCTAATGTTGAAATGGTCGCGGGTTGAGCACGTAATCGTGACTAGTCGCGTCGTCACTACGCTACTGGCAGGTCTCTTTCCGTACGTATCGAATGAGAAATGCCGCCGTGTTACGGCGGTGAAACTATAATCGCGGTGTCCCTCTCGCGGTTCAAGCGAAGGCATATAAGGTGGGATGTTGCTGGCTCTGCTTCATCAGTCCCAAATACACACGACGAGACCGCCAAGCGAGCAGGTTTAAGGTCGAGCGTCGTCATGAGGCCACTTGCGATTCACGTAAGTACGATTCGTGTACCTTTTTACGCTCGATCAATGGATCACGGGAATTCGGGGCACTGGGTGTGTGACAAGGTGTTGTGAGAAATGTAGTTGGGAAGTGTACAGGTTGACAGACATTATTGACAGGAACAGATATGACTTGATACATTGACTGAACACATTGACCGAAGGCATGTCTTCTAATCAACATTTCATCGTTTTGATGTAAAGGCTATCATTGACTAATGTTATAGCTTTCCGAGAATGGGAAATATAATTAGTGTTTACTAAATGAACTCAATAAAATTTCAAGTGAATGAATGTTATTTATGATAATTGTATAATGTTTATTTCATATATTACTGTGATGGTTGAATACGTTTGTTATACGTTGTAGATTTAGTAAGATATCTCTGTTTCTGTGAATGAGTTACAATTAGACCGTGAATGTTTATGCAAGTGAAAGAAAAATTATTGCTTCCATTATTAGCATTACTGGCGAATTTTATTAAAATTCCAGTAAATATACTAGCTGTACAGTTGTTTTGGTACTACGTGTGTTTGCATGTATTAAATCGACCTCTCGTTTTTCTAAATCACACCATCCAATCTGTACTCGTTTCCTATCGATCGCTTTTCACTTCCCACTATACTCTAATTAACACCAACATTTTTACATAGTTCCGGAGATCACCATCTTCAGCCGCAACGTATCGTGTTCGCCTCCCATTTCCACTTTATAGTCTCAAATATTCTAGTTCATCGCGTCCTACGTCGGCAGGATTTCACGAACAAAGTCACGAGTTCTGGCTAATATCCGTGGGTATCCTCCTTAAATTTTACACCCCTGAAACATTAAGCAAAACAGATACGAGTATTTCCGTCTTATCTTGTCCGTAGACGATTACTGTAACCACATCCACCGGAATATCCACCGTTGAAACCGCAACGTCTTTGATTCCGAGGTATTCGTATGCGTTCACGCGTGCGTTCGTTACAGTCGATTACACCAATCAGATATTGTCTCGTGCGAAGTCTCGCATTACGCCGAATTAATCAAAATCAGAGCAGAGAGAATCGCGGTGAACGAATTCGAGCGGTATAATAGCGAAATTAAGTAATTCTCAAGATTATCCTTGTCGCGGGACAAGATCAAACAACGGTCTCGCGTCGACGAAACAATTTGGGCCCCACGTTCCGAAACGGTCATTACGGAGAAAGTGTTTCTTATTTTCTTCTCATCCACGGTCGCGCGCAGCGTCCGGCGTTCGGTGGTAGCAGCCGAGGCAGATGCTCTTGGGCAAGTCAGTGAAAGTCTTTGACGGTATTCGGGGAACACCGCCATAAACACTGTTTCCAGACGATCGTTCATTAGGTAACCGGATTCTCTATCCTCTTGGAAGAATCGATCCAGTCGAAATACGACGAATAACGATCGCTCTTACGAAACTCGATATTGTCCAAAGAATGTTCCAAACGGGGGAATCCTTTTCAACGTTAACAGGGTCGATCCATTTTGCGCGTTAGAAAAGAAACTTTCATCCCGTGTCCGCTGCCTTGTTAACGATCCTATTGCATTTCGAGATTATTAATGGTTCACTTCGAACGAGACGAAGACTCGCTGTAGCAATTTCGACAGAGATAGCAAAGAACTTTTTAAAGAGGCTCGTTAGCTCACCGTTCACGGCTGAAGATCGTAGTCGAAGTTAGGGATCCACGGATATCCCCCGAGGCGTGTGGCAGCCGAAGAAAGCGGTGAAAATCGCAAGTGCGCTTGGAACTCGTTCTCCTGTCTCTATCCGGCGTCGACGGTAACCTTGTAGAAATTTCAACTCTTTCCTGGCAAGGTCGAGACCTCCACTTCCCTTCCCCTCCAAGTCATAGTTATCGTCTAAGAAACCAAGATTTCCCCTAGAGTAGCAATTATTGGTTCGCGTAGTGGACGTTTTTCGAATTAAAACGCGTAAAAGGGAGCGGCACACGTGTATACATTCAGAGAAGGGAAGTGAAAGTGAGATTATCGCTATTGGAGCATCAAACTCGACTAGGATCGATAACCCTCTTATCGTTGTTACGTTCGACAAACGATGTCGATTTCTTACGTGTACTCGTCATTTTCAGGTCGCTGCGATTCTTCTCGTAATTGGCCTGTGCCAGGCGAGAACTTCCGGCAGGGATCTGTCCAAAGCGAGCGGGTCACTGGAGGATAAGTTCGCCACCGAATCTACCGTTCTTGAAGCCGTTGTTGAAGAAGAATCGAAGAAAGAAGATACGAATGAAGAGGATCAGCTTCCCATTCTGCCACCTATTATTCTATTAGACTTTGGAAATAGCACGGAGGACGATAACGTTACGTCCGAGGAGAAGTCTAAACGAACCGTGAACAACGGTCTGGGTTACGGGCTGGACAAGAACAGCGTTCAACCTCGAAGATACAACTATTATTTCCCTGCTGGAAAATCAGGAACCACGGTGAGCATCGAGGAATCGATCAGTCCGTTTTTACCGAAGACGATAGTCGAGAAGGTTCAACCTACCGATCAAAGGGGGCAGTATTTCAGAACCCAACAAAACTCCTATGTCCCGCAACCAGCTGGTGCCCAAGCTCAAGGTCAAACCCAAACGAACTATCAGTATCTGAATATCCATCAGCCGAAAGGTCAGTCGACGTACGGTTTGCGAACAAAGCCACAAACACCGCAGACGAGCTTCGCCACGTACCAAAACACGCTGTCGACTCCAAAACCGTCTGTGAGCCCGTACGGAATATCGAATTCGGGATACAGGGGTAACGATGTCCCGACAACTACGCAATCGCCTTCGGCCTACAGCCCCACAGAGACAGTCAGATACGTAACTCCAAACCCGGCGAACTTCGCGAGTTCGCAAAGCGGCTCGTTCAACTACGCCAGACCAGACGCTTACACCGGAAACTCGCAGACTTATGCTGCTCAGAGGCAGAACATTCAATCCACTATCAATTCCCATGGCTTCGGCGCCGTTTCTCAAAGTGTCGAGACCTCGACCGTCTCCCCACACAACTATAATCCCCGTTACTCAAGCTCCAGCCAGCAGACACAGCTTCCGAACAATGGTCCCAGGTACACAGTGGAGAACGGGGTTCGCTACGAGAACAAAGTCTTCTGGAAATACCCCGATGGTAGAGTGTCGGACGTTCCTCCAGCTACTTACGTGGAAACCTACTCGAGCTACCCGCAATCAGACCAACCGAACAAATCCCAGGGTTCGCGTACGATTTATGAAGCCAGTACAGCCACGGAAAATAGCGTGCTTTCCCAGGGACCAGTGCAGTTCCCCGCAGTTTCGGAAGAGAACGTGCAGGAACCGAATCGATTCGTCTCCTCGGAAACGTTGCCGTCAAGCCTGCCCCAGCAACAAGTGTACCGATACGGTTATCAGAATATACTGGGCCAGAGGCAGAATGTAAATCAGCCGCAGCAACGGAAGCCCAGCCTGGTGGCATCCTACTCTTTCTCCTCTTCCGGTAGGGTGCAGTCCGGCGCCAATGGTCACAAGGTCGCCTACGAATCACCTTATCAGACGGCTACATCGAGGTACATGGTGAACAGTCCCAATCCCGAATACACCGATGGTTATACGACCGAACCCACTGTAAACACCACCACTCCCGTCTCTAACTTCTTCTCCTCGTCGACGGAGTCCTATCCTCGAGTCGCGACCAAATACACACCAAAGGTGCAGAACTATCTGGAGACAGTGTTCAACGCAGCGGAGCAATCGAAGAAGCACAATCCGCCCAGCAACGATTTGAATAGTTATTCCAACCTGCAATATTCTGACCTGTTGAACTACAATCCCTCGATCTCGGAATACATCAGGAATCCGTCGTCCATTTTAAACGTTCGGCCGACTTTCGTTCAAGCTGGAAACTCCCTAATACCTGTTATTATTTTGAGGGTGGACGGTTCCTCCCCTATTCAGAACAGAGCCACGCCGAATATCAATTTGAAGGCGTTACTTCAACAGTACCTGATCCAATACGCCAATAGCATCCAAGAACTGGCCCGTCCATCCACCTACGATCTCGGAACTGAGACCAATGGCAAGGTGCAGAGCCCCGATCCTGGCAAAAATCCCGTGCTCGATCTTATTCGATTGACCCAGGATGACGCGCGTGACCCTCCACACACCTACGATCCGAACACTTACGTCGGTAGATCGAATTACGAAGTGGGCAATCCGGAGGTGCAGGAAGCGTTCACCGACAGCCATTACGGTGAACGTTCGTCCGTTCGGCAGAAGGTTATGAACGTTCAGATCCTCGATGATCCGAGGTATACGAGTTATAAGATTAAAAATTGAGGTGTTTTACGATACAAAGGAACATTTATGGTAGAATATTGCGATAGGAAGTTCGTCATGCAGATGATTCTGGGAACAGGCGCATTTATTTTCGATCTCGCGAGATATTGCATGCCATCGAGATGTCGATTGGACGATTCGATTTGATTGTATAATTGTTAGTCATTTAATAGTATTTAAGAGGGGCTTGTGCAATAAATTTTTATTAGGATGTTATTGTATGCTGGGCGCTGATTCTTCGTGACTCCTGATGAAATCGGTCACACACGAGGCAGACCGTTGTTGCTCTCGGTATTGTATATATTACATACAATTTAACCAAATTATTTACTTCAAGAAGGTACCTTATAAACTTAGTATTTTTGTTTAAGGAAACAAAACATTCGGGGGTATTGTATGCGATTTCTATCTACTTAAATAAATACTGTACCCAATTAAACGAGTCCGTTAGACACTTTCGAACGCCACTTACATGTGGCTTCTTTCACCGTTCGAAGAAGTCCGTTAATATTTATAAGCGCTAATCTTTATTAACCTTTGCGAAGGAGATATAAATCTCCTCGGAGGTTAACGATATTATGTTATTGTTTAATTAACCCAGCGGCGGTGATAAATGCCAAGAAAAGTAAAAACTGCCGTTGAATTTCTAATGGAAACTCGTCTTTGTTTCACCACTCGGGAATGCAAGGAAATGCAAATACAGAAACGCGTGACTCCGATACGCAGAACACTCGACGCATTCACTATAATGTCGACGTTATCGTACGTTTTAGAAAGGTCAGGGAAACGTACTATTCTATACAATTAGCAATTACATTCAATTTATATTCTCACGATCACCGGCATCGACAGTCAATATTCTGCTTAGATCGACTATTGCATAATAAATGTAATATTTTAAAACCACAATTGACCCTAAAAATAGAAATTTTCAAGGTAAGGAACAAGTATAACAATACAAGGACTATTCCTTCAATTTTTCCAGCTCAACAAAATGTAATTCTTTTCAATGCAGCACGTTTCCCCCCAAATCTATCTATCCGTAGGTTAAAAAAAAAACCAACCCGATATTTAATGGATCCAAATAATATTCGAAAGAATGTTGTTATGCAACAATCTGCTAGAAAAAACAGAAATATCGTTTCCGAAGGGAGTGAAAAGAAAGAAAAAGGGGGATAAGTGAAGGTGACACGTTTGCGAGACGGAGGGCAATTAGCGTTAATTGTCTGGCTGGTTAGTTGGAGATGAACAAACGGCTAGCGGGTAGTCGTAGGGCACTGTTAATTCCACGTTTTCACAACGAGAGGCAACGATGATATCTCCGCATATCTGCCGGAGCAACGGTAATTAGACACAAGGCGTATTAAACTGTGGCGATTGCCAGCGCGCGCGAGACCAGACCTCTTACACACAGTCAAAGATTCACAAGGAACGGGCAGCTCCGTGGCACACGGACGCTGGTCGTCGTTTCTATCGTGTGAGACGGGTAGCATCCCGAGGAGCGAGCGCGGTGTGCATAATGCGCGCGTTTCAGAGCGCATAAAACGCTCGACGGGAAACTATTGGCCGCTTAGGTGAATCCTCCACACCTTATCCCTGGTTCGATTAAAACATTTTCATCCCAGATAAATTCGATCATTTTTGGACACCGTACAAACACCTTGTTTAATGACACCTGGATCTGTCGTTTATTTCCCTTTTAATAGATATAATTAAGAAAAAAGAATACATACGTTGTATATTATTAGATCAGATTGTAGTTAATTACAACGTCCATTCATGGATCATCGAACGGGGGTGGTTCTAAGAGGTGGAAAAATTCTTTTTCTTCTTTCACCAAGGTTGTTCTTGCGTGGCTACTACGGTAATGACGGGTGGTCGCATCCTGCGCTTGATACGGACAAAAATTTCCCAACGTCGGTCGCGTGTCTCGAATGAAAGTATCCTCCGGCCGGGTGGACTGTAGGATAATATTTAGAACGATATTTTTCACTTGGCTACCGGAGTGTATAAAGAAAATCGCGTGTCTATTATGTTGCTCAGTTCTCGCGTGGAGGTTCGCCTCGCAAGGTCCTACGGATTACTACGGAACAAGCTCGGGGAACAAGCCACGGAACCGAAATCAATGTGTTCTACGCGATATCTGGTGACGCTCGGTCCATCGTAATTCTGTGTGTCTACGTGTTCGAGGGTAAAACGGTGCGCCGGCCTGTCGGCCCAGGAAAAATGTTGTTCCATCTTGTAAGTACCGCGATCAACGATCCATCCCAGTGAAAATTCGATGTGTCTAAGGTGACAATTTCTGAAGCGTTTCCTGAGTGTAAATTGACGATTAATATTCCACTTTCGTAGGCGAAACAGAGGTACATTGGCTGGAACTAGTATTCTTACAACGGTGACATTCATTATAGATTAATAATTTTATTTTCAAATTCATAATTATATCCATTAGATTATTTTATTGACAGGAAACTACATTATTATGGAATGACTGGAAGGAAATAACTTTTCACTTGGTAGTAAACTGAAAGCAATATTGTTAATTGATAATTAGGGTCACCGTTGTACGAATACTTTTTTCTCTCGCTGTATGCTTTTCTGAAACACGTTTTTCACTCGGTCTGATAAGAAAATCGTTTAATTTTTACTTTGTGGCAGATTTCCATTGTGCTCTTTAGAGTTCTTGTAGACCAGGATACGTTTATAGGAATGAGGATACCAGAAGAGTAGTAATGTTTATTTTATTGTGAAGTATACGAGTTTGATGCTAATACGGATTTATAGAGTGCATCTAACCGTACACGGATTGGTGTAACTGGAGCACTTTCTTTCTTAATATTTCGACGTCAGTGTTTTCCCTAATTTACTTCGCTATCGAGATGGCCAATTAACAGAAGGACGTTACTTTCCTCGCATTCATTGGCCAACGAAGTCTTTCGTGTCGCTTTATTTTGTTTTCGACGAGAGTCGATTGGTATTCGACTTGTGGAAATGGACTTCCGCTGCGTTTTCTTGACAGCGATTTGATGTAAACCGTCATTATTTCTTTTTACGAATTGTTTTCCTCGGACAGGAAGAACGTTGTATTAGAGATTTCTCTTTAACCCCTTGACCATGGCAATCGCGTGACAAGACTGTAGCGGCAGGATATGAGTCTACTTGCATTTTCACTTTCTGTATCACATATTATTTCATACCTGCAGTGATTATTTGTATATGAAAGTTAAATCAATCGTTCGTGTGTCTTCTAGAAACCTAAAATATTCCAAAATTGAGTGCTTCATACTGACTATAAAAAATTATGGTTAGAACATAGTAGTGAATGAATTAGTTATGGTTGATGTTTATTTAAATCGCTACTGTAGGTGATCCATCGTTAAGAAAGCTATCAATGACTGAATTACATTTTGAACAGTCGAACGTCGTCAAGTAATCGTCCAATCAGTTACACAAGACTGTCAATCTGAATCTGGTCGCCTTGAACCGGTGAGAAAGTACCGGAGGATCTGCTTCCGTGCACATTCAGTCCTTGGCCGTTGTAGTGCACACGCGTGTTCGCATTTTACTTTTCTACTCTGCTTTTCTTTTCTAGGTCAGCCCCTTGACTACCACTTAATTTCGCCGATGAATCCGTTTAGATTTGCCATTACCTTAAGTTCTTAATGATCGGCGCGCTTTCTTCGCCGTGGCTTTCTTCGGGTCCGGTCGCGCATTCCACTGTCTGCCCTGTTATTATACACGCTCAGACCCAACAGTTCCAGATCCATAAAGAATAAGAAACGTATCAGTAACAAAAGATTCCGTATTAATATACACAGGCCATTTCTGTAGAATCTCCACAAAATCATGTAGGCGTGTTCAGCTTGGTAATGGTAGTCGACAAGTCATTCACTGTAATTGTGTTTAAATTCTTAGTCATGGTTTGTTGGATGGAGAGAGTACCAGCAATATATTATTCCTGTAGTTGAATATAAATTTCATTGTTCAAGAAACAGTCTGGAAGTCAAAGATTTGATAAATGCAGAGAATGTTAGAGGATGGTGAGACTTTAGGTAATAAAGATTCGTTTGTAGCTAAATATCAATGTTGAACTAGTTACAGTAGTATTTTGTATAGACTATTAATATATACTGCCTCGTATAGGTCGGTTTCAGACCTTCGTTCACAGAGATTCAATCTAGCTGATGATCTCGAGGATCTGTAAACTCTACTGGCCAGTAAAACGCGGAGAATACTCGAGCGACTATCGAATTTCCACATTGTCCCACTTGACCGCCTCCCTCCCCTAAATTGGCTGCGATAATGGGCAGCTCTCTATACTCTCACGAGTTGTCTAGACCTTTGTCCTCGCTAATCATTTCGTATTCGATGCAGGTTGTTCTCTTGTCTTTGAGCTGGGCGCACGTAATAGGGGCGGGAGACGAGTCAGCGATTCTCGACCAGATCGCGACTGCCTCGGAGACTGTTATCAGGACGGAGAAGCCCGAACAAAAGCAGGAGAAATTACAGGATCAGGTGCTATCGACTATACCAAATACCACGGTGCATTATGAGAATTCGAACGGATTCTTGCCAATGGTGGCTTCTTCCACATCGAAGACGCCTGACTCTCTCGACAAGGTAGACGCAACAGGCAACGTTCGGACGAATTCTTTGAACGAGTCAAATAACTCAAGCGTATCGGTGGAGGCCGATGAGGACATTGACGAACGAGAAAGTGACGAAATCGAGAATGATCCGGCTTACTCAACGGAGGCTAGGATGTTCTTGAATTTCCGTCATTTGAATACGAATAACCGTAGATCCTTCGAGTACCAGGATGGACAGAACGACTTCGAGTTGCTGAAAGTTAAAGACGACACGCCTGTCGTCGCCAATTATCCGCATTTCTTCGAGGTGCCTAGTTCTAGCGAAACTGAGGAAGAGGCGACCAAATCATCCCCGAGACACAGGAGCAAAGAAAAGGGGAAGAAACTGGAAGGTTATCCAGAAAATTATGGGACAATCTTGTCGAGGCCCAACGAGGGCCTGGCTATTAACAACAATCATAATATTAATAATCATTACTATCCAGCGAAGGATAATGAGAAGGCGAGTCAGGAGAAAGTCGCCAGTAATTATCACCAGCAAAATGCCATGAACAACGACGGCCACAGACACAGTAGAGGGAACGCATCAGCAACGTCGTCCTTGTCTAGGACGAATCAAGAGATGACCAATCCTGTTACCATCAGTGTGACCAATTACGGTAGCGTTTACGATAATGTCGCTGCCCCTTCTCAGCCCACCAATCAAAATAGATTATCTAGACCAGTTGTGGTCGCGGAGTACAGTTTCGAACAGTCGAGGCCGCCCGTACCAGGCGGTGACGACTATATGACTTCGAGGGCCATCAACTCAGACAGCTCTGAAGTGCCACATGACACCATTAATGACAGAGACGGCAGATTTCGAAGCGACGAAGATTCCAGAGATGTGTCTGACGATGGGGAGTACATGGAATATACGGAGAGACCTAGAAGGATCCAGAAAAGCAGAAGACGACCTTCTAGCATCGACAATCAGAAAAGACTTCCCAAGGAACATAGAGGATCGAGGGATTATAGTGCGGAGTATCAGAATCAGGGCAAAAGGCACCATTCGACTAGGACGAAGCCGCATAAACAGAGAACAAGAGGAAATTCCTGGGCTGACGATCATCGTCATCGACATCAAGACGAGAGCTACGACGAAACGAAGTACGACAGTGGAATGTCAGAGACAAGATCACAACAGAACTCAAACTTCAAGCCAGGTAATACCTGGAGCCAAATATCTCCAAATCTGGAGATTTCACACTCGAGCGGTGTCGAAATCGGTCAGGTCGAGAAGCCCAAGTATATCGTCCCGGTTAACGTGAACTTGGTACCGGTAACGAACTTCGATCACGCGACGGCTATTGGGAACAGTCAGGACTTCGACATGTCAAACGCTGTCCTGCAGAACATTGTGTCAGCCACGCCAGGTAACACGGTCAGCACACCTACTCCTATGATGAGCACCCCGGACGGTGCTTTTGGTCATGATACGGAAATTAGAGTCTCGACACCTGTTCCTGACATCATCGTTGGTCAGAACAGTTATCAAAACTCGATGCATGCGGTCGTACCTCATATGAACGATCAGAACAAGTTCCCAACGAATCTGAAGCCTCAATACGTATCCAGCACAGTTACTCCAGTGTTTGCTGTCACTCCAAGCGTAAATCATAACTTCCAGAGCTTTCCGATTCAAAACGTCCAAGGAACAGTCACACCACGGACTACCTACATCAACCAATTACAACAGGTGCCAACGAGTCATGGGAACATACACCAGCTGATAGTTCCCCAACCAACGCTTCAGACGGTCCCAACATTGGTGCAGACGTCAGTCCAGTCTCCCTCGGACTTAAACATCCAGGTGAATCATCACGGCATGCAAGGACAAAATCTCGTCAACCACGGGAATTTACAGGTACAGAGTATCCCAACTATGTCCACAGTGACATCTACACCTCAACCAGTCCCAGTCACAAAGTTTAACTTGGTGACAGCTGAACCTCAGAGCAAAAAGTCTCTGTATTCCGGCTCGACCGCTAATTTCTTAGCTACCGCGAGTCTAGCTGTCGGTCAAAACGATCAAAGGCAATCTTCAAATAGTAACTCTTACTATTTACAGAATCCGAACACTCAGCAGATTTTCAAGCAACAGGGAGGAGTCTATCAGGTGAAGAACGTTAATATAGCCCCGAAAACGAAGACGTACATTCAGACGACTCACCTGTTGCCAGCCGTGCTGCAACCACTGCCGACTATGACTACTATAACAGCTGGTACACAGCAAGTAATGCCTGAACGGCATACAGTTCAAGGTACCAACTTCGTGGTTCAGTCTTCACCAGATCAGATGCAACAGTTCGTTAATAATAACGAAGTGTCCGCCACGAAGAACTTTAACTTGCCTTCTATGACTTATCAAATGATCGATAACCATGGTAGCCATAGTAGTAGCAATGTTAACACACTAAATACGTACACAGGTGTTTCAGGGACCGCTGAGAACGCTCATCTGCCCTACGTTGGCACCAGGAACGTCGAAATCGTGAATCCTAATATCAAGCCGAGTCCAGTCGACGCCACGATTATAAATCCATACGAGACGATGCATTATCCCACCGCGGTTTTCACCACGCCTATTCCTATGTTCGCCACTACCAGTGTCGTTACTGCAAGGCCAATGATGTCCACCACTACGGATTCCAGCAACGTTCACAGTCTAGTGAACTCCCTGACCGAAATGGGTTCGAAGAACAACCTGGTTATAGGCGATACGAAGACCTACCAGTCCCAAGACAGGCCAGTGTTCAATCCCATCAACTTCGTGCCCAACACGGACGTGGTCAAAAACCAAAACGCTTTGAACAGCAAGCTTCACGCTACCGAGCCGCTGCAACAGAACCTGAATCTCGTTCCTCTGATACCGGGAGGACACTTCTTCAAACCTTCCTTCAGCTCCCACAGCGAATTACAGGCGAAACCAAAATTGAATACCGACTTGGAAACATACGCCGACCAGATGTTCAGAGAGTCCTTGAAGACCATATACAATTCGCAGAAGTGGAACAATGACCGGAAACCAGGAGCCCATCGTCAGAATACAACTGATTTGACTGATATCACGAAGTTGAAGCACGAGCTACAGAAGCTGAAGGCTTCGCTATCAGATTCGAAACGGAACAAGGATCACGAAGCCCATTATAGCGAGACGAAAACGCAGACGGCGGATTTTCCCAGTAAAAAGCCAGATGAATTGTTAGCTGCTCTCGAACACATGCTGAAGACTCATCCAACAGATTCTTTTAATGGCTATCATGGAAGCGGTAGACCGCACAGGCATCGCAGACCGAGCGATTCGGATAAGTATACGTTCGGGTCTAACAGTGATTACAGGGACACCAAACATGTCAGAGACTATATGACGCATTCACAGTCAGGCTCTCATCGTGGAAAGGGACATTATCACGATAAACCGGGGAAGAAGAGGCCAAACTCTGGACCAACGAGACACAGTGGCCCGAATCACTTTCACGGACCAAGAAGTCATCACAGACACAATTTGTCTCCTAAGTCCGGTGGGCTGGAAACTTCAGCGACCAATAGTGATCCAGTTCACGCTCATAGACCACAGTTTGAGAATTTCTTCGATTCCGGACATTCACGCTCGGAATTCAATAAAAATCCTTTCGATTCGTTTGCATCGTTCAGTAATTCGCAGCCTGAGAATACGAAAGAGTCTAAAAGCAACAAAGGTGGGAAAGATCGTGGGATCAATCATCCTAGGATGCACAATTTTTTTGGACTGCTGATGAAGAATAAACAGCTACCCGTCGGTGGCACACCGAACTATTTCAGAGACGAGGACCAACTGAATCAGTTCTTCGAGGACGAGAAACAACGATCCCAACAGCAATTTTACGTCGATAACTTGAGGGATTATTTGCACAAGTACTCCGAGGGCAATTCGTATTCCACTTTGGGACGTAGTGGAATCGATGTTCGGAGATCGTTGATAGAGAAGGGGACAGGTTGATGTCCGACTGGAAAAACGATGATGGCCAATGTTCTTGTTTGATTGTATAGTTATTTTAACCCCACGGTGCATTCTACTGAGCAAAAAGTATATTAAAAAGAAAAAATAATATGAAGCCAAAAGGAAGAAGAGTTTATATTTTTCTAACGCATACGAATTTATGGGTGTACAGTGGGACTAAAATCACGACCGTTGATCTAGTGTATTAAGAAATAAGTAATAAGTATATTGTGTTTTGTTAGACGATGATTGATTCGTCCTACGTTCAACGTCTGTTCAAATAGAGGCTACCGTTTGCGAATAAATTGTATCCAATTAAATTAGACGACTACTTTAAGTTCAAAGGATCGAGACTGAAGGAGAAAGCGTTCATTATTCTATCATGAGGAGATATGGATTGTGTACATATTAATTGTAAACCAAAAGAGATCTTCTTTGGTGCTGTAATTTATTGCGTTCGTATGTTACACCTTCAGACGCTCGAGCGAAAATTTCTAAGGAACTATTATAGAGTTTAAAAAAAATGTTCACCAGAAATTTGTAAGCTCTATTTGTTGTAATTCGTCGTAATTCTGTAAGCCGAACGACGCCTTTATACGACACTTTCATTGAATAGGTAACAAGATAAATCACTTCCATTACTGCCCACGGTTTTTATTTTGTATCTCTACGGATTAGAAATTACTAATTATTTCGTTGCTCTCACCTTTCTAATTCCTTAAAGTCATTACCGACTGACAGTTCATGCTCTCCATCCCCTATGAACGATTCAGAAAAAATGAAAGCGCGATAAATTCTCTGTACGTCACATTTCCAATTTGCTGGGCAAGCATCGTTGTAGGTGAAAGTGTTTCGAGAAGAATTTCCTACCAACCTTGCGATATCTTCACTTTATAGGGTGCGCAGGAAAGTGTGAAAATTTTTCTCCCTCTTGTTTCGGGACGGTATGTATTCGTAGCTTCGAAAAGCCCCTCGGTTTCTAATATAATTTTCCGCTTCACGGCCGAGGCATAATGCTGACCATAAAAAAGAAGCAATCAATGTTACGTGGTCGTGATTCGATCGTAACAATGGCTGGATAATGTCGAGCAAAACTTGTTTACTTTTAGTTGAAGATTAATTGTTCGCAATACAAAATATAGGATAACCTTTCACATACTTTCTCCGTTGTACTTTCAGAGTAACACTAAGTTACTTAGAATTAAATTATGACAAATGGTCGGGAAAAATAATTTATTCATATCATGCTCAGATCTATTAACTCATGGTTCTCCATTTTTACAATTTAAAGACAGATTAATTCTTACAATTAATCTTCTAGTTTCATACACACGTTGCGTTGAACTATGGAGAATTTGATTTGCCACAGATCAAACTCATCTCTCTCTCTCTCTCTCTCTCTCTCTCTAACGTATCGTGAGACACAAGTGAAACTTTCACCAGAAATGGTAGCCGGGGAGCAATTAGAAGCAAATTTTTTTACAACCGTCGAGAACAATAAGGTCTCTGTCATTTTCTGGGGACATGGATCAATGAATGTTTGCCGAGTAATTGCACTTCCGGTCGATAGATCGTTATCGCGTACCTGGAGGCGTCGTCGTTCTCATTTAATTATGACTATTAACTTCACTTGAACTCTGCATGAACATTTATCGTTGATGGATCTGAACACTTTGAAATTTGTTTTTTTTTTAAATGCAATATATATTGGCAATTTCAATGAATGTTTTAACGAGACTCATTAGTCGGCACATAATTGTAGAAAACAGAAAATTAAACACTTTCATTAGTTAGAAAATTGATTAACATTTTTCTTCGAATATTGAAGGTAGGCAGATAATTATAATGAGAAGTGCAGATATTTGATCGTAAGATTTATTAGGTAAAACAGATGATGTAAAAGTATTAGAAGTAAAAGTAACGATGATAAGAAACTTGGTATAATATAACAATTCTTATAACGTACTTATAGTGCTGAGCCGCTGTATGTGTACACAGTGCCTCAAAATATGTAACTAAATATGATTATAATATTTTTGCTACTCTGACTAAAAAATTCTATTATATGTATAGAATAATTTAAAAAATCTCTGATGTCCCAAAATATATATTATAATCTAACTGTTTGTATTTAATATTTGAAGTGAAAATATCTGCAGGATCTTACGAAATACGTGACAGATATTAACCACTAACAATTAATCTCAAGCACATACATTCAACTTTTGTACACCCTGTACATTAATAAGCAGGAAGGTCGTTGACACGCCGCTTGAGCGTCGCCAATCATTGGAGAGCCGCGGAGATTTGACTCGGCTTTTCTCGACACGTTTTTTGTCAATCGTAGAAAAGCCAAACCCATTCGGCTGTCTCGCACCGCTAATCACTGAATATAAAAGATCACGGAGTCTCGGTCGCAGCCAGTTAAGAAGAAACTTTGGTGCCCGTCTATGGTCGTTACTACGGTGCCATGCTGGTACGTTCTCTGTGATCCACTCTAATAATCTTTAAAATTATTTCTCCCTGAAATCGTGGAGTTAAATAACATCAACGTTATGTTTGTAAAATAAAATATATTGCAGATTTTTTATACCACATTATTCGTATCGGTGCTGAATGCGGCCATAGCAGCGGAATACCAACCCCTATCGTCGGGTTTCGCGAAACCAAAACGAGGAATCGTCGACACAGGTCACGATGGCCCACGAGACTACAGATATCGACAGCCGAGACCACAGAATGCACGAAGCATCCCGAATAATAATTCAAAATTATATTATTACAAGGATAAGACCGCATCTCGGGAACCATTGTTAGTGACGGTTAGTGAGCAGGAAGCTCAGGTGAGCGACCACTCGACGCCATATTTCGACAACTTGTTCACCATATCTGCTGGCTACAAAGTGGGAAACGAGGGTGCACCGGTGACACAGGCAACACGGAGTCAGAATGCAGGTATATTATCATACGGGTATCTAGAATGGCACACATTGGTCAACCATTTGGACCCTATCTTTTAGATGTCAAATAATTTTACTTTTTGAATAGGCACCTTTTGCAATATACAGTGTTTAGTCTCTTTTTTTCTTTTTAGGTGTCCACGGTGTTGTTCCATCCCCTAACAGCCAAGTTCCACTGTACAAAACCAACTACGCTTTGCCAAGGGCCACGGGATCACAACATTATTCGCCTACTGTACAAAATTCATTCAACAAAAAACCTTCGCCGGTTCTGCGGGCACAGAACAATTACCCTGTATTCCTCAACAACTACCAGAGCCAGCCACTAATTGTGAATCCTGTTGATCAGTTTAGCTACCCAGCCAAGACGCCGAAAGTGAACAACGTGCAATTGAGTGCACCGTTCTTGTCTCCTCTATCCAGTTTCCAGGGTCAAGTTATCCCAATCGCGACTGCCAATAACAATCCACAATTCCCTCAATACAAGGGCGCCGCCATAGAAGTTTATCCTACTGTTGGTGGATTTTCAACGGTAGTGTACGAGCCCCTTCAAATGCAACCACAGTTACACTTTGGTCATGGAAATGGTCGGCCTGTAGGCGGAAATCACAACCTTGGTTCTGCGCAGGAGATTCGGACTGACGTGGAAATTGTTAACAAGAAGAAACCTACAATCCCTCCGCCTAAGAATGATAGTGATGATGATGATGAAGATGATGATGGTTTGTAATACAATGTGATATTTCAGAGAATGTAGGAGATAATTGTGTTCGAATTTCATTTTAAGAAGAATAATATCATTGCATAGGGTCTACGGAGAAAGATTATGGACCAGATAGCAACGGTGACGATGACTATGATTCAAAATCAGGAAGGCACTTCACACCTTCTCAAACGGAAGGCGACTTCAAACCTTCTACATCCTTCCCTTTCACACAATACGACGAGAAGTTTGGCAAGTATTCCAATCAGAATCAGGAAGAAGAGGCTGAAGAGAAACCATTTACCAAGTATAGTGACTATTCTTCGTCGAACGACGATGATGAAGAGGAAGACGTGCCTTCAGGGAAGTACCATTCTGATGACAGTTCGTCGAAACCCTTTTATAGTAAACAGGAAGATGAGGAAGAAGAGGATGGTCACGATTACGAGAGACAAAAGTCCGAAGACGACACTTACCGACCTAAATCCTTTGAGAAGGACTTTGATGAAGAATTTGAGACGTCTTACAAAAGGGGACTGCCGAAACAGAGTATGTACAATTTTTAAGAATCAGTAATTTTATTATTCTTTTTGAAGCAGTGCAATAGTTTATAATTCTACGTAATTTCAGGGTACGCCCACACGAAAGAAGTACCAGAAGAGGAATACGGTTCAAGATCCTCACGGAGGGATAAGGATCATCGTGATTCCGAGGATCCTGCAGGCCAAGGAAGTCACTCTAATTTTAATTATTACAAAATTCCTCGAGGTTTCATAGATAACGAAGGAGAAAGCTCTGATATTTGGGCAGAAGTAGCGTACGAAGGTGGATTTGGGAACAAAATACCTGAAAAAGTGAGAAGCTATAAGCACAGAACAGCTGGTGTGCATTAAAGAAAGAATATTGTAACTTCTTGCATAATGTATGTAATATTATTAAACAATGCTCTACGAGTAGTATATGTTTGTTATTGAAATTGTCAGTATTTACAATAGAATGTTAATTCTTAAAGCTACATGTAATTTATATTAATTTTATTCTATTTGTTTGTATATACATTACAGTTCTGTTATAAATAAAAATATTTCGAATACTGAACCCCTTTTTCGCTCAATAATAATCAAAGTTATATAATAATAAATATCTCCAGAAGGTGATTAATTCTGTTTGTAACATGTGTAATAGTAACAATATTGGTACCTCTGGTAAGTAGAATGCAGGAAAAAAATTAACTCACGGTTCGTAATATATTACATATTAAACATGGTCTCCATTCTTTCTCACAATTTCTTTTGAATGCATTCTTGCATTGTAGAGAATTTTCTGATACAAATCTTTGTATCATGTACGGCACAGTGTCATTTGAATTCTAGGATTACATACAATTCGCTTCTAGACCTTTAATCAAGATTATCGAGAGTCATGTTCTACTCTTTAGATGGCGTTAGAGAAACCGATTTGTCGTAATAAGGGGACCATATGTTCCAAGTAGGAAATCAACAACAATGTAACAAGTACGCCAACGTAGTAATCGGCAATTAAATTTTAATTCCACTATTCTATTGTGGATTTAAAACGACGCCAGTCTATAATTCCTCATATCTCCATTTTAACAAATTCAGCTTCTCTCTATGACAAATGTGTCTCACCGGAAGCACACAGGTTTCAGACAGCCCTCATTGATTTCCTGGGTACGAAGATAAAACACTCATCGGTGTCCATCAATTTCCAGACGGATAATCGACTTTTCTCGGGCGGTGATTGTACAGGAACGCCGGCGCGGCGAATCGTCATTAAACAATAAAGACCTGTAATTCTACCGCGGTACGTCGATTTTTTCCATGCCCTTAATGGTACTAATTAATTTTTGTCATTACACCGACGCCGATAGGGCATTCTCCCGTGAATCAGAATCTGTATATATACGCGTCCTTCGTCTAGGAGAATTCAGTATCACCGATATCATCATCCACTGCTCTACCAAGATGAACACCGTCTATGCGGTAATACTACAACCTTTACCAATTTTATTCTTAAAACATAACAATAGATTAATTTCTGTACAAAACTTTTGGCAACATACTTGCAGATCGTTGTTGCATGCGCCTTTGCCAACATGGCGGCGTCAAAATCACCATCGAGGAAAGAGAAAAGAGGAGTCGCTGTGTTTGGACCATCCGGCTATGATTTCTTTGGTGTGGGGCCTCTTCTATCTAATGGTCCATGGGCTCCTACTGGGTTTGGATCTACTGGTTGGAACCCTTCAGGCGTACCCGACATTCCTTTGACGCAGGTGCAGGTTCAGGCCACGCACGATGTCGCATTTCAGGTACGAGCAATGAACCGAATACTTTTAGGCGAACCTGGTACCATAATGGTTCGCGTTCTTATTTTTTATGTTTATGATAGACCTTGAAGGATGCAGCCCCTGGAACTCCCAGCATTGCGTATCCTCCAGATGTTCTTAGAACTATTCAACATGCTAAGGAAGCGAACCACAACGTGAACATGGCTTTAGAGAAGGTGGCAGAGGCCAAACAGACTGCTGTTATCCAACAGAAGGTTGCTTTGGCCAAGGAAGCAGCCGCAAGGGAGGCTGCCGCAAGGTGAAGTCCTTGATAGAATAATTATCAATAAACCAGGCGAAGTAATCTTAACCATATGATTGGATGGGTTCAGACACTCATTGCTTATTCCCTTTTCTATCTTCATATTAATGCAAATCCTATTCCATGTTTAAGGTCCCAAGAGATCTCGTCGACAGCCGAAGCAGAGGCCAGAGCCAGCGCCAAGCAGTTAGTAGCTCTTCAACAGAGACTAGCGTCCCTGAAGGATGCAGTTGCAGCTGCTCAACGAGTAGCTGCCGCCAGGGAGGCGGCCGCAGCTGCTGCGATTCAGAGAAACGCTGCCGAAACTGCTGCTCAGTTGCAGAAACAGGACGTGGACAAGCAGATCAGTCAGAGTGAACAGGAAGCGAAGGTATGAATGAATCAACTTGCATATCAATAAACAGGACATTTCTTAATATAATAGTTTCTCGTGTCAAGCTTATTACATTGAATAATTACAAAATAATTTTAAATGAAGTACAATACATTTCGTAAAGTTTTATCAAAAATAACAAATTTCTAGACTGATATTTTCTTTCCCATTCATACATTCCCAGGAAAAGGACATCATAGCAGCGAAGGAGAACGCCGTGGCGAATGCAGTCCAGCTTGCAGCGCTGCAGAAACCGGTGCATCCTCCCTGGGGCCGATAAAAACTTCATCGCCCCACCATAAATCCTCCCACTTTGTATCTTCTTCTAGTTATGGTGTCGGTACGCTGTATCTTTTATACTTGTTATGAATAAACATTGTTTCATAAATCCGGTCGACAAATTGCCTCTGCCTGTAGAAAGTACACCCACGTTACTTTCACCTCTAACGACATTGTATCACAAGGGACCGAAGTACAGCGTTCTTACGATTGTTCGTTACACCTAATTGTTTCTGTTGACCGCTAAAGGAACTCCTCTGCCCGTGTCATCGCGCGGCACGCTTCGACGCGCCACGTTCATCCGCGGGGACATTACCTAACGCGGTGACATAGTTTCCGGTCGATCATCGTAACAAATGGATCGTTAAATTCCGTTCAGGGACTGTGTCGCTTCCTCTTGTCGTGGATGCAATGCGATCACCTGGGCAGGAGGTCAGGCAAGAGGATCCCATTCGTATCTATCGTTTCCTGAATCAGATACAAAGACAATAGTATCATGATTTGCCGCGCGAACTATCTTGAGGGGAAGTCGCAGTAGTGAAAGTGACGGCCCGCTCGCGCGCACGGACCGTGTTCCGCGGGAAGACAGTATTGACGGGAGAAGAATGCAAGATCAGTGTCCAGTTACGTGCAACAGAACGCCCAGGAGAACGCGACCGGGTTGGATAAACTCTCCTCCACGTCGTATCCATGAGCGTGCCCTGCACGGAATCCTTTCACTCACCTCTTTCCTGACCATCCGTAACACCCCCTTTCTCCGCCGGCTATGCCCCCCTCCCCTCCTCTTAGCGATTCTTGTCCAAGGGGGCTGCCGCGGCTTCACGAATCAGGAGCAATTACGTGGGAAGAAAGTCGTTCGATCAAAGTCACTCTTTCTTGGCCCGGTGACTTCCATGCGAGCACTCGGACCATTTACCTGGACAATGGGGCCCCTTCTGTCACCGTTCCGACCAGGGAGACAAAGAAAGAGCCGCCCCCGGGGGCTTGACCGATGCACCCACATTCCGTGGAATTGCCTCGGAAGAGGGACGGGCACGTTTAATGGCGTCACTGATTCGCCGGCTGGATTTCCACGATGGAAAATAATCAGTCATTAGGACCATTATTCTTGTCCCGAATGATGGCCGAAGGTCTTGGTTCTGATAGTGGCGAGAGGTTGAAGCGGTTTTTGAAAGTACTTCGGTAGAGTTTTCTAAGCTGTACCGTTTTTAGGAAAGACTAATTTAAGTTTAATCAGTTGTTATATATTTATTTTAATTTTTAAGGGTAATTGAATCTTGAATGGGTAACTATGATCCGGATTTGAAGATTTTAGAGAAAGGCCTGCATGGAAAGTATCGAAGGATCGACTGATAAACATGTAGCCTGACGCTAAATATAAACTCATTAGTGAAATTCATACAATCTCTTCTGTAACTGGATTACTAAATTAACTACAGGCATAATGTGCTGTTAACACGTTTTCGAAACTCTCTAAAGCATAAAAATTAAGTCGAACAACCTTTCGTTCATTTCCTGTATCTTTTTACCGAAATGAGTGAATTTCTCCCAGGTGTTGATTAAATTAATCCTTACGAAACCTAGAATATCCGACAGAAGAGTCTCTGGCTCTTAACCCGATCGTTTTGTCACGAGTGTACTAATTCGTATCGGTCAGCGAACCGACACGGTCGAGACCAGCAATCGATATCCGTCCCAGTAACATAGCCTTGCGTTTGAGTTGACCTTAACCACGGTCGACGATATCGTGCAATGGCGACTCGAAACGAAGGGAAACGTTCCAACCTGTTTCATCAATAGGATCGCAAGTAAACTGTAGCCGGGGCAGTCACGACTATTATAACGGCCGTGGCGGGGCTCCTCCTTTCACACCGAACCGGCCAATACTTTCATCGATGCCGCTTTTTTGGATCCACGCGTCGCGTTTTGCCTTTTACCTCACCTAGTTTTATTTGCTTTCCTTTCTTATTGCGTGAAAGACCGCGCCACTCTCACTGGCCACGGTTGTAACGCGAATTTGTTTCAGCCGAACGCCCTACGAAAATCCTCGTCGTCACTTCCGACAAGAAAGAGAAAAAAAATAAATGAAACCTCAAGCACAATCTCAAGTACACTATTACCTATCTAAAGCGTGCATCTCTCGATAAAAACATCATAACACACCACCTAACGATGAAATTAAACATAGCAGACCATTTTACTTCAGCCAGAGGAAGTCGACACGGTTGACTTCCGATCGGGTATTTCATGACGGTGACATCGCAAAATAGGGCAAAACGGAAGAAAGAGGTTCCAGCGTTGAAAAGGAAATCGCTTTCATCGCTTGCTCAATCGCAGAGGATCACGGGTGGTCCGCATGGGCGTTCACCACATTCACCTAGACCGTCGTTAGTTAGCAAATCTGACTGTGCATTCCGTCAGCGTTTCTCGAGATAGACCGACCGACCATCTGGCCCCTTCTCGTATGAATCCTCTATCATCGGCTAAAATCCACGTTCGAGGTGTCTTAGGTTAAACACTTTGTTCTAATGCACACATTGCATTTAGGTGCTGATCTATTATATATGGTGAGAATGATCAGAAAATTTTGTACAGAAAAAACAATAGGGGACCGTAGGGTTTGTTCTGGTTTCAATAAATCGAAAGTCATCCTTCGAAGTCCTCAATTCGGTTACCGTGACATCGAAAGCCCCAGCGTCCAAGCTATCCAGAAGCATCGGTGTCGTATTTCGTCGTCTATTCAAATGCCCGCGTTTCCTACACGCGCGCGCGTACGATACGAGTGCGAGCATGCAAGTCCGGTTTTCAAGAGAGAGATCATCCGCGGAGGCTGGGAAGGGGAGAGGGAGAAAGCGTATAAAAAGGAGCGGTCCATCGGCAACTATCCGCAGTATCCGTATCCGTTTCTTCATCCACTGTCCTCATCCAGTGGTCGAAAAATGCTATCTTGGCCCCCTGTAAGTAACACTGGAAAGAAATATCTGGGGAACGGCGTTGAATGTCGTTCGAGAGGGGATACGGAGGAACGGAGGAACCTCGAGGGAGGATTCGGTGTACCGTGACGGCAAAATTACCGCGTCTGTCGACCAGTTCCGTGCCTGTATCGCGTACAATGCCGGTGAAAAGTGTCTGCTGGCCCGCGTACTTTCTTTCAGGCGTATCCGAGATGACTCGTAAAACGCCAATCCCTATTCATCGCGTGTTTTATATTCATGCCGCTAAAGGGAGTTACGAGCCCGGCTTTGTGGACACTTCATCGCGAATATGTGATTCAGTAGTCTGTTTTGACCTGAGTTCATCGTCCACGGTTGTGAGAAGTTGTTCTTGGACGTGGCAATTCATCTCGTTATAAATTACAAACATGACTTTACGATTCTGTTATGTAACTCCGAGGATTCATTGCGATTATTCATTATTTTCAGGTTCTCGTGTTATGCCTGATCGCCAGGTCTGCGTTGGCCGGTATCGAGGGTAGCGATCCTGGAGGCTGGCAAGGGTAAGAGATCATAAACGATCAACGCATAAATGAAAATATCTTGTTATTAATTCGTATCTAATTTGTCAGGATATCTAGTGGTAACAGTTACGGGACAGGACACGGGTTAGACTTAGGTGGACATCTGTCAGGAGGTCTTCACGATGACGTTTCCAATTACGGTTCCTACGGGGGTGGAGGACTCGATCACGGGTTACACGGACATGTTCAGCATCATTACGCACCTGCTGTACCTGTGAGCGAGCACGTTGAAATTACGAGGCCTGTTCCGATACCTGTTGTCAGAAATATCGGTAAGTTTGACTCATTCGATCGATCTTGTAGTATACACTACACTTCTTCGACATTACTTCGTATCATTTCCACTTTCCATCAAACATAAATTATAGATGTAGCTTTTATGTCCTCTTTCTCTCCACTATGAGAGATTCGTTTCATTACAGTAAATCATGTATGAGTGTTCGAAGGCTCCTCGGCACTGAATGTTCAGACGTTACCCACCACCACTGGGCGTTTGATTAGTTCCACAGGACCCACCTAATGTGACGTCTCAACAGAGTGCCAAGGAGTCTTCAAATATTCATCGATGATTTATTGTATCAAACTCTTAGAACCAAGTGTACAGTTCATTACCCACTACAGGGGGTCTATTTAACACTAAACCTACCATGCGCGGTCAAATGACCGTTTTTGAAATTTCGTTTAGAATTTCTCGTATACAACGTTACTGTATCACCATGTAGCTTATTGACTTTTCCTATAATATACATACAACCCATTTTTCAATATTCACAACTTTCTTTATTGTTTGCTTTCCGAAAAAAATTTGCTAAAATCTCTTTCTATATTAAGATACATATGTTTTTTTGAAGCGGTCATTTGACCGCTCATGGTAGGATTAGGTATACATGAAATGTCGGTAGGTTTAGTGTTAAAATACCACGCTTTTACTCGATTAACCATCTGTTCCAAGTGTTCTGTAATTAGGAAATAGCACTTTCACGAGGCACGTACAACTCAATCGGTTTTTGTGTGGTCACGAACAGGAGTGCCAGTTGCCCAGCCAGTGGCGATAGCAGTGCCGCATCCGGTGGCCATTGGGGTACCGCAACCGTACCCAGTCCACGTACCGGTCGCGAAGCCGGTCCCGATCCCGGTGGTGAAGACCGTCGCGATCCCGGTCGAGAAGAAGGTTCCGTATCCGGTGGAGAAGATTATACCAGTCCCGGTCGAGAAACACGTGCCTATTACCGTGGAGAAGCACATACCCGTGCCCGTGGAAAAACCGTACCCGATTCACATTCCGGTCTACAAGCACGTGTTCCATCGGGTCAAGTCCCACGGAGGCCACGGATGGAGCCATTAGTTGCGTAACCGAGCGGCGAAGATCTACGGTCACGAGCACACGCCGTTGGAAGTGATACTAAGGCGCCTCGTGCATCCTACGATCACCGCGCGAGAGGACTCGAATTTATTTGAACGAAATGAGGGCGATGGGTCGTTTGGCGTCAACGAATCGAAGAACGCGGCGCCATTGTCTATGGGGGAACTTGATGTGTCCCTGACATAGTATTATGCAATATTTATGTTTGTTCGTTTTTGTTACTCTGTTGCCAAATAAAGGATTAATTTTTAGTCATATTGCTTGCTTTATTCTACACTGTTTCCACAGATTACCTGAGCAGATTTATCGACACCCTATGCATACCGATATATCTTGAATAGGAGAAATGGTTAGCTTCTGTGAATGGAGAGTACCATTTATAGTAGAACTTGAATTATTCAGAAGGCTAATTACTTAGATAATATTAAGTGTAATAGTTATTACTTCAGTAACATTGTACTTACATACTGAAGTACCCGCCGCCATATTGAAAAGAGGAAGCAAGATGAAGATGCCTTCACTTAAGAGTAGTTAATACATTCAAAAAGTAATTAATAGATTACTTACTGATATATCTAACATTGCTCTTAAAATGGTACAGTAGGTTTGATGAACGAACGATAGTATAGATGCTCCGTGCATCGAGACCATTCGGTATCGTGTTAATTTCCGTGAAAATCGTTACCGATATTCGAGTCACGAATCTTAGCAGCGACCTTGTAATTATCATCATTTTCTGGATAGTTACGAGCGCAGCGTAGTTTGCGACTAGATGGTGTTAAGACGTTTTCGTTATGCTCTCTCCACAAGGTCGACTAAATGGAGAGGCGAGCGAGCGTGGTTCGTGTCCCAGGTATCGTTGCACGCGATCCTGTTTGTCGCACTACGCTCACGTTTTCCATAACTCTAATCGGCGAACTTAATTACAGACGCAGGTACGAGTTCAGGGAACTTTCCTAGAAGGGACGTACAGATTCTCCGAGAATCTACTGCAACGTTTAAGATCGTTAATTACGGAATGATAAATGTTTCTACTATGTAAGAGGTACGATGTTTTCATTGGGGTGCAAAAACTTTGACGGTAACTCTATTACTGTCTAGTTATCGGTGTTTTCTTTAGGAGGAAATTTCTTTAGTGAAGTCTCATGCATTAGACAGGGATGAGTGATTTCTGGGATGCTTCTATAAAAAACTGGACTTCATATTAAATTGAATGTTCGCTCCGTTTGTACTAAACCTCAAGCTCTTTTACCACTTGTCTGGGAACTACTAAAGTTTAATAAACAGTACAACGAGACAATAAAAATGGTAAAGACCATAAAATCTCTCCGAAACATTAGGTTTTCTAGATACTCTGCAAGCATTCGAGTACCTGATTTCAAAGTATAATGCCTTAACAGTCAATAAAAGACGTCAAGCATGGCTGGGTCGTCCGTAGGTGCTATGGAAATTGATTATTCGCCGCTCGTGGTCACGAATTCTCACGGTCGTAGCTCCGACGGTATCATTAATTCCGCCTGTTTGATTTTTCAAGTAATTACAAACGAAAGTGACCGTAGTCACTTAATTGCGCCGCGTGGTTTCCTCTCGCGGTTCTGCCGCATTAAAACGAACGTCGAGTCGTTGGTGATAAGCCAACGAACTTTCGGCGAACCCGAGGGATCTTGGGTTCCGTGAGCCCCCGTCCATAATGGCAGGAGCACGATGTGGCAATGGCAAATCGTAGATGAAAATTGTGAACGTACGTGGGCAGTCACCTACGAATAGTGCAGAAATTGTCCGAATCACGAGTGGCCGTTCGACTCACAAATGCAGCCAATACTTACGACGGTGCTCGGCGGACCGATGTCGGGGAAACTATTGCTCCTGCAGAACGGCGATCCGTTGCACCGTTCGCCCAGGACTAAACTACATCGTCGACAGTGAAAGGCTGGACGGTATATTAAGACGAGCAATGAGCAAAGATGTATCAGTCGTCGAAGGAACTTCTACAGCTAGCAGGCCGGTGTAAAGAGCTATATGCTCGTGACCATGAACGGAATCGTGAGTAACGACACCGGAACAAAAAGATTCGTAAAATTCTAATCGAGATCTTCGGGAACAATAAGACTCGCGTTGTAATAACAAAAAATTTCTATTAAATTACTGGTACTTACACTCAATTACTTTTCACCGTCGTTCATTAGGGAACCCGGAAAAACGTTGATCCTTTCGATTACTACTTTCCACTGTGATTACTATTTAGGAACTCAAACATTATTCGTCGACGATCTAACTACCACCATCTAGGTGATTTATTTCATCCTGATGATCAGTTTAATTGTCTTCCAGTAAGCGTGACAGGTCGTGAATGATTGATTAATGTTGCTCGTATTGTATAAATGATCTGCATTCGCGAGTGCATCCAGCGCTACCGTTCAGAGTTGAACTTTACCTTCAACACAGGTGCTACTTTCTCTGGTGTCCTTGGCCGCGGCCTCGCCGTTGATCGTGAACCAGGACTACAACGTGTACCATCCACAACTCTACGGTGGTTTTATGCCGATAGAGAGGTCGGACCACGAGTCTCTGAGCTCCTCAGGAGGCGGAGGTTACGGGGGTGACTACGGTGGCGGTGACTACGGCGGTGGTAGCTACGGGGGTGGTAGTTACGGCGGTGGCAGCTACGGCGGCAGCAGCTACGGTGGTAGTAGCAGTTATGGGGGCGGTGACTACGGCGGCGGAAGTTACGGGGGTGACTTAGGCGGAGGACATGGCGGTGGTTTCGAGGGATCAGTCGGAGGACATTTAGAAACATCTGGTGACCACTTGGGCTCGGATTACTCGTCTCTCGGGGGTGGATACGAAGGTGGTGGTGACGAGGGCGGTGTTTCCCTGGACGGAGGCCACAATGTTGTTCAGAGCGTCCCTGTATCCGAACACGTTGAAGTTACGAAGCCTGTGGCTGTTAAAGTGGTCAAGCACATTGGTAAGTCTTGGATCGTTTTAACTAGTATTAACAATTTTATTTAACATCACGGTGAAGTGTAGATACATCATGCTCCTTTCTATAAGAATAAGACATTTATAGCAGCTTCGTTCCGAGAAATAGTCGTGTACATAGTTCAGTTGAATTTAATTAAATTAAGAAATAACGACATTTGTGAATTCTAGAGGGGCATTAATAGGGTTAAACGATACATCGTGTTAACAATCGCACCGCCTATGATTCGAAGGCTATTATTATACAATGTCCGGTAATAATACGTTACAGCTGCGAGGAGGCTAGTTACTTAGGGCAATCATTGTTCAAGTTTAAGAAAGTTTGAAAGTGAAAATCTCACAGAATGTTAGCTTAGAGTGACTAACAGTGAACCGAAATCGATTACTATGTACAGTTAGTTATAAAAGTAAATAACTGTTGTATCAAGCAATCAAATTCCATCTTTTAAGAGCTCTTTTATCAATTTATTCGAACTTAGCAAGCTTTGGTCCTAAATGGTTGTTGTATACAAATCAGGAGAAATACATACCTTGCTTTCTTTTCTAATCCATCAATTTATTTTTCAGGGGTACCAGTTCCTCATATCGTGAAGATTGCCGTGCCCCATCCAGTGCCCGTGGGTGTACCCCAAAGTTACCCCGTGGCTCAGCCCGTTGCAAGACCAGTGCCCGTCCAAGTGGTGAAGACAATTGCGGTGCCAGTTGAGAAGAGGGTCCCATTCCCAGTGGAGAAGCATATCCCGGTGCCAGTCGAGAAACCTATTCCGATCACGATCGAGAAGCATGTGCCTGTGCCGGTTATCAAACCGTATCCCATCAAGATCCCTGTTTACAAGACGATCTATCACCACGCGAAGAAGCACTAAAAACTTAGCTATCGGCCAGGGAACGATCCACCCGACTGATGCCGAAACGACTATAGAGACCGTTCACCACTTTTACTCGAGGTTCTAGAACCTGAGCAGCTCGACGGAACCCCATGGATAAAAATAACTCCTCGGGAACCCCGAATCGACTGCGTCCATGTTATTTCTGTATATATTTTAAGTATCGTTGTTACTGTTCTCCTGATTTTTTATTAATTTTTTAATCGTTGTTGTTCTTGTTTTTCAATAAAATGCCTAGAAAATAAATATCCTCTAGTGTTTTTTTTACAGTAAATGTCTTTGTATGATCTGGGCATAGTTTTGCTCCCTCGATACCAGAAATCCTCTGTCCATTGTCGTCGAATTTATACACGGATTAACGGAACAGGTATAATTAACATTCCGAAGAGTACCGTCTTTTTTTAAATGTGGAATTGGATCTTGAAGAATGTAATAGTAGATCGAATTGATACATTCGAGTATTAAATTCTACTGAACAAGGGAGACGATATATCGTATTTCGGAAAGATCGAGTAGGTATCGTCTCCCAGGAGAAATTCGATAGACGTTCGGAACTTTCCATGCTGGATCCGGTGGATCGAGTGATTTTTCCTTGATGCTCCGTGTAAATCGTACACTGGCCGGCTAGTCGTACGATATGTACGAAGTTAATGCGCTCGTGATCATAATCGAAACTTTCACTGGGATTTTCGATACATCGGCTGCAGATTCCGTGGAAAGTGAACGTTACGAGCGGTCTAATTCAGGAACGGCGGTAGCATGATTGTCACGATCAGCTACCGTTAATGGGCCGTGGAGACGAGGGGACACTTTGCGTAGGTGAGCCTGGCTATCGAGATCGGTGTATCGAGGTAATGCACGATGACACACCGAAATTCGCAGGAAGTAGTACGATCGATGCTTTCTTCGGCGACGCAGATGTTCAGAAAGCGACCGCACCAAGTACAGGAGCAAAAAGATGCTGCACGTTTAATAACTTGTGCATATGTATGAGAATGCAAATTAGTTTTCACGCGATTCGGAATAATCTTTTTGTTCGACGATCTACTAGATGACTCATCTTACGTTAAGGTGCATTTATTTTTGTATCCAGAACAATTTTGGTTTCTAGAATAAATAATGTTTGCTAACAGTAGGTTTACGAGATGGTTAGTGTGTATTTATTTTCAGAGAATCACAACTGAAGTCGAGGGGTAAAGTGTGGACTGCAAGCTAGACTCCAGGGGATCTTGTAAATTCCTTTATAAAATAATGTTTTAATTAATATTAGGAAATTAATTCTGATGTTCCTTGGAATTATAGAATAGAGTAATTAACTGATTAATGGACGTCTATGAAATCTTGAAAAATAGTGTAATTCTTACCGAAAACATTCATTATTGGGTCTCGTTTCATTTCGTATCTAGAGCTAAAATGGAAGAATCAGTATTATAAAATTAATTACGTTAGTAATGATATAGGTGTCTCTTGTATAACACGACAGTTACGACTCTAATAAAATCTTCTATAGCTTCAATCTGTATTGTATGGAGTCAGTAATTAATGGTAGTACATAAATACTCATAAATACACAGTTCTAATTTACAACTATCAGAAGCTTAAGACACAAGAATTATAACACGAATTTCCAAACCAATTTACATAACTAATTCGGTAACAACTGGAAGTACTCACAAAATAAAAATCTAAATCAATTCCCCCTACTGCTTGTCCCTGCAAGGCTCAATTGCATTTTGAAAGGTTCATGGAATAAATCAGTGCAGGTACTGCAATCACTCTCAATTCGAACAATTTGCAGAGCGATTAACCTAAATGAGGAAGTAGGAAGTACCAGGTACTCCCACTGTCGGTTCATCGTGTATCCAATATGATGGACGAACGTTCTATGACATGTTGTTTCTGACTATGTCAACGATAAACGACTGATAGAAAGGTGTGTTATCTGGTTGTTGAATGAAAATAAAAGGAACGGTCCGAACAAAGTTGCACATACCGTTCGATTAAGGAAAGACGGAAATCCTTTCGTTATGCAACCAGAATGGCGGACACGCGCGCTCCGTTTGAAGAAACAGAGAAATGTAACCTGTACAGTGAAGGTGTTGAATTGCTTCTTGCGGGATAGTGGGGTTGCGTGTCCCCCGTTTCTCCTATATAAAGTCACTACGCTTAGAATTCGTCTCGAGTTGATCTTTTATTCACGAAGCACTCATATGCGTCTATCAGAGGAACAATGGAGAAGCTCGTACGTGAGTCGTGTTGTCACCAACAATTGCACAGGCTGATTGCAAGGGATAATTTTTAACTTCAGCTTGCTAATTCCAGTAGAAAAATTCGTTTCTAGGCCTATGCTCGTTCAATAATTTTTTTCAGCCCTAAATTCCTCGAACGTTACTATTGTTTTCGTAATCACCTTATATTATGGCACTGTTTATTGTGATAATCGATGTCGATCGAGTGAAATTAAACGATCTTCCGTACTGGTGAAGATTATGAACATATTTCGGTTTTTAAGATTCTGATTCTGGCGATCACTGGTGTCTGCTTGGCTGGTGAAATAGGACTGGGAGACCACGGACTGAGCTTAGATGGAGGTCATGGACTGAGCTTTGGTGGAGGTCATGGATTGAGCTTAGGAGGAGGTCATGGATTGACATTGGGGGAGATTGCTGTGGGTCACGATGACCACGATATCGACCTGCAGGGAATTGGTCGGACCAGTTTGAATTTACCGGGTTATTTATGATTATTCTCGATAAGTCACCCCGGTCGGTATTAACATTGGTATTTTACGTTAGGTGGAGGAGGGTACGATTCTGAGATCGAGTTAGGAAGTCATGGAGGTGGGGGAGGACACATAAACTACATACCCATTGTGAAATCTATTGGTACGTAAGTTTAAACTGTAAACATCTTAAATAGTTATTTCAATTATGTTTAGTTTCATTTTTGTATGTTTCCATTATTTCGATTATAGTTCTTTATTAATATCAAAAGGTAGATTACATTCATTTCAAGATTTCTTAATCGTTTTCGAACTTGTTTATAATTTTGCGCAAATAACACAACGTTGAATGTAACTACAACAGGAGTACCGGTAGCAAAGCACGTTCCATTTGCCGTTCCGAGTCTACAAATCCAACAAGTTCCGCAAAGCTATGCAGTACCAGTGATCGTGCCTAGACCCGCCCCTTATCAGGTACGCAATTAAAACTCGATTGCTTCACCCAGAATACTTCATCAATTTAATTCGTCAATTTGAATTTCGTTGTTCCGCAGGTGGAAAAACCGGTGTTCACGAAGGTGGAGAAGAAGGTGCCCACTCCGGTCGAGAAGATCGTGCCCGTGAAAATCGAGAAGCGAGTACCGTTCCATGTGGTGAAACACATTCCTGTTCCGGTGGTGAAGCCTATCCCAATTAAGATTCCGATTTACAAAACGATCGTTCACAGTTACAAGAAGCACTGATCCCGCCGAGCTTTATTAATTGTTCTCTATTTATTCCTACAGGTTACAGTTTGTGATATTGTACATGAATGTTAATTGTTAATAAATGTGGTTAGCCACTGTAAACCGATCGTTTTACCTAATTTTAAACTATCTCCTCTTGATGAGTACAGAAAGCAGATATTAAGTATTACAAATTTCTCCGAAAGAATCATTAATTAGCACTGTAATGTATTCGAGCGAAATCACAAAATTGCTTGATTATACATGGGCCCATTCATTATGAAGATTTCATTAATGTATCAAGAATAATTTAGTAATTTCAGCTACAGGGTCCACAAATGAATTGTACATTGCAAGAATTATTCCGTTTTAATTAACTTAAACAGTTTACAAGATTCGGTATCGGAGACTGTATTTCACAAAATTAAGAACGGAATCTTCATTCACGTGCTTATAAATGAAGAAAATGTTGAAGTATCTATAGATTGTAATCAATTAATTGGCGACATTAATTGCACTTTTAAATACACGTCACGGTAGAACAGAATAACGGAAACATTCAACTATATTAAACGGTGTCAAACGTCGTTCTGACGGTCACAGTCACGAATCGAGGGTCCAGGGAAACACCGGGTTCCGATATTACGTTGACAACGTCACGATTATTGGTCAGAGTATCGCGACAATCGCGGTGGCAGGTATACACCGGAGAAAGGAGAACGTTCTCATAGAGAAAGCAATCACCGGTGATTGCTTTCCTCTGTCATTGACCTTCGTAAATTCGACTTCAAGATCGTGTGCCACAAAAAAAAAAGGTGCATTAACATGTAGACGGGGAATGTAACTGACGTGTATCAGACCTTTTACCATTCAAATTCTAAAGTACCATAAAGTGCCGTTTAATGTGTCATAAAAGTTGAAAGGAATCGTTGTTTCGTTTTTCGTAAAGGGATCATTGGAACAAGCAAAGATTTGATGGAAACGAATTTCAAAGTCGACTTTCACTCGGAGTTTTTCCGATCTCGGTAACCGGAAGCGATACGAACCGACGTTTAAGCAATCCTCGCGAGCGCATCGTTAACGCAAGAAACAATGAGGTAATTGTTGGATACCCGAGGTTCGTCTGGAACGGAAAGGATCCATTATCCTTCCGTCGGTTATCGCGACAGGATTGAGAGACGCGGACTCCCCTCCTACCAGCGATCGAACCGCAGAAGAATGAGGAAAGGAAGAAGCACTCGATGCGGAAGAAAATAAAAAAGAACGTGGCGAAAGTAAAGCGTAAAGATGATCTGCTTCCGTCGATCCGAACGATTACGAGAGGTTGGAAAAGGAGGAAGGGGGAACCTCGGATCAAGCACAATAGCAGTTAAGAGAAATGGGAGAATACTTTCTGGTGTATATGTATCTGCTTCTGTATTCTTCATTGTCCTGGAATCTAAGTAATTCATCGATGGCGAGTATTCTTGAAAACGGTAATAGTAACTTTATCTAGAAATTACGACATTTAATTAACATAATTTAGTCATTTATTTAACAGGAATCTAAATTCTGATCACGACGGCATTATATTATTTTATCGATTTTATGTATTTAGAGTGCGTATGACTATGAAATACACCGTACATAGAAAGTACAATCAGCAGTAATAAAAGTTTCATGTTATTTTCGATCTAATAAAACAACACGGAAACTGAACGGCCGTCGAATTCTAGATCCAGTAACCGAGCCTGCAAATACGTAAATTATCTATAATTTCCTTATAATCAGGAATTTTAACAGAAACACGATCTATAGAAATATCTCGGCGGAAAACATTTAAACGTAGGTCGAAAGTAGGGAGACCGAGCAATTGTCTTGAATTTCAAAAATGTTCCCCGATCTCGATCGAACGTGTCACCGGGTGAATGTAATTTCACTTGTTCGTTGATCGTGGCATCTCGTTCTACCGACGACACGCTCGTCGACGATCCATCAAATTATCCTGCAAGAAATCCTCGGAACCGGTAGTCTTAATTGCCCGCTCGTTCACGATGCAAAGAAGTGCAAGGACTCCTCCAACGGTGGCTTTCGCGTGTGCGCCTGTCCTTTCCACAGTCGGTTCTTTACGATAACGAGCATAATTCAGCGAGTCGCGCGGTGTGCATGTGCACAGATACAGGAACAAGAAACTTAGTCGAAAGAAATGCTCGTCGATGGAAGAAAAAAAAGTTCCACAGCGAAAGTAAAATCCAAAGTGGAGATCGGCGTGTCCCCTCGATTCGTGGAGTTCTAAGAGAGAGAGATAGCCGTGTTACTCCATTAAACATTAAAATATCTCCGTAAAAACACCGTCTCACTTGTTTCTACGGATCGATCGTTTGCACTGGGCCGTGACAACCCTTTAAACCCGGACCGCATCGATCGTGAGAATTAAGAGAATGTTCCCTAGGAGGAAACGGGGTGGCATTGTGAAAAATCCTTGTCGGGGAAACGATAGCGTCGTCGAACCCTCGCCTCTGGGAAATAACCGAATGTTCCCCCAGAGATCCTCCCAAGGGGGAGGAATGATAAAACAGAGAGGATGAAGCTTTCTGCTACGAGCATGGGGTGGGTAGGTCTGTACAGTTTTGTATAAAATGCTTCATTTATTTGGTGCGTTGTCACTGTCGTACTTCAGATTTATTTGTTAATCGATAACACGTCACCATCACTATTCTGGTCAATATTCTATTTATTGACAGTGTTGGAATTAAATACTTCGCATCAGTGTTTGTTTATTAGCACTACAACTACCAAGCAAGTCAAAATGACTTTTCAGTACATTCTTATAACGATGATTGAAATGTTATAAGAATACATGTCTCCGATCTTTTGCAACTTTCATTACGATATGAAAGTGACGAAATTATTTCATTTATTAATTTGTAAATTTTGCGTTTGTCGTCGGTAGTTCTAGTGTTAATTAGTAGTACTACACTGTCTTCATCTATCTGATACTTTCTCGCTAATTAAATATTTACACGCACTAAGCCCAGAGATTGACAAAACTAAGATAGTACCGTAATAATTCTCAATTACACGAAAGATCCTTATTTTAATCGTTCTTTAGGATTTTAAACCGCAGCGACGTCTTCAATGCTGGACTGAAACTAAATCAAGATAATTCTCCAATCAAAGGAAACAGGACACCCCGTTAATTTAATAATAATTCCGTTAATGTAATAATACTTCAAACCTACGAATGGCCATAAAAAATGACGACGTACTTTCACCTGATCAAAGGTGGAAGGTCACAACCCCGTTATACACGTTCTTTTCGATTCAAATCGGGAACAATGGGAATCGTGGGTGTCCAATTGAACTCTGATCCCCGGTGGATCTGCACAAACATAAAAATCTTCCATTAGTCCAATTTGTTACGGTGTCTTCGAGACTTTCCTGGCATTCGGAACGAAGAATTACCTTGTTGCATGCCGTGACACGCGACGTGTGCCCATGTCCAGTCGAAACGGTATATGTAACGATAAACAGGCAAACAAACCGGGGACGTTAAGTCGACAAGCTCGCTCGAGCGCCCTTCACCTTCGTCCAGGGTTCATTCGACGCAGTCAGTCCGGTTGAATAAGTTTAATGAGCGGAGCCGTGAATTGCTGGTATTTACATTCAATGCAAATGTTGCTCGTGCATCCAGCTCGCTGGAAATCCACACATACATAGGGAGCACTGCCCATCCCTTGGTTAACAGTACCGAAATCCAAGGCAAACTTTCCACCGTGAAATGATGGCTCACGGTTGCACGGTATTCTGTCCGGGGATATTAGCAGATTACATATTATCCACGTTCGCAGTTGCATTAACTTCTGATCTCGCTCACTCTCTCCTCCCCATCTCCAGGCATCTGGGATTAATATACACGCCAGCGGACAACCAAATTGCGTCGCTCTGCTTCCTATAGTAGGAGAGCCCGTTGAATAATTAAAGTCAAGGACGATGGGTGGAGAACCGAATTAGAATTAGAATGACTTGTTTATTCATTAATTCTACTTCTGTCCATGGTTCGCGCGTAATGGGATCGTGTGTCTGTTGGGGTATGAATAGTTCGTCGAAAATATACATGTTTGAGATATTACTATCTGTAGCGAATGTATACGAATAGTCGGGTAACGTTTGCAAAATTAAGTGGTGTTACTTCTTTATGAACGCAATTCTTAAAAACATCACACATTGACACGAATTAACGTCTAGGCTGCCGGGAGTATTCCTTTTGGGACATTGATAAAACTCAAAATTCAGGAAACAATTTTTCTTTCGGTTAAAGTAACTGACTTTGGGATTATCATTTCTTCTTTTCCTGATTATAGAAGGCTTTCGATAGTTTTTATTAGATTTTTTTACCATTTTCTTCATTGTTTTCATATGGTACGATAGCTTGCGAAACGAAAATGTCTTTCCACCCATGTTTATTACGACATTTTTTCATCACTTAATGAGTATCATCTACCCTAGAAGTTATGAATCCTTTTTTTGTATTATCCTGTATACATAAATTTTTGGCGAAATCACTGCTTTTTGTGACAAAATTCCGGCAGTCTAAGGTTAATGGATACTGCCAGAGGGATATAGGTCACTGTTGGAATATGTGAACACTTTTAAATAATGAAACGTTTGCATTTCAATGTTAATTATTCCAAGCACACCGATTTCCTTGAAAATGTACATAATATGAATTAATATACTTTTCTGGAGTTTCGAGAGTACTTGTGAACAATCAATCAACAGAACATGGTCTAACATCTAATGTATGCATACATAGTTCAGTCATTATCATAATCATGCTTCGCTCTCCTTAGACAATCTAACGAATTCCCAAGAAACTGAATGTTGTGAAGAAGTCGATGAAAGTATAGAACCACACACTTTCTGATCTAGTCTACGGGATCTACGCCCGGCATCGTACAAGATAAGCCACTCCGAAATCTGCTTTTACAGGAACAAAGATCACCGTAACCGATCGCTTTATCGCGGAGGTAGTCCTTTCACACGGCGAACGTGGCTTCAGACTTTCATTCCAATCCTACCGAAAAATTTGATCCGCTTTGAGTGTGTCTTTACTGAGAGCGTTCTTCACCTTCACTTCCGGTAATATCAAGATTCGCACGCAGACAAGTGCCCTGTCTCGAAAAAGAAATCGACCGACTGGTATTTCTTCTTTCAGTGGACCGAAACCGTCCGTTAAAGTTTCACGCCGAATCGTAGTAAGATTTTATTGTGAACGTATGCGTCGGTTTAACGAAATTCTTCAAACCCTGGATTACAAACATTTAATCGCAAATATTATCGAAGTATCCTATACCTGGTTGCTATGCACACGATTCGTCTCTGGAAATTTTCGCAACCGCACTAGGCGTTCACTTCCGGTAAATGGAGCGGCCGTGTAAATTTGCGGTCGCCTCTCGAATGCGCTTTTGATCTTTCGCTTTGTCGGTGACTTCCTTGCTGAATCGTCCACGCGAATTCCTGCGTACACGTGCTTCATTTTCGTAGCCGCAATGACGATTCATTTCTGAATTTGAATGAGTAATTGACCCCTGTATACCTGTCCCGTATTCTTCGGTTCAGCGAGCCATTCGATGGTAGATCTAGAACAAATATTGTCTTTAGCAATGTGTGTATGAATTTTTTTTACAGAGCGACAGGAAAATAATTTTTTTGGTATTGAGTAGACCAGTCTTTGTTTTATTTTATTTGGTTGAATTCTGGGGAAAATCTTTATCGTACCTGGTAAGAAGAGGTGAATTATTGTCTAGCTTTAGTTCCAGTAGACAATGCATGATTAGGAGATAATACAGGTCATTCGCTGCAATAACGACATAATTCAAAATCACGATTTCAGAGAAAACTAGTTTGAATGTATTGATCGCTATAGTTTTGTAAGTTTTAAAAAGTGCAGACAACAATCGTTCTTTCTGTACAAGTAACTCACAAACTGCAAATTTTGAGTTCTTTCATTGTTGCTGCAAATGAGGGATATCATGCAAGGAAACACGAATAGGTTCTTCTTACTGAGAAGAGTTAATATTCTTGTGCTTCTCCTAGCACAATTCAAATGATCAGTGCAAATATATAACACATTCTAATTGAAAGTGCATCCACGTCACAATTTATTATGTAATAGCTGCACACTAAAATATCCAGAGTCATAACAAGGTTGTAAAAATAATATTTTAAAAACTTAATGGACTATCTGTCATTATTAGGAAAATTATTCGAGGTTCTAACAATAATAATTCAAAATGTTAATAGACTATCTGAGACTATCGGGGTAATGGTATAGTTTCGAAGTAGCTTTGACCTAATAGCGACAAGATTCTTTCCTCGACGCAGAAGTCGTTCCACTGAACGGAGCCGCGTTACTCTAACGATGCGACACTTCGATACGTTGTACTTCCCGTGTTCCGCGGGTACGCGTAATCCTGACTTCCGGCGGCACTGTAGACGGTGGCGCGGCGGTGGTTCAATGAACCGCATGAAAAATGAAACGCCGATCCTTTCATATTCATCGTTCGCAGCGTAGAGTTCGTACGGAGGTTGCCGGGTGGTGAGACCTAGCTCAGTATATCCTGGAAAGGGTCGGGACTCTAGCGGAAGGAAACAGTGAAAGGTGGTGGAATCGATGTTAGTATATAAGCTCTGTATCTCATCGCCATAGACATTCAACGCTCGTACCTTGTGCACACGCAATTAACAAACATACCATCCCCCCCACACACCAATATCGCCAGCAGTCATGAATCAAATTGTAAGATCGTGTTCTGAAATGCCCGTATGACACAGGAGAATTTGGTTGTATCGATCAGCTCGAAAATACAGTCTAAATTTATCAGAAAATTGAATCTAAACGGAAAACGCTGCATTTCATGCTCTGTTGTCCTTTTTCTCTATCTCTATCTCTCTCTGTTTTGTCGCGATCGAAGTGCTGGACGGAGAAACGAACGACAGTGATTTACGGGTTACCATTTATCAATCGAATACGGATGATTAACGATCGAATGTTTACAGATTGCTTTCGTTTGTCTCGCGGTGTTCGCTTGCACGGTTTCCGCGAGCCATCTGGAGGAGGACCATGGACACTCGACCTACGAGGAGAAAACGAAGCATGTGGAGATACCGATCTATAAAAAATATGGTAAATATATTACAAATGTCTAGAATTCTTAATCGAGCTTTTGGCTATTTCGTAATGTATACTGACCATACTTTGACGACAAATTTTCAGCGATACCGATCCCTCATCCGGTGCCAGTTAGTGTACCTCAGAAGATCGAGATACCGATCCCTCAGCCACAAAACGTCCCCATTGAGATTCCTCAGCCTTACCCGGTCGAGGTGATCAAGCAGATTGAAATACCTGTAGAAAAACCGGAACCCGTTGTCGTGGAGAAACATGTAAGTATAATCTATAATCCCCGATTCGATCAATTCTACGATAATACCCATAGAAAATTTCACTGACGAGCAATTACGTATATCCAGGTACCGTTCGTGGTGGAGAAGCCGTATCCAGTCTACGTCGAGAAGAAATTCCCGATCCCAGTCGCCAAACCGTATCCAGTTCATGTTCCAATCTACAAGCACGTGTTCCATTACACCTCGAAGGGCAAGGGTTGGCACTAAGTTACTCGAGGATCCGTCAGGCGATTCGGCGCCGCACTTCGTCGGACTGATTATCGGTTAACCTGGAATCGACAACAAGCTTGATCATCGAGCAAACGTATTCGATTCATCCAAGTCCACCATCACTGGTGTTACATCAAAGTGATCGCCATCCATACAACGAATACGTGCCTCGTATCGACAATGTCGTCGACTACATCGTTTGCCAATGCTATCGTTACTATTGTAATTTTATACACTCGTTAAGTTTTGCCCGTGGTTTTAACTGACCCAGGTATCTTCCCTACCCTGTTTTTTGTTAATAAATGGTTTGAGAAAAACAGCAATGGCGTCAGTTTAATCGACGACTCGAGCGGAAACGAAGAGGTTTGTTCGGTAACAGGCGGACAGCAATGTTCGCGTGTGCACGCACCTCTTGTGGAGAACTCGATTAACCGACCGCGGAAGACAATCGAGGTTTACCCAGACGAGACGTTCGAAAAGAACACGGTATACTGGGTCGTGTTCGATCGGGATCCCTCTCTTCCTGTTCATCGATCGAACAATGGGGAAACGCGTAACCTTCCTACGCTGTTTCCTCGTGTTCCGGTGTTACGGATATCGGGTCTGGAAAGAAACCAGCCTGCTAGGCAGGAATTCTACGCGATCTTGATTCGCCATAATGAGCCCGAGAGCAGCGAGCACAGACGGCAACGTTCCTGCATCGAAACCACTTTTACTCGGGATACACTTTCACTGTTCCGCTCGCTGATACGGCGAATAGTATCGTGTACGATTCGAATCTTCCGAGCGAGTTCTCTTCCATGGCCACACCCCTTCCCCGTTCGTCTATGAAACAGAAATATAAATATATTCCCGGGTTTGCAGTTCGATCACTTCACGGCCTCGGGCGATAACGATCAACGCGCGCGTACTACCGTCTGGCCGTGGTTAGAATGCATTTCCAGATGTCCGGGTGAAGGTCCATTTGAAAGTTGGAACCGTTCCGCTGATGAAAGATGGAAATTCGATGCACTATGTTATTATGATGGATCGGGTGTCTGGTCACGTGAAAATCACCGGGGTGATTGACACTATCCCTTTGGTCATTTGGATTGTTCAATACTTTGACTGCTGTGTGAATCAAGTTTGGGTAACTTGAACTACCATGAACATCTTTAAAATTGCGATGTTATGTAAATACATAGTTTGTTATATAACGTAATAGGGGCTTTCCATTCCGTTCGACGTAGAATATTCGCGTTGGAATATTTTGTGTTTGATGATGTGATTAACACCACAATTTATTCAGGCCAGATTGTGTAGCTTTTAACAATGGAAAAGGAGAGAAGTCTCGTGCAAATTCGATACTAGAAATGTTATTTCAGTGGTTCTTATTGCAAAACAAATTATGTAAATTGTATAAAAATGTAGACCTAGAGTTGGGCAGAATTTTATTTGAATAATACACAGTGAAATGCAAAACTATCTAAAATCGTCATCCTGACCTTTGAACAGTTAATGACATTAAATAATTGTTTGCCAAGTGTCTACTCATTCAAGAAGTAATATTATTGTATTATAAAAACTGAAATTTCCACGTTTAATCCAGTAAAAACAGGGAGATACTGATTTGCCTTATTCATTATTCGGAACTTTTTATTTAGATAATCAGTTTGCCCATCTCTAGCTTAGAGATTATGAAAAATCAGGTTACTGAAGCCATTACTGATTACTTTAATCACTTCTACCAGGAGGATAAATCTTATAGACTACAGACTTCATGCATTTCTAGAATATCTACTCGTTTAAAATTCAATATAATAAAAAGTATCAGAAAATTTGTTCAGATTTTTTTGTTATTTCGATTCTACAAGAACCCCAAGTAGGCTAAATAAATTTTTCTTCGCCTTTAATTTCAAGAAATTAATCAATAATAAACATCTATAGTCTACTTATAATTAAATCAAAATTTTTGTAATATTCCTAGTATATTTCGAAACTAGTACAATCCTTACCAAAGGACATAAATATTGATTTATTCCACAAATGTCGCATATGTACATCGAACAATTCTCGTTATTAGGCCTGCATGACAGCCAAGCAAAGCGTGGCAAGAATTACTAGAGCACTGTATACCGTTCACACCCTCGGCGCGAAAGCTGTGCTCCTCCAGAATCGCGTGATCGCCCGAGATGGAAACGCCTCGATATGTATACAGGCTGGCTGACAGTAATTTACAAATTGTTAATCTCGCGAACTAGACCACGACTAGGCGGTGCTCGGCTTGGTTGACTGAGCTCATTGTGTCTCGCGTTTAATAGAGATCGTTACACTTATTCTCTTTCGATTACCGAAAAATAAATTCTCCGTACGATTCAATCGGCGAACGAGGTTCAGCAATCATCCCGCGTAATTGTTCAATGAAGGGCTTAACTGAAATTGAAATTGGACGAGTTCCTTTCGCCACGCCTGTTCGCCCGCGAACAATGTATCGTTCTTTCGGTGTGGTGAAAATCGAAAGTGACTACTGTATTTGGTGTCCGTGGGAGCGGTGCACTGTGAATTTCTCGAATATCTTCGATTCGCTCGCGTAATTACTCGAACGGATAAGGACGATGTTCGACAGCTTCGTGGAACGATGTTGCGTCGATGACATTATTCCCAATAATTTTGTCTCCAACAGAAAAATTTCAGAGTCTAGAAACGTTCTTTTCTATTTTTTCCAATATTTTCTGGAATCGAAGAAATCGATTATATGGGAACTGTGGGACGTGAAATATCCCGTTCGATAATTTTGCAATTACTGTCAAGACACGTTTTTGAGAAACGGGGGTCCTCAACGATCTACAAACGCCAAGGATAAAAGGAGGGAGGGGGAGCTCGGCTATTCGTCGATGTGTTATTATATTAACGCAGACAGTCGTAGTGGCGATCGTGTCTGTGTGCAGATAAACGCGAGGAGCAGAAAGAGTCAACGTAATGAAGAGAAGGGGAGAAAGTGACGTTGGTATATAAACAGTTGGCCATGACTTTGAAAGCATCAAAGAGATCGTGGCGAGTTAACACTGCGGGTTTCGCGCACAGGATTCGTTCGAGCGTGATCTGACGTTTATACTGAGAAAACATGAGGATCATCGTAAGTTCTTGTTCACAAAAAAAAAATCACATTCCCTCTTGACACCTGTTCTCCGCACGAATGTGAAAAAGAGTTCACGGTGGTCGAAGTTTCTTTATGCAAATCGCAAGAAATTTTATTAAATTCATATTAGCAAAAGTGGGTTACATTTTGGAGGTTCTTTAATTTCGACCGTTTTTTTTACCACAGATTTTGACCGCTCTAGTGGTAGTGGCGTCAGCCTCTTATGAGGAGGAACATGGCGGTTCCACGTATCACGAGACATCGAAGCCAGTCGAAATTCCAATTTACAAAAAGTATGCCATACCAATTCCACATCCGGTACCAGTGCCGGTTCCTCAACACATCAAGGTTCCCATTCCTCAGCCGTACCAGGTCGAAGTATCAGTGCCACATCCGGTCCCGGTAGAAGTGGTGAAACATATCGAAATTCCAGTGGAGAAGCCCGAGCCCTACGTGGTGGAAAAAAAGGTACTCGTAACAATGACATGTGAAACTTGTAACCCTATACAGTGTTTAAATTTCAAGTATACCAAGTGTATTGCGTTTCTTAGCTTTCTATCTGCGTTAACTGTGACAATCCTAGATAGAAAATAATTCACGTCTTAACTTTATTTAAGCACGGTAAAATTATTTTTTAGTGGGTCCAATATACCTTCTTCATTGTTCTCTACTTTCTTAAATGAATATTTTTCTTGAAATAATTCTCAACATCTTTATGCGAGTTCTGAAAATATTTGGATAAGTGACGTGATGATTACCTGAAAAGGAATCATTTGGACGCAGAAGTTCATGAATACAGTAATCCATCTATAAAGTTAAATTACACAATATAGAAATAATTATATAACGGAATATAAGCAATCATTACGGAATCGATTAGCGAGACAAACAAATGACTACTCCGCTATCATTTTGAAAATTAATTACATCACGCACCCACCTGACAAATATCATAACCGACTTCTGGACAGTTTAATGCTCCCAAATGGCACGGCATTTAATGCATCGCCATCCGTAAAACAGTAACAGCAGTTGTCACCCGCGTTGAATGTTCACCTCGATATCACATTCCCGAGAAATGTACACCCGTACAATTCCATTCGCATGATATTTAGGATCGCATTACCACCCCCAGCCTTATTACGCGGGCAATATGAAAATTCGTAATGCACACGGGACATTGAAACATTACTGTTGTCGCGCAGGTGCCGTACGTTGTCGAGAGACCGTACCCGGTGACGGTCGAAAAGCACTTCCCTGTGCCGATCCCGAAACCGTATCCGGTCCACGTACCCGTCTACAAGCACGTCTTCCACCATCAGAGCAAGAGCCACGGTTGGAAGCACTGACATCCTGACTAGAGCAGCGACGACCATCTAGCAGCTATAAAGCGCGTCTAGCCAAAAAAAATAACATACATATAACAGAAGGAAACTCGACGTTTCTTGGCAACCATGACACTTGTACATAGCCCACTTTTGTATACTATTAATTGTTGACTTAAATAAATTTTGTTTACATTATTTTTTCTTCCCGTGACTCTTTCCGCTTGCCTTTCTTTTCTGCGAGAGAAGACGTCTAAAATCGGCTCACGGCTCGGATGATTGGACGGTTTCGAAAGTGAGTCGCGTGGCAGCGAGTTCGTCCAAGCAACTGGCTATATAAGTCACTTTTTCTTTGTATTACAGTGTTTCTTAATTGGGTCACTTAAGCCTAATACGACACCGTCGACGCGGAGTCCACGTAGCCCGGGCGTTTTCTCAATCTCATTGCTTGCAGAGAGCGTAATAAAATAATCGATTTGCGTCCAGGTGAGAGAAGAAGTTGATGATTATACAAATCGAGGATATCAAACCGGTCGTTGGTCCGTACGCTGGTTTTGCATTTTTATCGGTGACTTCGGTGACTGACGTCGGGAAAACAAGAAACTAGTCGATGGATGGATGACTACAGATATGCACGGATTACCGTAAGCATTACCACGAATTAACGTTCACAAGTGTCCCAATCATGTTCATACGAAGGTTCTGTCTACTTGAGAGTATTAACACCGATTAGTCTATACTTTGTTTCACTCGTCTTGATTGTAGACTTCTCTCCTTAGATGCACCAACTTCAACCATATCTCGATAAACAATTCCATTTCTGTTGTTTTCATATCATTTATACAATTTAATCTCGAATGATCGATCGCGGTACAATTCCAGCCGCTTTCGAACGGAAACGGCAACGCCATAAATTAAATAACTCCACGGTAAATATTTCAAAATTTTTTTCCTCGTGGACTCGCGAATTTCTGTAGGCAACACCTCGAGGCGATCGTTCGCGTTACGAAGCCGCCCGCCGGTTTTGTCGGTCCAGAAACCGGCCAATGACTGGCCGGACGATGTTGTAAATGACGAACGCCAGGCCTAACGACGACCACATAACGCGACTCTATGCCCAGAGGTGCAGAATTTATTCAGGAAATACCGGGGCGCGACCAGTTGCGTCATATCTCCTGACCGACGACCGCTTTTTATCGCCGGTTAAGGGAATCACATTCGACTTAGGTCCGCAAGAAACCTGCCCCGCTTAAGTGGAGCAAAAGTTTATAAAACCGACGGCCACGCACGACGCGCTTCTAGTTTCACCCGGGACATTAGATCCGCCGTTTAACGGGGAAGATCGCGCCTGCAGCCGAAAAACCGCGAATCATGTTCAGGCTACTGGTAAGCTGGCCGAATGGGAGAATCGTCCTTTACGACTTTTCGATTCGACTGTATTAGACGATAGCGTGGCTAATAATTAAGGTTGTCCAAGGAAAATTGCTACAAATTCTCAAAGACACGGGTGTTAGTTAACGCACTACCGTGTATAAGAGAATTACTGTAATTTAGAATTTTAATTCGTTACTGGAAATAAATGGAGGAATTATAGTTCAATTAACTCGAACCGTGGATTGCACTGGTGGAAGGCGAGAAGATTGGTCTAGAAGAATTGTATGCAAAACTAATTGGTCACTTCTGTTATAACTATTCTATGCTCATGTAAGGATAGAATCGTTTACTCGTTCATATAGAGAATTTTGTTACAAAATTATTAGATTGATACACATTACCCAGTGAGTTTTGCAGTTTGCAATTTCTTTGAGTGAAAATAATTAAAAACGGTCATTATGGGGAAAATAATGATTCATTCGAATGCAAAGTGTTACTTTCGATACAATCTTTCCGCCTCCAACACGCAATTACTCTATGCCATAATTTCTTCTTTTTACTATTGACCTATTAACCCTCGTGAACTGTTCAGGTGAATTTGACCTAAACTTGGACTTTAATTTTTACTTGTACTTTTTATAAGAGAATTTTATTCATTAATTTGACAACCAAATGTGTTACTCCTTAAATTGTATATTCGTGTGCACAGATTTTCCTGAAGCGTATATTTCCTTAGTTCGATTTTGGCTTAGAGCATGTTTAATCCAATGAATAGTAAGAATATTAACGCAACAATTTATTAAAGAGTGCAGGATGATTAAACCACAAGGTGGTTATCTGTGAAATTAATCAAATATGAAAAATCAGCCATAAAAGAATATTCTACAAGATATACCAAACTTTTTCACAACTTCTAGATCCCATGCCTGATATGGCTTTCCAGCGTCCGGTCCGAGACCATGATGTCCATGCACATGCCGGAGGGCATGATGGAGGACAATTCAGCGATGTCGGACGCCATGATGCTGAAGCCGAAACGGGAGTCGTACCATAACCCCTGTCCACCGGCTTACTCTCATCCAATCTCGTACTCGCCACCGCCCCAAATTTACGTGAAACCTGTCGTGCATCCGCCTCCAATGTCTATCATCCATCAGCCCATTCAGGTTGTCCAAAAGCCGATGATAACATACGTGAAACCATCCCCGCAGCCGGTGGTAGTGAAGCCTGTCGTTCAATCGAAATTGGTCTATCCGATCTACCAGAAGCCAATGGTCTCGTACGCGCCTGTATACCAGAAACCAATCTATTATTCGCCGATGGTGCAGAAAGTGATGTACGAGCAGCCGAAGATAGTCCTGAAGAAATACGAAGTGCCTGTCACCCAAGTGATCCAGAAGCCTCAGATCTCCTATCCGGTACAATATCATCAGCCGAAAGTGGTTCACGCGCCGGCACCGCAGATCAACTATCTGAAAATCACGCAACCAGTGGTCCATCAACCGCCTGTATTCGCCCCGTCCCCTAAACCATGGTGCCCGTAACCAGGAATCACGGATCGGACGTCACGGTGCGGTCGAAATCGAACGTGCGCTGATCGATCGTCGAGGCACGAACGTGTCCAGGAAAAGCGACAATTACCCGGAAGGTTTTTCTTCGTTGCGAACCATCCTCGTCCAAAACGTAATCGACCATATCGCCCGGCTGCCATCACACGCCATAACGAATCGTAGTCATGCGTAATCTAGCGAGGCTTATTCCGTTTCCCAGATTGTACAATAAAAAAAAAAACCAAACACCTGTCAATCTTGTTGTCCACTGCACTTCACCCTTCCGTTCATCCAGCTGAAAACTTTCCCTAGCTTTGCGCGGCGATTCCGTAATCGCTTCGTCGACTCTTGTGTAATGAAAGCTCTCGCCGCCGCGACAACGACCGGTTCTCGAGCTCGTTGAAAAGCTCACTCGGATGAGACCGTGGAATTGTTTCACTGGGGGCAAACTTTCGATAGCCTGGCTAATTTTCCGGAAAACTTTTCGAACCCTTGCCATCCGAGCTGGAACGAATCCTGCGGCCTAGGAATTTCATAAAAGACCGACATAGACTGTTCTTCCACGCAACACGGTACCATGGAAGTATCCAGTGGTCATCTACTAGTCTAGAGATTGCCTTTGCTCGGGTCTTAATCGGTTGGACTCGCAGAAACTCATACCCTCATGAAAGTTTCCACGATTGTTCTCTGGGCAGCTGAATCGCATTACCGCTTCTAAGGTCGTCGTGCACCTGGCAATGCTCGCCTCTCGGACACTCGTTCCTTCGGGATATTACACACTTAGGTCGACGACTTCGGGCCGCAGATTATCCGTTGCCTGAGATCTTCTGCGAGTGGCGATTTGAGAGCTGTCGTGCGTGTAACTATCTGATTCAAAGAATAGAAGATTAAAGGTACATAAAAAAGTACACAGTAAAGATACCTTGAATTACCAAGGGAAATAAGCATTTTAATGTTTGGCGTTTCTTTTTTCAAATTGTACATTGCCGCTCAAAAATTTGGAGAATTCTTAGTTCTTTTGGCAAATATATATTTATATTCTGCAAATTTGTATCTAATTGAAAATGTTATATACCGATAGAGAAATCTGTACATGTAGCTTGGTATATATTTTATGTTTACCTAAATGGTGGAGTGTTAATGGCTGTCCATGTCCGTGTCCCCTAGTTGTCTGTTTATGTAAGCGCCATTGATTCAATTAAGTTACCTGGGAAAGCCGAGAACGTTGATCGAGACAACTCACCGACATTTTTTCGCCTTTTATCACGCAGCCCGGTTGCGCCAGGTAAATGCAAGGTAGAACATAGCAGGGAATTAATTAACGGGTAGGTCGAGGCGAACCTTCCAACCGATTCCCGATTATTTCAAGGAATCGTCGTTTCGTCACGCGCTCGCAACGCTGAGCAATTGCACAAGGTGGGACGTACCGTTTTGCCATTTTGAAACCGCCGATTTTCTTCGTGATTGTAAAAGATTGTAAACGTCCGGTCAGAATTTTTGCATGGAGGTTTTCGTCATGTTTGACAATGCGTATAAAAGGTATGCTCGCAGGAGGATCCCCTTCAGTAAATGTCGAAGTTGGTTTTCCGTGTACTGTGAACCTTCGTTATGAGATACTTCGTGAGTACCTTTAGTGTTCCATTGTTTTATTTGTAATATATTTTAAGGATACTGAGTTCCTTAAATGACTCACATTCAGTCAATGTTTTCAATCGATTCATGCATTTTTTTAGAAATATAATTATGGTGCTATTATAACGAATTAGAATCTTTAAATGTGGTTCTTTGAATTCGGAAATCATTATTGGAAGTCTACTTTCATTGTAATTTGAATGTTGCGACCTAACGCAGGTAGCCGATGGTCGAAGCGATCCTCGCGTCTTGGGTCGTCAATATGGTCAGCAAATCGTTATAAAAAATAATTCCCGGACAGTTTCACATAACGTGCAGAACATGCACTGTCCTAAAACAATTTCTTTATTATATTTTGACTTCCAGAAATCCCAGGAACAATACATACACCAAGCCCCATTTCTTCCACTTCATTCTACTATTTTGTTCACAATATACACCAACCAAAGTCCTGTTTTTTCCACCAATCACAAGTCGAACCGTTCCAACAAGCCTCTATGCGTGCAACCACCAGTCAGAACATATTCAACCGTCAACACGAACACATCTCTCATTCGGCGCAAACACTACTACTACACACATACATCACATTGTTACAGTGACGTTTATATTAAAGTTTAAGTGTGCTATAAATTAGTGTTAAATTATTCAAATTACATCGTGTCACCATACACAATCACATACCATCTTCCAACGAGTTACGCGATATTAATTTACCAACGACCAGTGGCAAATCCCAAGTTCATCGTGACACACCGCATCATTATTTGCTAAATAATTTTTTGATGAAGTTCCACGATCTTGAATTTGGAGTTTAATTTAAGTGTTCAGAATTGTTGTTCAAACAAAATTCAGTTGGTTAAATGTGTGACTAGATCCAGTACACTATTCAGTTCTGTGTCTGTGCTGAATTATTGTAGCGCATATAAGTCGTCACCGGAAGTTTATTAGTTTATTTTTAAATAGTTCAGTATATGTACCAGCACATTCGAATCTATATTGCAGCTCTGTCTCGTGGTCGCCATCGCCTGCGAAGCGGCGAGAATACCAAGACAATCTGAGCAGACATATTTCCAAAATTTCCCAGGTGTTTTTCCGAGCAATGGCGCCTCTAGTTACCAAAACGTCGAATCAAACCAAGCGGGAGCTTCGTTTTACGGTGAATACAGGGGCCAGGATGGGAATATAGGCCTGGGAAACGAGTACTTCCAGAATCAGGTTCCTATCGGTGGCAGGCATGACCTAGTGAATGAATTGGCCGGAGGTAATTTTTCATTACAATGTCGATAACCCTCTATAACGGTACCACAACAGGCTTTTTCTTTCAGTTCCGTTCGGAGACGCCGGGTTGAACCAGGCAGATCTCAAGCCTCAAACATACGGACGTCTGAACCAACCACGTGATTACGATTATCAGATATAGAATTCCTATAAATGTTTTATGACCGTGTTAGTTACGTGCTGGAACAGATTGAATCACTTTACTAGTAATTATCATCGTTCCAACGCTGTCGAGTCACTTATATATACTAAACAATTAAACTACAAAAAATAAAGTACTGATCGAAGAAATGACAAGAGATGAATGAGCTAGCGATCTCTTTATTTCTCCTTACTCTTTTATATCCAATATATATATATATATAATATATAGGTTAATATAATCATTTGTGTAAATAACATTATTAGAATGAAAACAACGACGTGATAATCATTATGCTAGGCTCTCCTTTCGGTTTCTCATTTTCTTTATCTTATATATATACAATGCTGCTTTGCGACTTTGGACCATTCGCGCGAGAGTACCCATTCGAGGAGGGAGGCGAGAAAAAAAAAGAGGATTCTCGAAACGAGTACCTGCTCGATCGTGACTGAAGATCGCGGGGGGGGGGGGGGCTCCTAATACTTTGATCGCGTACACCACATCAAACGCGTCCTCTACTAATTGTTTCCGATCGTGAAAGCAATTCGTTCGGAGTTACAATTAACAGGCGAAATGAATCGTCGCGTCGACGATGAAAAATTCCTTCTCGGCGTTAGGCAATGAAACACATGCGCCCGCACAGTCGTACCGGGACACTCGCATCGTTACGATAGAATTCGATAATAGCGTTAACAATCGAAAAATATTGAAATCGACGAATCACGGCGGAACGCTAACTCCGCGTGACTCGGCTTTCCTGTGCACGGCGTGTTCGGTTTGAACCTGTGTACACGCAATTATTCATCAAACTGACAACGATTCGATAACGTTCGGATGCCGTGTCTTCGATGATTTGAGGAATGATTGTGAGTACGGTGGGTTCCCTGGAAAATAAGTACATTAAACTTTAGATTGTGTAACAGGTACATAAAAAATAGTGTACAACTAATGGGATAATCATCAATTCGCAGGTTCTCTGTTAAAAAGTTATGATCGAACATACTTCATGGTTTGTACTTGGGAAACCAAGGAAATTGTAATAAATGAAACCTTTCCGCATTTTTCGGTTACAACAATAATAATTTATTGTAAATCATGTTCAAAATACCTTTGAATTTCTTAATATTTCTTCGACATCATGTTAACGATGCTTCCATTGAAGACGTTTAAAATTATTCTAGTGTGTTTACATATGATTAACTTGAAGTACAGAAAGTTTTTTATTAGTAACATTCCGAGGAAACTTTTTTCTCCTCAGAATTGTATTCCCTAACATATCCCAAGCAAGTAGAACTTATCTTCAGGGACACCACGCGTGTTTTCAACCGAGCACACCGCACATATAATAAATATATATGTATATATACCTATCATTAATATAAGAACTTGACTAGATCACTTTAGTTTTTTTTCTTTTTTATTGACTCCCTTATTTAGTCTAGGTACTTGCTCGTGCGACGACGGAGAGTATGGAGAGTTAGAAGATGCTTCTTTCTTATAAAAAAATATCCAGGAGAATGAACTAGAATTACGATTAACGCGGAGTTTCTCTGTTGCTTCCGGCTCTCGGGGCGCTGACGTTATCCGTCGGGATTACGCGGGAACGTCGGCGTGTCCGAGAACGTAGGCGAACAAGTCTTGATCCCAATTCCAATAGTAATTAACGTTTGTAGCGGATACTCTGAACGCAGCACCTCGACTTCCCTGCAATCGTTTAGTTACAGAGGAACGAATAGGACAAACCGCGACGGCTATCACACGTAGAATTCGGTTTTAGGGCCCAGTTCGTACTCCATCTCTTCGTTTTTGTACATATCCATGATCTGGAATAAAGTTCGAATAGTAATATTAGGCAATATTCTTTTATGTACACATTGGGGTGGATGCACCAGCAAATGAACAGGTACCAGTGAATGAATATTATATAGGAAAACGAGTAAATTAAGTTATTAAATTAAGCAGATGATTAAATATTTATTATTTACAATTCCTTGTTTCGTATTCAAGAATTTTTCACACCATTGATTAGAAATGTTCATTTACTGGTGAAATCTGTATTTTTCCTTTTTAATCCAATTAATTATATTATTCCACTTTTTCAAATTGAAATCTGTACGTTGTAAAAAGGTATAGATATTAAAAACTCTAATTTTTCATTTACCAAATATTGTCAATATTATTGTCATTTAAAATTCGAGATTAATAGTTACGAAATATCTTAAGTGTTCACCCATTGGTGTGTTTACCCTACTTTAAATTATAATTTATATATCTATAAACTGTAAAAGAATTTTCTCACGAGAAAGTACAAGAAATTTTGTTGGAAATATATTTGCAAGAATTATTGCATATATATTTGCAAAAATTGTCTTGTGGTCAATAGGAATAGCGTAGAATATTGAAAAAAAAAACGAGGGAAAAAGGGAATGATTTCCTCGTACCGCATTCATATCCTTTTGCAATTCTTCCAGTTGTTTCTCGTGAATCACTTTCAGCTTCTCTTTTTCCCTGTTCTGAATACTCTGCGCGATCCTTCGCTCCTCCATGAACTTCTTCGTGTTGTTCTGCTGCTTCTCCCTGAGCCGACCCTCCTTAATTCCCCGTGTCTTCAGAGTTTTGTCGTTCATCACCTCCCTCATGCTTTCCACCGACAGCCTCGCCTGTCTGGCGTTCATCTCTTTGATCTCACGCTCGTGTCGCGCCGCGAGTTGCTTCTGTTGGGCCAGCTGAGCAGTCACGCACAGTTTGCACAAGGTGTTCCGTCGTTCCTCCAGGTGAGATCGTACCAAATCACGTTCCTCGCGACGTTGCCTATCGGCCAGTCGAGACCACTGAACTGTTTGATCGGAAACCGCTCGACGAACCGTTGGATCCCTCGAGAGTTCTGCTTTGCTGTTGACAGGAAAAATAGGGATATTTGGTTTCAGAGGATCTACTTGAAGAAGAAAGAGTTACCTACTTTTTCCCTTTGATAATCTTCTCTATCGCTACGCAGTGTTGCTTTTGGACGGTTAGTTTTTCCTTTTGGTGCCTCTTCTTCAGAGATTCCAGCTCCTTTTGCTGCTTCCTGAGTACCTTCTGATAGCCCTTCTCTTGCCGTAATACTTCTACCGTTATCGGGTCGAATTTCATTTCCTCTGCGGACAAACAGAATTTTAATCTTCATACCACCCGTAAGGTTTCAGAAATGATTATATAGATTATTATTTAATACTTACCCCTGGGTTTAGGTGGTTCCCGATGATGAGCGGGCGCAGAGTCATTTCCTTTGCTGTCGCTCTCCTCTATCCCAAGGCCCTTCATTTTGTTCTGCGACATGCTCTCCGGTTTCTTGTAGGCCCGTGGTGCCGTCAATGCATCCATAAGTCCTACAAATTAATTTCCTATGAATTATGATCTTCCTATTGTACTAAAATCAAATGAAAACCACTGACCTTCATAACCGTCAGGCACATAGATCTTGATCTCAATGTTACAAAACAGCATAGGCAGCGACATTGGGAAGTTTGCCTCCGTTCTTAGAGATATATGCCGATACCCCGACTGTAGACCGTCTAAAGGAACGATTCTTTGACCCAGAAGCTTGCCATTGGATTCGTCGTAAACCGCGAATCGCAACGCCGCCAAATCTGGTAGGACGACTTTTCGGAATAGGAAGGGTTCTTCATTGTAGACGGGATTCAGGCCGTTCGCCGGGACCACCCTCGTACGGAATTCTTTGCGAATCGTGTCCGTGGGTAGACCGTACATTTCTACTTCCACGTACGTTCCGACTTTCTTGTCGGATAAGAATTGGCCTGCTATTACCTAGCAAATCGAACGATAGTTAGCTAGTTATTATTACAATAATCTCGCGATAATTGTCTGCATTTGGGGCTTGCGAGGCGGAAAGTGCTAGAAACGAGCAACTATCGAGATCGGATCAATTATTGGCTACAGTAGTAGTAATGCGTGTGAACAGGGGGCATTCTTAACGGGAACTTGTCTAGCGTGCAGTTAACGAGACTTTATTGTATTATTTGTTGGAGAAAAGGAGAACCCTAATCTTGACTGAAGCCCATGGATCTAGTTCTAGGAATATACATCGTAAATGTTTTACTCAGGTATAATAGGTAGCTAATTGACATTAGATATGAAGACTTTAATAACACTGTTCAACACGTAAAATTTTGTGCAATTGTCAATAATAGTTTCTGATAGATCTTTGTGAGCTAAATACAAATCTGCAAACCGTTTCGTTCCAGCACGTCCAGTTTTTGATAAAAATCGATTTTAAAGAAAATTGCAAATTTTCAAATTTGGAGCTGTGTTGTGCTTTTACAGTAATAGTCATTTAGTTTCTTTTCAGACGAATTAATTCTCTGGACTCTTGCGAACAAAATGATATAAATTGTTATTACATTATAGACATCTAAATATGTTTAAATAATGTTCAAAATGAAAAGCACACCGAAAATGCACCACTTTTTGCTGATATTCTTTAATTTATTTCAAAAATTGGACGTGTTGAAAAGAAACGGTTTACAGATTCGTATTTAGTTCACAACGTTCTATCAGAAACGCGTATTGACAACTGCACAAACGAAAAACAGTTAAAATTTGTCGAACAGTGAATCAGTGACCTCTGTTGGTAAATTTTATTTCATAGTTATAATCTAGATTCTCCGAGAATTAAATATGAAAGGATCACACGATATACCTGAACGCTGCACTGAGTGGCGATCACACCGTCCACAGGGCTCTCCGCGAAAGGATCGAAGCTTCGATCCGCCCGTCTCATGAAGTCCGGCTTCAGAAGGTAACCCGACGAACCATTGTACTCGAACTTTCCCTGGTTCAGCTGCATAGGTAGATCCGCGGTTTGGAAATTCAATGACACCATTTGGCAGCCAGCGTTCCAGAAGACCTGTTTCCAATGATCGATCGGTATACGAATGTGCCCCCCGGCGGTTCGTACGATCTATACGTAGGGAGAATTACCTGTGGCATGTAATTCGATGAGTCCGCCCGAGTGCCTTTCGGATAGATACGGCTCATTTGCCGTTTATTGTAATTCACGAACTCGATGGCTTGCGTTTTCAAGTAATTCAGGCCAGCGGTTTCCGCGAAGGAAGACATATTGTGGTGGATGTTCTTCTCTGTACAGAACAAATCGCTAACTTCAATTTGGTGCACTCTGTGCGGATTCTTTACAGAAAAAACCGAATATTGAGTACGTTAACAGTGAGTGAAATTCCAGAAAACCGTCAACATTTATTCTATAGAGCCTAACAGGATGTACGTCTAATATCGTACAAATTACTTGGCAATAAGTAAGACATTAATCCATAAATCTAATGAGATCCACCGTCAGTAGTATCAAATTTTAATGACTATTAATTATCAAATCTTTCATTCAAAAAAAATCTTCGTTACGTTCAGCGACGTCGAAGCCCGGGAACTTGATAGGTTGAGCGTAGTTCACCATGGACGAGAGCCACGGATGCACATTTGTCGTGCTTCCTGTGTATGGTTGAACAACTGCCAACTCCAAGTTGTCACCCAACCCGGCGGTAGAGCCAGACTGCGGTTGATTCCCAGTGGTCGTCGTAACGACGGTCTCGACCACGGTTGGCTCTTCCTGAAGACGCGACAGTTCCGTTAAAGGTAAACAGTACGTCACTCCAGGAAAACATAACCGGGAATGGAAGTTAAAGGGTGACCATGCTGGTTACGAGGGTTACCTTTACCGATTGTTGTTCGACAACGACCGCGACCGCTGGCGGTGCACTCGCGTCCTCTTTCACCTCGTCCTCGATGACGAATTGGCCCTGCCTGAACAGCTCCAGCTCGTGCTTCTCCACTTCCGGTTTCAGTCGTTTGTTCTTGATCAGGATCTTACGTTTTAGCATGCTCGGCGGCGGCAGGGGCGCGCCCGGCTCCAGCTGTTTTATCGGACCGCAACATCGGTATGCGTTAATGCCTGTTTTTCTCACCTGTATCACGTTTCGCGACCGTAACTATCACGTTTTTGAAAACGCGTGCGCGCGTGTTAATCTAATCTGGGGGTCCACTCGAGGAACATGTATGTATGTATTGCACCGAGTGCTCGGCCGAGATAACATCCGATAACAATAGACGTGACTACTTTCGCCCTGTTTGCCGATGGGAATCTAGATTTCGATTGACGTAGACGATTCGCCTGTTATCAGTGTCTCCCGTCGGCGACTGGCGAAATCATTGAGTGACTAGCAAACACCATCGAGCGTGTTTGTTCGTGGAACATTGTATCCCTTCCTAGATTATCATATATCGATCGCAACGACAAGAGAAACTCACTGGAAATTCTTTGATGGGCTCTTTCAGCAACAAGTCCCCGAGTATCTCGTCGCAATACTTGGCCAGCTTGTATTGCTGCTTCTTGCCGCAATGGTTCTCGAAGCTGAGAATCACCGGGTACTCGGACGTGACGAAAGCGGTGTCACGGACCGCGTATATCACGTCCTTGAAGAGGATATCCGTGCACATGGCTTTCCCGTGGGTGATTATCGGCTCCTCGTCCTCCCCTTTGCCATCCCAGCAGTCGAGCTCCACGCACCTTTCGGTCGAAATACCATTTAATGATCACGTGTTTTTTTTTTTTTTCATTTCGATAGTATCAGACTATTGTTCGACGTAAAACAACCGGGCTTAGAAGCTTTTATTTATCTAAAAGGGAGCAAACGGTTTTATCAGAAAGTACGGTTTTCGGTGGCGTAGATAAAGAAAACGATACAAGGTATATGTCCACGCGACACGTGGTATGTCTCACGTTTCGCCTTACCTACAACCAGCGAGCAACACCTGTCTGTACATCTCAACGCTGCTCTTGCCGCCAAATTGCCTGCCGCTCAAATACGTGTTGTGGCTCGAGTTTATGTAATAATGGGCCAACGATTGGTCCATGTCCATGTAGACGTCCAGCCGGTCCAAGAAAACGGGCGCGTTCTCGTCGGACATCAGGTACCTTATGAAACCATCTTTCGTCATCGTTTCTGAAAGGACGTGATTGCGTCTGAAAGGATGCCGTTTCGTAGGTAGAACAAACTAGCTCGGACACTGAGGCGATCGGTGGACAAACATTCGACGGGAACAGTCTTTACGGATTGCACCAGTACCAAAAATTGTAGGAATATGTTTGGAATATACGGTTCGGACAGAGGAATCGTAAAAATTTAAATTCATATCTCTGTGATCGGTTTCTGTTTACGTATAGGAAATATTCTGGAAGACTGCTATTGTACGTTTAAACTGAAAAGTGATGGAGAATTGCTTGTTCGACGTTCCAATACTGGTTTAACCCCTTGAAACCGGGCGAGACATTATTTCGAACAGCGAGCACAAAGGATTCCTGGCTCCATTGTACGATCACCCGTTGAATGGACCAGCGGACAATGCCTCCATTTGATATTTTATTGCGATGCACGAAATTTATTTCCTAGAATACTCGCTGTTGGCAACGGTCGTTCTCCCTTCGATGCCCCCGGTATAGCTGGGCACGCAGAAACGTTGCCAATGATAATCTTACTTTGATTTCGCGCCGTCTCGTGCTGCTCGTAATCGTTTATGATCTCCATGGCCCTTTTCTCGTCGTACAGGGGATAGAGTATCTCGTTCAGTGTCGGATCCCGTTGCTTCTCGTTCAGAAACGTGACCAGCTGATCCAGATTGATCGTGTCCGCCTTACCCTGGGTGCTGGAATTTTTCGACAGATCAAAACAAACGAACTTTACCGTAGGACGATCGAACGATCAGCGTTGATCGATGTTGTTTGCACTCACATGGACTGGAACAGCTCTTCGATGTCGTTCCGGGGGCAGATTTTGTGGTAGAGCGCGTAGAACGCGTCGAACGTGAAGTCGTCCGGCTCGATTACGTCGTTCTGAAAATATCGAATTGAAAGTTTCACGTAATTATAAGTGGTTCGAATGCAGGTGACCAAATTTCGAAGGATAAAGACCGGATAACGTGATCAGGAAACCATGGATCAGGTAGCTGAAAGTGAAATTAAAGCGAGAATATATGTGTAAATGGATTAATGCACGATTACCATTCGCAAATTTTAATTCATGTCAACAGCACTTTGATAATTCCATAAAACATAAGCGTCACCGTAATTATTTCGATTTTAAGTCGCTGGATATTTGGTCACCTGTCTCTTGAAACACCCTGTACATTGGCATGCCCAATGAACTTCTTTTTGTACCTTTCCACTGGGTAGGCCTAAATCGGCGAGGCACTGATAGACGAGCTTTTCCGTTTTCCCGGACGCGAAAGTTCTCGCGACCACTTTCACCGGAACTTTTCCATTTGGATCGACCAGCATTCTGAGCCGCATCCAACTGGAACACGGCAAATAAAAAACGCCTGAGTATTTTTCACCGATGAAAAAGACGCTCCTGATAACTTTCCCGTTTCCCGTTGGCGAAAACCGCCGTCCGATCGACGAAATCGCGGAGTCACGGCGCCCAAGTAACCGTCGGGAAAAATTTCACGGTCCTGTTTACGTTCCTCGACAAGTTTTTGCTTCGAACCATTAGACGAAAGTTCGCAAACTGATCGTAAATCCGGAAAAAGTCAAATAAACTTTCGTATCTGTCTGTATTCATAAAAAGCAATCAGGCGAGTGAAAGAGAATTACGGAGGATTAACTGAATGATCTATACGTATTCTTTTTTATTGTCTAACAAGGTGTTCTATAGGACCACTCGTGACTGAATATTACGTAGAAAATATGAGTAATACTAATAGTGCTAGATAAAAACAGGATTTATATCGAACATTTCTGAGACTTTTTATTTGTACTACCAGCACATTTATCACCTGATAAATATAGATGTAGAAATATATAAAAAATTAATTTTAGTGCTGTTTTCGGTTACTAGATCACCGTGTATTGCGTCGAACAGTGTGACGTTTGCAACCGCTTGTGGAACGTTTCGGTCGGACGACGCTTCTGTCTAATTATTTCACGCAAACATTAGGACAGCGTAGGCGTGTGTGTACTTGTCCCCATTGGACTTGCATGCGTGTGTATATGTGTGTGTGTAATTGCATCAGTAAACTCACTGTTTCTTCAAGCACGTGAGCGGGCAAACGTTGTTGGCTTTCACGTTGTGCGTAATCGATCGTATGCCATCCAGCCATATCTGTCATGGAACACAGCAAACACGTGGACTTTATTGATTATCTTAATAATTATCTAGCTCCAATGAATTGGAAAATTTTCTCTACGTCTAATACACGCGTATATGTGGTTTCTAGGAATGACATCCGATATAATACATTTTCATTGAGGAAGGTCGGATAATCGGCGGCCTTGTTTCATTTATCAATTTTCCGGAATATGGATCAAACGGGGGATGATTATATAACGTGGATGAACTTGCCTTGGCCGTAGCCGGATCCGGACAGACGACGTGCTGGTAATTAATATTGGTATAGTCTACGCCGGAGCATATGGTTAAACTTTTCTCGTCCAGCTGCTCGCCATGCTTCGTCAGGAGCTTGTCGAACAGCTTCGGGTCCTGAATAAAATCACAAAGTGAAACGGTGTTGGACCAGAATAAAGTGATTATTCTGGAACGGTTCGAGAAGATACTGTCCTTTTCTTCCATATTTAATGAACAGTAGTAGGTACCGAAAGTTCTTCCAGGAAACGGTTATATGTATATTTCGTATCTTCGACAATACCAGTCTTGATTAAAAATTTTTCTTAGACTTCTCAATAAAAATATCTGCTAACGTTAAAGCTGCAAATACCAGCTTTAATACTAATTTGTATTGATCAAGAAGGGTTCGTTCTCCGAATCTGTATATTTCAAGTTCTGTTTCAAGTGATATATGTATAGCTAAGCGAAAAGCTTAATTAAAACGACAAGGAAACACCGTTATTATCAATTGAATTACCCGTTTGGCTTCTGTTTATTTTCAAACGAAAGGGAAGCATTTAAATTTCTCATAGTATCGAGTAGTGAAAGAACTCGTTAACGCCTCGTACGAACGGAAGACAAACACTTCCTGACTTGAATGCCATCAAAGCACTCGTCACCGTCGGACAGTTTCGAACTTCCCCGCTGAATATTTCAGACGAAGGCTGGCGCTTCGTTCCAGTTGCCTGGAAGACAAGGGTTTTCTTACCTTAGGCACACCGCCGGCACGTATGTCGCTCACTTGACAAAGCTCTATCACATCCCCGTCCTGTCCATGTAACAGAAATCAAAGAAGAACACGATAATACTACTTGTCTACCCTGTCTGACCATTACTTGTAGTCCCTACTTATCGACTGGGCTGATCATCCGTATACGGACACGAAAATGTTCTCGAATAAATACTGAACAAACATATCACTTAAAAATCAGAATTCCATTGTTCTTAATGAAACTCTTTACAAATGTTATTGTATTATTTCGACAAGAAAATCTTCCATTTGTCGTTTGTTATTCGCCCTCGAGGGTGAAGTTTGCCCAACCTGGCTCCGACCTCGATCTTAGAGTTTCAAGACAACACGGTTCAAGATTACGACGTCTAGCAAGACAAAAGGGAGAACCGGAAGACAATAGGAGGGCGTACTCACCTTTCCCTCGCTCTGCCAGTAGATGAAGAAGCCATATTCGTCGACCTTGAACACACAATTCACTTCCAGTTCGGTGTTGTCCTTCTCCTCTGACCATCGGTCGAACATGCATCCGTGACGCAGTGGTAGCGGTACCTCGATCTGCCAATTGAACTCGAACCTCTTCGTCATCTTCCCCGCACCGAGTGGAACGTGTCAATCTGTTAGACGTGTTTGCTTTCGTCTGGTTCCTGGCGGAATAATCAACGATTCTTTATTGACCACTGTCCTCGTCACGCAATAATTATCCCTGCGATCGTACATGTATTCGTAGCCACGAAGATTCTACAGATAACATTGGAGGCATTTAAAATGTTTCGAAGAAATAATCGTATGCCCAAGGTTACGTTTCTTCAATAATTTTTCATCTGTTCCATGCAAAATAGACTACTTCGTACTTTGTACCGGTAATATACCAGGAACGTCTAAAAACTTGCGAACCATTACGACGCACTTTCTATAATACCATCGCGGGCCACTTAAGAGTCTCGATTCGTTCGAGTTATTAATTGCAGCCGTTTCAGTGAAATACCGGGTCTCCTGAGTTCTTATCGCGTCGCTTCATTACCGATTCCGAGCGTCGTTCCCCAAGATTACGAAAGTTGGCCATGCGACCGGGAATACCAAACGATCGTCGTCTGATGCCGTTCGTTTATTCGAAACGAGGCGGTATTGCACCGTACGATGCACTGCCTCGGTCCTTTAATAGTCTTTTCCACCGGGCCTCGATTGAGTATTAACCTCCGGTGGACTGTGGCAAATAGGCGCTATCGACCTCTTTCGAACGGCATCAGGATCCAATTAAACGTTGATCTTATTACAGAGAAGCTTTCGATCGTTCACCGCGGACGTTAAGGGGGTAGCCCACCCTGACTGCTTGAAAATCATAGTAGCTTTGTGAATCTTTCTGGGAATATAGGTGATAAAGTAAACTGGAAATTAATTGCAAAGCCTGTAATATTTGTATGCTTACACATACAATAATTTTTTTTCGTGCAAAATGGTAAAAAGCAAAAAAAAAAGCAAGAATTTTTCACTTTCTGGAAGAAGTTTGCTAAGGAACTATGTAGGAGTTTTTTTTAAATATTTAGTTTTGTTAAATTGTTGAGCATTTCAAAGAAAAAGATCGAGTTTGACCGAAAAGTTTTATACAGAAACGTCTGTAGAAAAGAAAATTTTTTAGATATCTAAAAAAACGTATGTACTTCCCCAGCAAAATTTCTTTTAGAAAATGAAAAAAGTGATCGACGCCACCGTCGAAACAGTCACCTGAACAGGTGCTTTACATAAGCGGCACCAGCAACGCTATTTTATATGAAAGTAAATATTTTGTATACATATTACAGGCTCTGCAACTTCATTGTATTTCCAGAAGAAATCACAAAGGTACCTACGACTTTTAAGCCGTCAGGGTGGGCTAGCTCCCTTAAACCAGTCATCGAAGGGCCTGTTTTCCGAGGAACTTTGTGTCCACAGTGAATCTTTCGTCGTTCGTCGACTCGTCGCACGGAATCTAGGTAAGCATCAGTCAATTCTGTTATTGTTGGCTTCGGTAGCACGGCCCGCCGAGGGTTTAACATTATTTTCTCAACCTCGATGGCCTCTTCGAGCACCAAGCTAACCGTGTTTCTTAACCCAATTTTTCTGATGCACTGTACAGACTCTGTTGCAACGATTTCGTTGCTTCTTTCTCGTTGAATCGATCCTTTGAATTACTTCGTTTATTGGATTCATTGATCCCGTTACGAACGTCGATATAAACTAGCTGAAGAGAAAGTTTTCGTGACACTGATGTCACGACGATGAAAGGTATCGTTAAAAATACACTGACGATTTAATGAATGGACTAGAGCGAAATCAAGAAACAGAATGAAAGAGGATAAATTAATGAATTAAAGTATCTTTGAGGGACTGAATGAACTGGATTGAACAATCTTCAAAAATTGTTTAGGTTATTTAAAGTACCCAAGTAAGAGTAAGGCAAATGGCGTAGAACAAAATACAAGATCTTGGATTATTTGGATCAAATCAATGATCGTGTCTGTTAAGGTTCCTTGGACTATTCTAGAAGATGAATTGAAGATCTGCATGCATCCGTCCAGAAGAAAGACTATTTTCTTCTGGATCGAAGACTAAAAAATTCTACGACATTATCCAAGAAAAAAAAATCGCACTAGGAATTCCTCCAGTTCATTCAAGATTCTATCGGAAGGAACCCTATAAGTATCACCCTTCTCAAGGATCATTCGAGAATACATGAAGATATAGTAAGACCGACACAAGTATCATTAAACGGGGATGACAATCGTTACACTGATCCGAGCTTACGGTATTCGAAACCAGATCCGTCGATTGAGTCGTTCCTCTGAGTCGAGGTCGGTCGTAGCTAAGGATCGACTTTTCAAGCTCGAGTGATCTCGAACCCGGGCTTTCTTTCTCGTTCGGTCGAAAGAAACTGAGATTGACCGTCGCCAGGCCGTAACTACGACAACAAAGGATTGAAATTCTCGGTGGCTGTCGAGCGGACAGTCGGCTAAAGGCCACTCGAAACGGACGCGTTTGCTTGCCGGTTCTCCGACGATCGCGACACGCTTTCGGTTTTTTTTTGTGTTGTTTCGACCGGTCGATACGTTGTATCGTAGCGCAAAGGATTTTGCTGGCATCGTTGCACCGATTGACCTTTATTCCCTGGCTACAAAGTAGGACGAGCCATAGAGACAGGGACGACTAGGTGAAAATAGAACGACAGAGAACTCGGTACCCGCCACCTCCCCCCCCTCTCACACCGAGAAATAAATTGTCAACTTTTTTTGCCACTGAAAACGACTGAACTTAATGCGACATTTTCAACCCTGCTGGTGTCTCTTTCCGCGTTTATTAAAATGGCGAGAATGCCTCGGAGGTCCGGTGGAATCGGTAACGAAACGGTGATATGGAAATTCTGTATTTATGGGAAAATTTAATCTTTTTTTCACGAATATCAAACGTTTAGATTTTAGATTTTTCAATTTTTGAACGTTTAGAAATTTAATTGAAATGTCACGTCGATATTTCTTTGATTTTTGTTATATCTGAGTTCTGAAGTCAACTCGTTCGTAACAGTAGTTAGACTTAATCTTTTGCACTCGTTTGGCCTCTCTGAAGAGGCCAATGTATGGTAGACTGCGAATATTTATGCATGTATTGTGTCCCTTGACTTGCAAAACGTAGCAAAATAAAGATTCCAGTTAAATTTAATATTACTTATGCATTATTCCTAACATATTAAAACCTATGCAGTATACAAAAGAAGTGTCTGTGCAATTTTGTATTTTTCCATATTAGTGTTTAAAATTGTAAATTTGCGTAAACGTACGCAGACTAGTAATTAGGAAATTCCAAGTTAATGCAATGACTGTCTTTTGTGGTATATAATATTGACTGACACAGTAAGGATGAATCATTAACACTAGCGAGTTTAAACATTTCAGTTAGTTACTATGCTCACATCCAATGCATTATATTGATTGTTAATAACAATCTTTTAGAAATTAAATCAGTAGATTAATTAAAGGTAACATTTGAATGAACACATGGTGATTCCTCAAATCGAGTGTACACGTACTTGCCAATTCTGGAAATCTGATTTTCCAAGAAAGTCGTGAAGAAAAGTTTTCCGTAAAATCTCGATGTTCTTCGCGCGGAAGAATCGAGGGAGGGAAGAATGTTAGTTTACGGTAGAATGTACAAAGCTGTATGACGGGAGTTAAAGATGATATATCACTTACGACGTTAAGACCGTTTCTTCCTGGCTGGCTTGCACATTTTAGTTCCCCGCTGCACCTACGACAAGAAACATCAGATAAAGTTTGCATGGTGGTTTCTTACTTCGCGGCAGGAGTCAAGGTCACCGATTCTATCTATAGCGATCCGGTACACAAATCAGATTCACTGAACTTTATGACCGATCTTCGGCGGATATTTCACTCGGCTGTCAAACATCGTTTTCTACCCCTTTGGCCCCTCCCGGACATCCACCTATTTGATCTGAATTTCGATTTACCGAATTCCCGGCACCGTTTCAACCGTTTCTCGGATCGGACTCACACAGGCCGTCGTTATTCGATCCCGTTTGATATTCGCCGCGTTTGATCTGTCCAATTTGGAACAATTGGGTCGTTTATTCGACGAGGCATAGCAATTCACCTTGCGCAATTATTTCTAAACGAGTGGACTTAAATCCCGGCTGTGTCCAGAATTATTATATTAATAGTGAATTTTCCAGACGACCCGATACAAAAAGAAAATGGGAGATGTAAGGTAGAAACGTCGTAGATGCAACAGAAATACAAAACTGATAAACAAAGAAAAGAATAAGTATTGAAGATGCAATATTAATGTTTCATTTCTCTACTAATACAAGAAAGTGTTCTAGTCTACGTTATTTCATCCAAGAATGTACTGTTTTATCCCGATTTTACGTCCATTAACTCATTTGCATCATTAACGCACGGGTATACAATATACGCGTCATTTTCTCGATCACTGTCACAGAAGCGTACATGTACGCGCACAAAACAATTAGCCTAGATAGCTAAAATCAATAAAGTATTAAGTTTCATATACTTCCTGAAACATTTATAACTAAATTTTACAAAAAATACGAATTTCGTGTTAAGGGCCTGTTTTTCATTTCTTTTTTCAAATGATGCAAATGGATTACTTAATCCGAAGAAATTCAGGTGTACATACACTCGGTTCCGATTATGACTAATATTTATAAATACCGTGGTGAAACGATTTCTCGAAACGGTTTATCCTTAGGCCACCTGTCAGGCAAAGGTCAATACTAAGTCGATACTCACTTCTGGTCATGGCGTTCGACGATATCGCGAATCTATTGCCGCGAGGCACGCGCTCAGGCGTCGTCGTCGGAGGAGTTCTGCGTGGAATTCGCGGCTAATGAAACGCATTTAATTAAACGCTTATCGGGCCCGAGAGATTGACCATTATTCAGTGACCGGATTTATCGTTACCGCGAGCGAGAAAGGTCGAGTACCTATCGATGCCTTGTCGCGCTATCGTCCACGGACATCCCGCGACGTTTATCGTTCGGGTGTTATCTTAATTGACGTAGGAGGAAGCAAAGCCCCCTCGCTAGAAGCCAGCCAATGACGTGCGGGACAGCTGCTTAAATGTAGTATTCATCATACATTTTCGCGTCTCTTTGAAGCGCCGGCGTAGAAAACGCCGCCTCGCGCATTGTTACACGGAACGCTTTTGTTCTCCTACCCCCGCCTGGAAACGGAAACGAGCATTCAGCCATTAGGTCGGCGACGATATTTTTTCAAACCGTTCCCTCTCGACTGGCTTCTGGCCCCGTGGTTTTTTTCACGGAATACGTAAAGATAACCGTGCACAACCGAGTTCAGCGATGGTAAAGATCGAAGGAGAAACAAAGTCGAACGAAATCTCGTGGAATAAGACCGGAACGGAAATTGGAACGAAAGAATATACACCCGAGATATTTTCGGGATTCCCGAGTATATACGAGTTTTCGGTGGGTCCCCTGGTCTGGCTTCAATCAGAATAAAACCGTCGGATCCGGCTATAAATCTTGCCGAGTGAAGAAAATTCCCTCTCGTTTCCTCGTGGAATAATATTGATCATATTTCCTGGCTCTCTCGGTGGATCGACTAAGATCTAAAAGATCTTGAATAATTGCTGATCGCGTGCCTGATTGCACTTTGTGCTGGACACCAGTCATAATGTTACACGCGACTGTAATCAATGTAGCTTCCTGTATACTCGTTCTATTCGAAACATTTACTTGTCACGAGGAGGTTGCTTTGCACGTGACCGTGGATGACAGGATGAGAACAGATGTTTCTCTAAACTTTTTGAACGGTACTGTACGTCCCGACACGAAACCCAATTTTCGCTGTCTGTCTTCAGCATCGCAGCCCTATTTACCGATGCAAATTTCCGAGACGAGGCTCAAAGCGCCGCAGATTGAATACAGATCGTCGACTACGCGAATTTGCCTTGCTAAATCGTAGTCTGGAAAGAAGAAAAAAAAAACATTATTCTAGAACGATTCGGAGACCTGGAAGAACGGTTGGAGACAAAGATTCGTCTAGAAGACTGTACGAATGGGCATACAATCCGCGCCTCTGTATAACCAGCCGTGGAATATACAGGAGAGGTGCTGTAAACAGAGGAGCGTTACGAAAATAATGAGGGGGACTGCTGCGGTTCGTGGTCGCGATTCTTCACTGGCAACCGCGAAAACATTTCTGGCGGACCGAACGACTTTTCCCAGGCGAAGGCTGACGATGCGTCTAACGGCCTGTCATAAGCCGTCTGGGTCTACTTAACGGCGATCGTGGAACGTGTATTTCGGTCGTGAAACCGGAAGAATGCGGGATGTCGTAACGCCATTGTTGATAATCTGCGGGATGCACGCCGGCCAATGACTTGCCCGTAACACCGTTCGCGCGAAGATTCCTTTAATGTACCCATTAAGCGTTGTTAAGCGCTTTTTAAGCTTCTGCAGAATGTTGCCCGCGTGAAATAGGGGGCAAGGTGAGACATTTAGATTACGAGAAACCTCAAAGAATATTGAGATAAGATGTGCCCTCTTTTTTGTATTTTAAAAGAAACCGACGAAAAAATTGCCACAGAAGTAAATTATCATTCTGGATATGTTATTGAATTTGAATTAGTTTTTAAGCTTTTGTAGGACGTTGCTTGTATGAAATAGTCGGCAGGTTGAAACAATTTAGATTACGGAAAATCTCGAAGAATATTGAGATAAGGTCTCCCCTATTTTCTGTGTTTTGAGAGGCGTTCAGGAGGAAATTATTTCAGAAGTTTTAAGCTCCTGTAGGACATTGTTTGCGTGAAATAGCGGGCCAGATGAGATATTGTGATTACGGAAAATCTCGAAAAAAGATTGGAATAATATCTGCCCTTCTTTCTGTATTTTAACACTTTTACTACCACGTTACTCGAAGATAGGTGATATGTAGGCACGTAATTTGCAAAACGGCTGGATTATTTAAACATCGATACAAAATATTTGCGTAAAATTAACATCGCGGTATAATTTAAAAGAAAATCAATAGACTGTATTCACTGAACGTACATATTTTTGATGATTCATCACTTAAAAGCGAACTATAGTGTGTCTGACTACGTACAGCTTTTTTCACTGTGGCAGTCAACGTGTTAAAGGGCGTTGACAAGGATTTACTGTAGAACTAAATTATTATTCTGAGTTTATTATGTAGAGGAATTGTATGGAATTAATCGAGTAATGAAGGGTATGAGTGGCATCCTCCATTGAAATCGTCCGTGTGTTATTCGTGGGGACATCGAGAGTGCCATCGCGGACAGCGTGTATTGATTTTCGAGGGTCTAATGGAATTCAAGAATTCAATTATCCCGGAGCAACCACGATCGCGGTAAAAACTCTTCGCCTTTTAAATAGGCCGGTAGATCTAATTAAAGTTATTGAATATCGTCTTTCCCGAAGAGGGATAGACTTCGACCTTCCGGAGGCCGACGTCGCCCCGGATAGCGTGAATACCACCGTGACATTATAATCTACAAGTGTCACATTTCCAGGTAAATTCATAATCGTAGTCCCGGGAACACGTGCGCGAGGCACATCGCGCTGAAACTATCATAAATATTAATAACATCATTTGCAACTATTGGAATTTGCAATTCCTTATATCCTTCAGTAGAAATAAAAAGTGAATACAATTGTAACCAGAGAAGTATCAAATAGCAGTTATTATTCGTTCATAAAAATCACATTAGATGCAACCAATAATAGAGTGATAATCAAGTGAATGTGCATAGATTTCGAAACTGTTATATATTCCATTAGCTAGAAAACCAAGTCATACTCTGTGTATAACGGATCGGTTTTTGTCGTATAGTCTGAATATGTATGCAAGTTACCAATAACATCTCGTCTGAGTCATTTGTCCATAAATTAATAGCTTTAATATTCACAGAGGAATTACAATATCCCAAACACTAATAAGAACTAACTGTGCGACCCATATATTTCAGCGCAGATGTTTACTAAGCGAAGCCAAACATCCGGTCGTAACCGAACAACAAAATCCACGAACTACTCCTGTTATCAATCAGACGTCTGGTAATTGGCCAAAGAAACGAAGAAAACGACCATCGATTATGGAAAGGCTCCGACGGATCGTGAACTTGGAATTGATCGCGTAACGACACGCAACACGGTGTGTTACGTTCACGCACGCGGCCTTTTACCGCGAATCACGACCAAGCCGTCTGTGTGTAGCGTGTTTATGCAACATTACGTAACGTCTTAATCGTGGCACCGACCAAAGTGAATGAAACAGAGTTGCTCAATAGCTGGCTGATGAACGACGAATGATGTTCGCCCCTGATAAAAAGGCGCGCTCTGACCGTTGCCATCTTTGGGAGCGGTCGTCCCCGTTCCCTTGGCAGGGTCGACGGATGGTTTTTGTGTAAAATAATACCCGGCATTATCTAGTGAAGTTGCCATTACACTTTGCGCACACACGGGGCCGTAAATACAACGCAAACATTTACACTTTGATACACATAAGCGGAGCGCCGCTGAGAAAATATTTGCACAGCCGATGAATACCTGGCTGGCTGGAGTTCCCGAGGCCTGAGAACGAGCTGCGAGAATTTCTTCGGTGGTGCGGGGAGCTGAATTAATCGACAAGTGACCGTGGTTCAATTACCGCTCGCTCGGATCGATAATGTTACATAACTTCCGGCGCAGGCTTTGAAGGACGCGTTAAGCCGCGACATTGACCGCTCGATCGCCTTAATACGCTCGCCACCGACCGGTCACTGTAAGACGAATGGGAATAAACGAGGGTCACGACCTGCATTCACCGGCTGTCTTCGAACTGGACCCTGTGATTTTTCTAATCTCCCCGACGGAAACTCGGTCGATCCATAGATTAATGTATGAAATCGATTAAGCTCCTACCATGCGTACTCGGAACGTCTCGACATCCTCGCAGGATACTGAAATATTATTGAAACCCTGTGGAGAATGTTATTCGTGGTATATTTTTCGGAAGGATTCTAACGTGCTAGGATACTAATTGTATGCACGTCATCCACCGAGGAAAATAATATCCGCGGGATATTAGATTTCTATGAATGATAGTCATTAGGATCATCGATAGATTTCACTCGAAAATATTCGTGCAAGGGTCCTAAAGGTTCAAGTCTGTCATTTGGTCGCGTCTGATTGTGATCTGAAACTTTCCAGGCAAGATTTCATACATTTGTCATTGATATTCAAGAGTCATCAGTGTCTTGGTAAGAGGATAAAGATTTGAATAACTATAACACCATCAAGAATACCATCGATTAAGGATTCTCGATGTTACAAGTATTCGAAGACCATACGATTACTCATCAGATATACCCCTACCAATTGCAATTGAACGTCTCATCTACCAGAATAAAATCTCTCATAAAAGTACAATATTCTACTTTCTAGCCTAGGAAGGATGAACTACCCTCGCAATACTGCGCACGAACTTCCCAACAATTGCCCAGGGAAACGTAACAATACGCTCCCGTCGGAAGTCATCCGTGAACTTTGTCGCAAGCACCTGCGGAACAGGCTCGGCGAAACTTTCCGAATTAGCGACGCGTGGAGGAAGTTCCCGAAGAACCAGAGGGGACATCCCGTCGTCGTCGTTTCTAACAAGCACGGATAACACCCGAGGCGCCTTGTTTCTTCGCTCGTTAGACCGTAGTCCCCTCCGACAGAGAAGGTCAAAAGTCAGTGAGGGGGAAGGGGGATCGGTGGAGCGAGAGGGGTAGCGTTTGATAAAGTGGTTGATGGCCGATGACAAGTTAATATCAGGCGGGTGTGGGGTCGGAGGGATCGACCGACGCGAGGTGCCCCGTCGAATCCCATTTTCGCGGGGCGGGTGATGGGATGACTGGGTAGGGGGGTTGTGTGTTTGTCCCGCTGTTTCTCGGCCATGCTCCGGATTCCCTTGACCTCGAAAATCCCTCGGGAGGCCCGGCGAGTCAGGGTCGCGTGGTTCCCCATCGTCTCTCCACCCACATCCCCCTTCCCTGGCAACCCCTTCATCTTAGCCCGTACCATGCCTAGGGAATCAGTTTATCTTACGATCCCTCATTTCATCACTAATCACCAAACCAACGATACGATCTTAAGAGGGTTTCTAGAGCTAGTGCGTGCACAAGAAGCACCGAAGAAGTGTGTACGCAGGAGAACACAATGCTCGGCAGCACGCATGAGCAGCGTCACGTAAACCGCACGGGAAAGACAAACAGAAGAAGGAACGAGAGGACTAGAGCGAGAAAGACAGTCGGACAGCTGTACGGTTGGTATCGAGGAGGGAACGATGGAGAAGGAAAGATATAGGCGAAAAGGAGGGAAGAGGATGCTACACGTAGAAAAGAAGTACGCAAAACGAGACGTGTGCGTGTAGTACACCCGGTTTGTACGGTGTATGTACGTTGTTAAATGGTCATCTGGGAGGAAGCTCTCTACTCGCGGAAACGTATACCCAAAAGCGTATACAGGGAATCGATTAGGTTAATCGAATCGGGGCTACCTTTTACGGATATTGCTCGATCGTGTTACGGTGTATAGATTACGATGGACAGTCGTAGACGGAACTAGGCGAATCTACCGTTTCGATGTATATACGTCTGAATGCTCGGATAACGAAGTAGCGAGGCGGTCTTGTATACGGAGGGGGACAGATAACTTGCACGTTTTTCGATGCGAGCGTCAAGGTTCCCCGGGACGGGGGACGCGCGACGGCGTGTCCGTGACGTCCAGTGACCATGGACGGACGTCTGGCGCACGCACGCACGTACACGCGTGTCCCACCATCACATACCGCCCGTGCACGTTCGTCGCTTATATAGGTGTTTGTATATCGCGAGTCGGAATTTTCAGCAAGGTGTCTGTCTCTGTCCTGTTCGAGTCTTACCGTGTGCGAGATTACCGGCTGAACGGACGGCGGCAGTCATGTCACGGTTCCCCCCCCCCCCCGGGTCCCCCCCCCGCCTCTCTGGTCGACGCACACACCCCACGGTGGCCCCCGGCGTCGTCCGACCGTTCGGCGGGGAAAAGAAATAAAAAAAAAAAAATAAGTTCGAGAGGATTAGGCGGCGACGGAACAGATTTGAACGAGGAGCGCCGTTGATTCCTCGGTGCGACACTGAACGCCTTTCAGGCGCGGCGGAAGAAACTGACGGTGCGGCACCGTCTGTTGACGGGCAAGCCACCAGACCTGGCTCGATACCCGTCCGTTTCACGTAGCGCGCATGTGCCGGGTTCGCGACACACCGCTCTTGCCGCCTCTGTTTCCACTACGGCTCGGTCAGTAAGGATGGTAACTGTTATCCCGCCATCGGGCATCCACCGAATTTTTCGACGAACATTACCACGCACCGCGGTATGGGACCGACAGGTGTCTTATGGGGGGGGGTTTTGGGTCCTATGGGGATCAATTAGGGATCTGTGGTATCGACGTGTTCGTTCACTTGACATTTCAACGCGGCTGTTGGGGTATAAAATTAAATCTGATGGTTGTAGTCAGAGATTATAGACGGAAATTCATTATCTGGATAAAGAGTTTTCACGAATGAATAAAGGGTAAACAAGTATTTCCAGTTTTAATCGATTGAACGTGGAAATTATAAATTTTGTGTCAGAGTAATGTTTCTTCTTGTATGGGTAGATACTTGCCTAATTGTTACTTAATCTCATTAACTGTTTAGAGACTGGAAGGACGATCTTGAATACTACTGTTCTGCACCATGTATTGGTCGAATTAAATTGTGCCTAAGTATGCCTACTATGCTTGGATATCCATAGAATTTGCGGTGAACACCGAGGATCGAGGTATAGGATGAGATATTATGGTATATAATGAGAATTAATTAATTAATTATTAAAGTAATAACTTATAATGGTATACATAAAAAGTTCACACATAAACAAATCTATAGTTGCCATTCACGCTTAAGCACTATGACATACTGGTTCTGATATTTCAATCGCAGTAGTACTATAAATAGCAATACCGGAAAAACATATGCCAGAATAAAAAAAACCAGTTGTATGTATAGGGCAAATATTGTGTAACATAAGGATGCAGTCAATGTTCCTTAGTAAACTTAAATTGTAGAGAGTAGAAGTTACTTATGTGTTTGTTTATATTTATGTCATAATGATGTTTACAAATATTTAGTATATTCATTGAACAAAATACAATGATCTATAGAACTTTTGTATGGAATCGTTTCAGCCTACGTGCTTCGGTAAAATTCCTTACGATACTAACGACGTTATCATGTTTACCTTCAGAGTCTTTTTTTCCCTCTGAATATTTCATTCGAGAGAAGTGCTTCTTCGTAAATAAAAAACAGGAGACTAAGAGTCAAGAGCTTATTTATTTACTAGCGTAATGAATGAGAGACGACTGAATTACTCCATAGAAGTTTTTTCACTTCTCGTTATAAATGACGTCTAAGTACGCATTCGTAAATAAAGAAATGAAACTAGTTAATCATTAGATCACAGTATTTAATACTAGACTGTTGAAGTATGATATAACAAGATTGTATAACATTATAATGTATTCTTCGTTTTTTTGGTTACAAATAAATAAAGTATATATATTGAGGGAAAATAACGTGTATTATGGTAGAAAAAGTAATTGCTTATATTTCGTTTTTAAATAAAATTCAACTTCAATACGAGCGCCTGAACACTTCCGTGTCTGGGTACTTACGGTACCATTCCCCTTCGAGGCTGCGAGGAACCCAAATTATACCACTTGAATGGAAGCTCGTTTTGGACACAGTATATTTAGACCCTTCTAGCGGCTAGTAATTAGAGGTCAGGACAATTTAGAAGCTTGAATAGCGTCGGCGTTGAATATTTTAAATTGAATTGTAAGACACTTTCCTGCTCCGGTAGCGGCAGCAGCAACTTGTGAAATCAAACAGAGTTTTTGTTTTATTTCACGGATGCGTGGACATGAATCCAGGTCACGGATAATCAAAAGCGCGATTTCAGTGTAGGCACACTTCTACCTGTCAAATGTTCTTCCGTGTCATGGAGCATTATTGTTACCCAAGTTTAAAAGGATATTATATTTGTGAAGCTACTAACACGTTAACAAGTATAGGGAATTAAGGTATTATTTCGTGGTTTAAAAAGTGATGTATTATTTTCAGCGAAGCTTGTGTTTATTCCTAGAAAATTGAGAATCTGATACACGTTATCAATACTTGCCACAGTTCCTTAACATTTCCTGCCTCTTTCACAAAAATTTGGAAGATACACGCTATAAAAATTGTTTTCTCATTTCATGCACCCAATAGAGAGAGGAACTATCATCGTATAAAACATATTAGACACCAACACATTCGAAACAGGCGGTCCAACGAAATTTCCGAACGCGTGTTTCAGTAGAGAATGGATGTCTGAATCAGACGATATAAATATCCTTCCGTGTGAATAGAGTAAAGACGGTTCTGTATACTTGCAGACAAGTCATATGTAAATAAACATGCCACTCTGATCCGCGGGCACGGTATTAAAAATAAAACAGGAACGTGACTATATCTATGTATTATCGAGGCAGCCGGAGCGAAAGATCAAATGCTTCTTCGTACGTTTTTTTATCATCTTCCACTGACAGCGACCGATGTTGCGTATATACTTACACGCAGTTGGCTCTTGTCGATTAGTATGAACTGTTCCCGCGGTGACATTTAAAACGGTTGCTTTTAAGTAGTATTCAACTTAAACTCAAGTTACAAGATATGCATGAGATAATTCAGAAATAATAAATATAGAAAACTGAACCACAATTAGTTCGTCAACGAATGTTAATCTATCCTACTGATTCTAAACTAGCTGATTGGTTCCTTGACAACTACTATAATAATATCAATATTTCGTGATCTACCGTTCCAAGTGCGTCAAATTTAAGAAATATTTCGCGGCCTGACAGAGCAGGAAACTTTGTCGCTTCACCTAGTTAGTCCCAAACAAGACGTTGTTTTGAATCTTCATTACCTAACAGGGGACAAGTTAACTCCATCCCAAATTTCATAAACTTCCGAGCGCGATATGTCAGGACGCGCTCCAGACGACAAGAACTGCAAGAAACTGTAATCGTTTATCTGCCGAGTATATAGCTGATAACTCAGACGAGGTATAAGGACAGGCCTATCGTCCAATGTATTTTCGTGGCCCGATTTTCCGGGGTCCAAGCACCCCATAACCATTTCAGTATCAATACACGATGTAATCGGTAAAAGATGAATTCTAAGAATTATCACAGTCGTGATATGCACTACACATGTAGAATAAACCTCCTAATCCAGATCTTTCATAATTCGGGTGTCTGCTTTTACCACTGAGCTACCCGGGCCATCGACAGTTCAGCCTCTCCAAATTTATGTAATGTACACAAGCAAAAAATATTGTTATTAACGCGCTCCACTACCCACAAACAGATGGAATTTGGATGAGAAATACTATAATTTATTACACATAGTATGCCGCCGGAAATGGACGTTTCGCATTGAAGCATTGACGATCGTAAGAAAGATTTGCAAGTTATAGAAGAGGAAACAATTTGCAATCAATAAATTACACTATTTCATAAGTCTAAATAATACTTAAGCCTACTTTTACTGGATTTATACAAATATTGTTCTTACTGTATAGAAAAAACGTATATATATAGAAGGCATTATTTTATGGAATTTATACAAATATAAATGCGCGGGAAAACTGCAAAATCGAGAAATTAGAATTTTTAAAGCAGCCATGTGCTAGTGCCCGACGGAACTAATTCTGAAAACCTGTTGAAACAGACAACTATAGTTAGTTTATTAATCCACAAAGTCCATACAGTTATTGACTTACAAAATTTCAGCGAACATGGTGAATAAATCCTCGAAAGATTTCTGGTAATGATTATGGAAGAGACCATACCATCCATGATACTTAAATAAGCTTAAAGTTCTGTTTCCTGAATATAAGGAGTGAAGAGACCCGAAACGACATTGCAGCGCTCTCTGTGGAACGCGTTTCGCACACCTCGGAACTCGAGCCAATCAACTGTAGTCGACAAAAACGAGCCCACTTGCTGTAGATCTTTGGATTGGAATACATATGAAAGTTGCTGGAACTATGAACATTTTGATAGGATGATGATAATAAAAAAGAAACAGGTAGAATTTAAGGCAATTCCGAGGGAGCAAACCGGGAGCACTTTTTTAAGATAATAATTGTTAAGAAATACTAATATTCCGCACCAACTATTCTTCGGTAAAATTAAGAAATTTCTCAAAAAAAGATAATCACCTGACGGCGGAAATTGAAACTAAATCCAAAACTTCTTAATCTAGTTCCCAACGTCAGCACCAGATGACGCCATCAGTCAGTTTCTTGCCGTTTCCCGCCCTTTTTGTAAAGGATTTAGATTAGTTCAGATTTCCGGCACCATGTGGCTACAATTATTTTAGCAATTTTTTGGATTTTGCAATTTTCGTGTGCTTTTTTAAAAATTATGAGAATGTATTATTTTGCTATTAGTTATTGTTTCTTATTATTTTTTTGGTAAATTGAAATTAGCAATTGGAATCGAGATCACTGTGATAAATCACCGTTAGTGATTTTGCACGCCATCTCTAATATAGTTACACGCAATATGAATGGAATATATAACACTTCATTTGTGCTAATAATACTCAGAATTCATGCTTCATCGGTAACGTCGGGTATTGACACTAAAATGGTAACAGAGTTACGTAGCCCTATGAACGTGGGACAGAAAAAAGCATTGGATGATAGGTCTATTCTATACTTAGTCGATGGTTTGACTGTTTTTCATTGAAAAAATCGTAAAAAAATGTATAATTTACAATTGTATTTGTATAAATTTAACAAGTGCCTCAAATACTACTTATATATACATATATAATAGTTTTTT